ACATTAGTACAGTTGTGTAGAGCATTGGGATCTGATGAGACAGGTATAGGGCTTTTTTCATTGTGCCTATAACATATGTCATCTATAATAGAGGCTCAAGATGAAAACAAGTTGTTTCAGTCTGGTCTTACTTGATTCTAAGTTATTCAGGGTGGAAATACATTAATTGTCAATTAATGTGCCTTAAATTTAAAATTAATAAAGATTTTTCAGGCAACAATTTCATATCAGTTGGCCAATATTACCATATTATGTACCTGATGGGTTGCTTTAACCCTTTAATCTCTAAGAGTGATTGGTAACTAATTTCCCCAAGGTGTATCACCCTTGAATCAAACATTAGGGTCACTGCAAGAATATTATAATAGGAATTGATCACTACAACTAAGAAGCTCTTGATTGTTCAACAAATTCACCTTGACAGCGCCTCAGGAAATATATGGTGAACATTATGGAGAATATACTTACTGATCTTAAGGCGTAAATGGTTAATTAAAGAGAGCTGGATTGAGATAAAAGTGATGAAGTGGGTTTTTGCAGCTTTCACACTTGTCCATTAAACTAATAGAAGATTGTTGAATCATGGGGAAAGAATTTTGAAAACAATTTAAAGCTATGAAAAAATATGAAAAAGCCCTAGGAAAGGTCATTGATCCAACCTTTTGTAATATTTTTGTTTAAGTTTAACAATGACCTTATTTAATCCACAGGTAGAGGGATGAATGCAGCATTTGCTATTGGGAGACTGTGTGACTTTGAAGCTGGATGCAAAAGAATGTTATCTTTGAAAACATCCAACCTAATGGTAATAAAAGTAGCTGTATGTAGCAGTCCACAACTCCAATTTTCATTGTGATTTTATATTTCATCAAACTTTCCCCTTCCAATTAATTATTGCTGAAATTGAAATCACAGGATGCTAATCATGTTTATATGCATAACACCTGTCAGTACCATACTGTTGAAAACTGATTGGTTTCTACACCATGAGCAGGTGGAATACTTAGCAACATGTTTTTGAAAGAATTATTTGTTTCTTGACTGTTACAGATGTATGTATGAGTTCTTTTCTAATGATTGTTTTCCATGTGCTCATTGCAAAATTCAAAGATTAATTATTTCTTTTAAGTATTAGCACATATGTTGATTACCAAATCAGATGAGATTATTACACTTGTTCATTTATAATGTTAAATATGTTGATTTTCCCCTTGCTCCTTTATCCTGTTCATTTGGAAATTTAATAACTACCCTGCAGGGACATTGTTATTGCAGGTGTTTCACTAGGTATCAAAAAACTGAGAATTCTCAGTGTCCTGTGCAGAATTCTCTGGCTAAATTTTGCTGGCTTGAGTAGTTTCTTATTCAAATTTGGAGAATATTTTGGGGCTATTTTACAACATATTATTCTTTAATTAAAACCTTGAATTTAATTTTACTAATAAACTTATTTCTGTTATTGAATAGATCAACTCTCTCATTGACATGCTGCACTCTGCTGACTCTGGATGTTGCAAGAATGCTTGCTTTGCATTAAGCTGCATAGCATCCTTAGCTCAAGGACATCAGCGCCTGCTGAATCATGAGAAGATTAATAGCATTGTTGACATTCTTTGCTCTCTCCTGGCTGCAAGTGATGAAGAAAGCATCTGGTTTGCATCAATGTAAGTGAAAATAGGATTGCATTGACTGTGTTTTACTGACCATATAAGTGATATAAATGTACTTCTTTTGCTAGTTAGTTAGTCTGTTTATTGTTGAAAGATATGTTGAGCCACAAACAAAGGGGAAAAGAAAAAAACAAATCAAAACAAAAGAAAGATTGGCAAACTGATCCAGGTTGAATTCAAACTAATCCAGGTTGAATTCAAACTAATCCAGGTTGATATGGATAACTTGATGAAGAACAAAGTAATGTGTAGTAGATTGAAACAAATTGACCTGAAGAACAAATTGACGCACAACAGGTGCATTATGTAGAAAGAGCAAAGATATAAAACCTTTAAAAACATAATTCTAACAAAAATTAACATTAATTATTAGGCTGCTGTCTACTACTCACTACCAGTAAATGAATACTGTGTTTTGAAGTTCTTTTGATAACCTGTTTTGACTAGAATGATTTTAATAGGTATGTGTGTGGTTAAAACCCTTAGTTATTGGAACTCATAGTTTTCTATGCCATGTACTTACAACAAATACACTAACATTGCGTATTCTTTACTTTTCTGGAAAATGTAAAGGATGTTGCATACCTTTGCCAGTCAAAAAAGTGGCTGTTTGTATCTCAGGACTCGGCCCAATGTGAGGGAATCCTTAGAGGTTGGTACTCAATATGTTTTCTGTGTTAAATTTGGTCCTTCCATTGTCATGTGGGAAATAAGGTTAGATATTGGGCACATTTGAAAAGACAAATTCACTATTCATTTAAGTAATAGACTACTACATGTTTGTTGTTGTGTTGCATGTATTAGATGGTATACAATAACATCAAGTTGCAATCTCTAATAATGCCTTTTATTTAAGGGCACTGGTTAGTTTGTCATTTTTATCCTTTCATTTTCACTTCATGTTAATAGCTATTCTCCACATCATATGTCGTGCATTGCTTATAATATAAGATCTAAGAACAAAGTTCCCTATCTGATATTTTCCTTTCCAATAACCTTTCTGCTAATTAACAATTTAGTGGTGTTGCAAGGAGGATCGAATCCCTTTTTGGTCACTCATGGAGTGCTAAGATTAATTTTTTGTTTTTACTTGGTAGGTTCTCTTAGAGAGGCCAAGTCTGAAAGAGGATACTAAGGAGGAAGTGGAAGCAACTCTGGCTATTTAGAACAACTTCCCCGACCTAAACCACCAAACATTTAAGGTTTGCAATATTATTGTGCATTGTAGTATGGTAGTTCTATCACCCTAACTTAACTGATGCATTTGACATTTCTATAATCCTAGCATCATGTATGACACTTATTACCTATGAACTTTGTGGCTTTCTTGCTTGTCACAGAGTTTTCCATATCTCTGTGGTAAGGTATATGAGCATGAAATCCAAACATCTATTGGGTTTGATTCCTAATGTGGGGGACTAAGTTATTTTTTTGACAAATTAAATACCATATTTGGTTAGTATGGTACTTACTTCTGAAGTCTGTTTTGTGGTGGTGTCTGATTTTGGACACTAGTGTCCAATATTAGTTGCCATGTAGTGTTCTATTTTGAGAGACTAGGGTCCAATTTTGACACTAGTGTCCTCAATCAAGCAATTGAGTCCAAACCTGAAGACCTGTGTCCAATTTTTGACACCAGTATCCAAATTGGACAATAGTGTCCAAAATAACATACTTTACTGCAAAGAATTTGATTTGAATTTGGATCTAATTGATTGTACAGGAAGGCTGAAACACCCCTGGAAAGGGCCATAGTAATGATGTTAGGAAAAACATTGAAACTTGATTGAAAACTGAAAAATGAACAATTCTCTGTTGGTCAAAGTCATGTAATCCTTAAACTCTAAAGATTGAGTGGGTCTATTGTCAGCACTCCCTTTCTCTCAGATTCTCTGTTATCTCAATTTATTCCTCAAAAGTTGATCTTAATGGATATAATTGTATGTTCAAACCTCTACTGTAAAGTCTTTTTTCATAAATTAGTAGTGTGTGAGTAATAACAATTTAATTTCTAATGATATCCTGTGTAATACACAGTTCCAAGTGTCAGTCTCTCCAAGTGTTAAACAAATCTTAACATCACAGATAAAAATCATGTGGGAACCACTAGAAATTTCCAATGGGGTACTGAAGGGATATCAAATTGTTGTGAGAGGTATATCTTTGTGAAGTAAAACAACTTAGGTATTTTTCCATACTTAGTTGCAATGAAAATTTGTGTCATTGACATCATGTTGTATAAGTATATATTTTATTACATGTAAAAACTATATAATTTTGATTTTGTATGTAATGCCTCAAACAAAGATGCTGGTTGGCAGTATAGCAGTTGAAAAATCATGATTTATACAATTGATTAGCCTAACTTTACATCATAAAAATAAATGATGAAGTGTTTGTTTATCTAAATGAAACCATGATGAACAACAATATAATTTTCTATGACAACAATGCATGTGTCAGAAGAACTTCAATCAGTCATTTGAATGTAGTGTATAGGCCACAAGACATTAAAAGTAACTATCATGTTTTTCTGTATATTTACTAGGTAAGACATCCAGTCTTGAAGTCCATGGGAATTACTTCATTTTATCCAGTTTGCCTCCTGACACTGAATTTACATTCCAGGTAATTAAAAAGATCCCACAATTTGTGCTCATCCACAGGATGAGCACAAATTGTGTGGTACCCACAGTATGGCACAAATTGTGTGGTACCCACAGGATGGGTACCACAAGCAACCAACCTAAGCATTTTTCTGCTGTATATATATTTGCCTTAAAGGTGTTTGCTCTGACAAGCAAGGAATGAGGAGAAGCAGCCGTTCTAACAACAGCTACTGATGATCAAGGTTGAGTAGAAAAAATAATTGAATATTGATGTCTTACCCAATGATATTAGTTAAAAATTGATGATTGTTCAATAACAGTAATCTAATAAAAGAATTATTTGGCTAGTAGTTAAATTCCTTACTTTTATACTCTTATGCCAACAAGATTTAGCATTCTAAACATTTTAGTGTATTATTTTATTTTTTATTTCATAGTTTATTACTGCTACTCATCCTTCCTTGAGTATTATTCAATATTATAACCCTTACACTCCCAGGAGTGACTTATGATAGAGGAATTTCTCCTTACAAAGTCAAACCATTTTAAAGTACAAACTTTAAGGTAGCAAGAAGGGAAAATGTAAACTAAGGGACTTAGTTTACTTTTAAACCAATTTCTTAGAGATCAAATCACTAGAAATGCATGGCAGACACTGCTGAAGACTGATATTTAGATATTGGGAGTGGAAGGGTAACTAATAATGTTCTGTGATCTCTGAAGCATCATGAGGAATTGAACTGTATGTCATGAATACTGCATCACTTGATCTCTTGCAGCATCACATGCTCCACCCAAGCCAGTGGTTCAGGTGCTGGGTCGTCATGAACTGATGATATCTTAGGAGAGTCCTCCCAAACCACTTGAAAGGATTAACAGCTATGAAGTCAGAGTAGATGATGTGGTATGTATGTTGTGAGAATAAACATCCTTATTTTTACTGTGTTAACAGTAATCTAAGTTTAAATAGCTATATAAATTGTTTGTCTAATGAACATGTTATTGTAACAGTTACTGCTCTAGTGATAATCATGGTTTCTTAAAAATCACAAACTTTAAAGCCCCTCAAAAAAGATATATTGTGCAAATAAGTCATGCGGAATTCAACACAGTTACCATGAATGTTCCAAGGTCATGTTTGTAAAGTTTTAATTCATTTCTTGTGTCAGCCTATCAGTCTTAAACTAACGTGGTTTTTTTAATGACAATGCTCTTATTTTGACTAGTGCCCAAGCGTTGAGTTAATATCAATTCAATCTAATTTAAAAATACCCTGAGAAACCTTTTTATGTTTTTTGATGGAAACAAAGATCTTTTTTTTCTGCTTGGAACTCTTTTTTTTCTGCTTAAACTCCCCTGAGTGACCAAGACAGAATTTATCCTTACGATATCAATATGATACAATTAAGTTCAAGTTCTGATTGTTCATTCCTCCCCTTAGTAAATTAGTAACAAGAAATTTGGTGTTAGATCAAGATAAAAACTTCTACCTGATGAGTTTGAATTTTCTCATTACCTGTTTGCTGGATAAAGTATGGAGATGACAGGAAGAAGTTGCATGTGAATCACTTTTGGGAGTTAGAGGGCTAAGTGAACTTCATTCATCTACAGACTAATTTCTAATTTGTTTGCAATGTTTGATTTTGGACCCATTTATCAATAACCTGAATGACATCATATCGGTCAAGTTTTGTTAATATGGATTTGAGATGATTAAGTGTTCCAGAGTTTGGCTTGGTTGCAAACTTTTCCATGAGAAGCACACGTGATGGGTTGTTACTTTTTTGTTTGATCAAAGTGATCTCTGATGATGTAAGGCCAAGTTCACATCCCAGCATCCTATAATCATTGTCATCTGAGACTCTTTCAATGTCAAGTAGCATGCACATTTTACGGATGACAGCTGTAGGTAAATCTGTTATGAAGGTTGAATAGCCGAGGTTATCCTTCACAGGTTGAGGAGGTGGAATTAAGTGACGGTCTGCTCTATGGTTTTCCCCTTGCGCATCAGCAACTAGTGGATAAGAATCAAAATGACAAAATTAGTTTCACATTTTCAATTTAAAGTATAAGACATGTCACTAACAGTGGTGGCAAAATTTCATATCTAAAAACTTTCTTGTAGGTTTGTAGACCATGCGTTTACTCTGTCAAAATTCACTGTAAGTGAGGATCTCATCTTGTGATGAATCATTTTGAAGGCAAGAAACTTGAATTCTAAAATATTTCTTGCCAGACAGAAACAAAAATAAATGACTTTGAACCCTTTGAAGGATTCAAAAGAGAAAAGTACTAAAAAGTATTATGTAATTACTAGAATAAATAAGGAAATGCAATTATTTCTATCATAGAGATCACAATCATTTCAAATGGCTCTGTGTTGTATTTCTCCAGAGCTATCACGATTTTGGCTGAGTAATTAACTCTTAAATTTCTAATTATTCGATCAAAATATTAGATTATTGAGCCATTAGTTATCCCTAATTTCACCCAACCTTTTACTGTAGAATTTGAAGGTTTACCATCAAGGGATGATAGAATTCCTTTCTGAACTGAACCTTTCTCAGCCATGTTGTCAAGCTGGTCTCCTGTTACAACTTCATGATCTTTATTACTGTAAACTGCACCTGGATTTTTTCTTGATCCATATGCAGCACCATGGGTGCAGTGTCCATTTAACCCCCTTCTCCTGTAGAAAGAAACTTCATCTACCTGTCGTAGATTTCTGCTTCGTCTGTTTTTCCTTATTTTTTTAAACAGGTAGATTAAAAAACCACATACTATGATGAAAGAAAAAACACCCATAATGGATGTCATTCCTTTGATCCACTTCAGACTTTCAGGATGGTCATGTCCAGCAGGTCGGGTCAGCGGGGTCCTTGAAGGAACTGGAGTAAGGCTTGGAATAAAAGGAGTTCCAGTTGTATTGATCTTGATTGAATTGAATAAAGATGAAAATGTTGCAGTGACTGTAGAGGTGCTGATCGTGGATTGTTCATTCCTACTTTCATTTTCGTTGCCAATACGAGTTTCGGTAATTAAGTTTTTGCCCTTCCCGCAAGATACACAGCAAATGTCTGTTCCATCTGATACATTTGATTTGCACTTAACAAAGAAACATGCATTTTCCTGACATTTGAGGCAAGGCCAATATCTTTGACACGTGCAATTTCTAGGATCAATGGTTTCGTTAAATCCTTCCTCATCGCAATCTGGGTGCTGGCCTTTTATACCTGCACTGAATGGTGAAAGTGTAAGAAATACCTGAGGAATAAAAAGAACATTGGGAAGGTGTCTGAAGAACAAACAAGCAGAGAAAAACCTCTCTGTTTTCCCTTTAAGAAAGTGTTCTATCTGCCTCGATCATGATCCTAGAGATCGAAATGTTAATTGAAAGTCTCGCTTCCAAGAGAGTTCATTGGTTGGAATTCATCAAAATTCGGAATATTAGGGGAATATATGTAACGGCGTAATATGTGACTAACACAGTCAAATGTACTCGGTTACTTACCAAAGAAACAATTCAATTAGCTAAAATCAGAAGGGTAGATAGATAGATAGATAATCTTTATTTACTCATGGACAATTCATCAGCTATAAAACATTCAAATATATAATCATGCATTAAATGGACAACAAACTCTAAAAACTATACTTAACTTACTTAACCTAACTAAAGCTGCTTTCCACGAATGCTGTGCCTGAACGCAATTCTTTAATTAAACGCTTCAATGATCCAAGGGACTCTGCTTGTCTTATGTCACGAGGAAGTCTGTTCCAAACAGTGGCGCCACTATAGCTGAAAGTTATTCTTGTAATAGTTTGTGCGCGGCAAAGGAACATTCAGCTTTTTCTCAGAGTCTCTTAGGTTATACACAGTTTCTCGCCTTTCAAATTTAGACCACAAATAATCTGGAGCTAAACCGTGCAGAGAATTATAGACCATTATGGCTCTTTGTATTTGCTTCTGGGAAGCTAGGTTTTTCCATCTTAGGTTATACGCAGTTTCTCGCCTTTCAAATTTAGACCACAAATAATCTGGAGCTAAACCGTGCAGAGAATTATAGAATTATGCTTATATGAGCATAAACTCGGTTTTAGTCATATTTAGAGTAACTTTGTTCGCTCCCAACCAATTGAGAACATTTTCTAAGTCTTGATTTAAATATAACTAAAGGTTAGATTAAAACATATAGATTACATTAAATGTAAATGTCTCGCGACGATGAATTGTTTCTTCTGCGTTCTTATTTGTTGCCAGATATGTTTAGCCTAGCTTATTGTGGGCTGCCATCGTGTCACTTTGAACGGGAGTGAGGTTAGATTATGCATCGCAATCACTTTTCGTGTTGAGATAATTACTAACTGGCTACGGCTGACAAACAGTTTCAGCATAGTTTTTTCGGTTACAGATCATAGTTCGACGTGCTTCTCGTTTCTACGTTATGGAAATTTAAAGTTTTCGTTGAGACAACGATCTGACGTTTTCCTGCAGTATATTCCCTATCTCACATGTATTAATTGCTGACACTGCAACTTACCAAAATTGCAAAACGTTTTGAGATTAACACCGTGTCACCCTTGAAGAAGGGCATGGAAAGATATCCACGAGGAAAGTTCATCGCTCTAAGTTCCCTAAAATAGAAAATTGTAAAATGAAGTACATAAATGTAAAATGTACTTCTAATATCAAAGCCGTGCTTGAAGTATCTCGATAGAAAAAAACACAAACTAATTTTTGTTCAACCGATTGATCGAATTAGTGAAAACAAACCTTTGTATATGGATAGAGTAGATCCGAGGGAAAACCGTCAACTGACTATGGGGGAACTGTGACGTCACTTTTTCTTTTTGAAGCAAAAGTAACACTTTTATCCTTAGAAATTTTAGCCAACCTTCATCATGGCATCATTCAGTTACAGCTAACTTCAGCATTTTTAAATGAACTTTGGCCCTTTTTTTTAGAATAGTAATTTCATTCCACGCACATTTTGAATTTCTAGCCTTGTTATTTTTTTTAGAAAGAAAGATCTGGATCTCTGCTGTTTTTTTTTTGTGGATCAGTAGTTATTGTCTCGAAAGGCCAGTTTTGTTCGCTTGATTCCTTCAGTCGCCCAAAGAATCTAAGAGAAAATAATCTGTCGGTAAAAAATGCAGACTGCAGACTGCAGACTGGGTGCAAAATGCAGACTGAGAATTTAAACTGTTTCTTCGTTTGATACGTGATAACATGTCGTCTTACAACTTACCGAGAGTCACGCAATCGCTTTTCCGCGATCATCTTTCACGATCATTTGCACTTGTGGAATATTCCTTGCCGTTTCTTGATACATTTTGTTTTTGACAAAGCGGCTATTGCATTTTGGTTTCTAACGAAGCGGCCACAAACATTCTTAATGGAATTGCAAGCTTTCGTGTTGTCTAATAATTAATAATGGTGTTAAGGACATTAGCCAGAAGGCTCATTCTTATTGAATTGATTATTTATTAGTTCTTTTTTTATGCATTCCGCGACATTTCATTAGACTGATAGAGCTTCGTTGTATTGTTGTTTCAGTTTACGATCGATAGATTGATCGATTGTGCAGTTGGTCGTGATTTTTTCATCGTTGATTGTGGTTTGTGCTTTTCAAGAATAAAGATTCGTACAAACAGTCAACTTTGGTTTGTTATGTAGATCTGTAAAATAGTCCCTAACACCTCGTTAACCGCGTTTTGGAGCGACGCCCCTTGGAACTTGAAAATCTAGATTTTGTTTTGGTCGCCGCAAACGCTGAAAATGGTAATGATCGAGTGGAGTCCAAATCGTCTGCACTGGTACGAGTGATTAACGAAATCGGACGACCGCGAAGCGGGAGTCCGATACAACTGCTATCGTTTCATTTCATCACTTATTTCTTCCCATGAAGTTTCATTTTCTCTCAAGTTTTATAACGAAATGTTAATCGTGCGTATGATTACAAACAGAATTGGACGACACAAAGTCCTGTCACCAATTAATCATAATTGTTAAAATTTCCGAAAAAAGCAAATACATTTAGGACAAAAGTCTCTGATAGAGACAATACCTAAAGTAAAAACATGCCTCCATTTTGAAAATTCCCCCGTCTTTTTTGAGGATTAATGGCTGTAAGCAATTCTGTAATTGGTGAATCTAGCTGAGTGGACTTAGTATGATTGGCCACTTTAACTGTCCTATCACAGGTGTCCGATTACAGCCGACTGTCCGATTACAACTATACAGAATGATTAGTGAAAAATAAAGCAGCTAATGCACCAATCACATTTGAGGAAATTTAATGGTTATGTTCAATAGCGCAATATTCGAGAACAATTGACAGCTTCACACGTGGTCCATACTTTCATCTTAACATGATCATGCCTGGATCATGACTTACATCTTTACATGATGATGATATACTTACATGAGGAACCGGCGAATTTTCATAGGGCAAGTGAAGCGTTGATTTCGTGACTGGCCATATTTTTACTTTTCTGGTGGTTTTATCTCTTACATGTTTGGTGACTACGAAAATATTGATCTGTGAAATCAGACTTTATGATGAATAATCGTGATAACGATAATTTTAATTATTATATTGCTGTCAGTAATTGGCCAACCAAGCGGGCAAGATGGGCCCATCTTGCCCTCAGTGTCGGCGTGGAGTTTCAAAAGCAGTTAAAGACAGTCAAAATGAAGAAAACGTACACGACGCTCGTGGGTTTACTGTGCTAAAACACAGTTGGCTTTCAATCCCGTTCCTCAGAAGTTGGACAGTTATTATTATTATTATTATTATTATTTTTTTTTTATCACTTTGATCTTGTTCATTTGGCTCGGTATCACCTCCGACACTTAGTTCGGCAAAAGGCAAACCGCGGGAAGGTGAATGTCCAGCTTTGAGTAGAAATGAAAAGATTACTTGAAAGGGAGGTGATGAAGGGTCATATACCGTGGACTTACTGGAGTTAAACAAAATTTAAAGATATCATAAGTATTAGAGTGGGGATTTCACTGGGTGAGAGTCATTTAAGCACAGCAACGAGAGTTTGCACTTTAGCATTTTATTTGTTCATCATCCGTTTGTACGGCCTTAAGACAGGGTAGGCATGTTGAAAACCAGGCTCATCCACGACACATTTGCTGCCAAATCAAAACATCCACCTTTTACCTTCTCTCTTGCCCCCTCCCCCCTCCCCCACCCCTTCCCCCTAGAAGGTCTCTTCGCGATGATGATGTGATCGGTGTCTGTTGAAGTGTACCAAAATAAACAAATTTTTTTCCCATATAACAATTTCATTCGATTTTATTTAGTTATTGTTTACTTTTGTAAGCCTAAACAAAGGATATTCAATTCTGGATTTCCTTCTGTTATTGTATTCCAGTGCGGAAATTTGTGTTCTACCGCCTGATTGGCCAGTTTAGCTTCACGTTGATAGCAAACCAATCAAAACATCTGTTAGAAATGTGAAGAAGCGGGCCGTTCGTGATCAAATAAACACCAAGTAAGGAAACTAAGGATTAGAGGTGTGAAAAGGTTTCTATGAAACCGTGTGCTCTTTGAAAAATGTCGCGCTTCAAAAGGTGGCAATCTTTGGTGTTGGACTTAAACTCCCTCAGATAGCAGTTGTCGATAACGATGCTGTTATTAGCAGAAGCTGGGCGCACTTTGAACAAAGATTTGACGAGCCTCTTTCGGCACAACCTGCAAACTCCACACGTTCTCGACCGGCTGGTTCACGAGCTTCACAGTGACAAAGAGCTATGCAGTTACTTGTTTTTAAATCATCCTGGCTCAGAGGACATGCTGTGGGGGCTTATGAACCTCTTGATGGAAGATTCACGGTGAGAACGCGTTTTGTTTATGTTCAAGTGAACAGCTGAAAATTTGAAAGGTTGTTGTGTGAAACTTTCAACACTGTTGAACAAAAGCGAAGTTGGTTTTGAATGAAGAGCTAACTATAAACAAAATTAAATCAGCAAAAACATTTTCGAAAAGGTCAGTATCAATTGCAGTAACAAACCAGCGGGTTGCGAAGGTGATGTTAATGAGTCGATTAGTTAACTATTGTCTTCATTTGTGTTGTGTTTGGGATTACACAAAAGCCTAGCGAAAACAAGATAACTGCAAGGTTATATTAACCACTAATTGAATCTTGCATTCATTTCTTAAAAGGCACAATGTTCTGGATGATTTATTTTTGCAATAATCGTTAAAAAAACCTGCCTTCCTTAAAATTGCGGGCCGCGATCTCTTGATTCTAGGAAAAGATCACATTAAAATGAGGCAACACAAAACAGTTTAATATGCTCTCGGTGTTTTTGTTCAAAGGATTGTTAGTCTGAATTTTTTTTCGGTAAATGATAGATTGGATCATTGCAATTATTATGCTAAGTTTAATCTATCCTAAATATTTATTTTTATATTTTTCATCCGCTTTTCCCGACCACAGGAAATTTTTGTGTAATTTTATACTTGAGTAATGTTTACTTTGCATGCCATTTGACGTAAGCTTTCCTAAATTATTCTCATGTTAAATTTTAAAAATTAGATAATTAGTGATATTTCAAAGTTGAGAGAAAAACTTCATTGTCATTTTTGTGGTTTTATCTCAACATGCGTCTCTTCTCAGACTAATTTTGTGATAATTATCCTTATTGACACCCTGCTTATTTCCTCTGTTGATTACAAGTATTTCCTGTGGTGCCCATAAGTGGCTTAACGTGTGAAGAATAATTTATTTCCTGCTTGTCATGACAAGCTTGTCTTTTCTGTTTTCCTTATGGAAATTTCTTTTTGCACCTGCCACCCTTTCACTTCCAAGATCAAAATATCATTTCTCTGTACTGTCTTCCACACATTCCACATTTTATTTATCTTTTTACTAAGAATTTGTTGCTAAATCAAAAAAACATCCCAATTGATATATTTCTTCCTTCCCTTCTGCTTTATATTGTAAGGAGATTTCCTTTGAATCTCTCCTGGGAATGAAAGAGTAAAATTTACTATCCAAATTGTTTCTTGTTTCCATGGAAACCATTTGATCTTGAAACTTTGAGACTGAATTTCCACTAGCTTTCATGACTCAGGATTGGTGATGAAGTGGTAACAGTTGTATATTACCTGGAGTTTTTTTTTTTTTTTTGTTTGCTTTTGTAATATCAATCTACATTGACTTTTTTGGCTATTACTCTTCAACTAGGAAAAGTTTTAAGGCTTTTTGAAACCATGAGAACCCTAAATGGAATGGGAGTTTTCCTGAGGGTCATAGATATGACTAGATATAAAAAGTGTGCAAAAGAAGTGAGGTTATCCAGTTGTTAACCAGAGTTCATCCCTGGGGGTAAAGATTGTGGAACTCAGGGCTGTTAATATGTCCCTGTGCAAAGCTTAGTAAACTACAGGAAGGAACCCCTTTTTTAAGGTAATACTGAGCTCTGTAAATTTTCAGAAGACCCATAATAAATCATTGCTATTGATAACTTGAGGATGGATCACTTTTCTTATAGAACTGCTGGTAATGCATCATATGTGATTGGAACACTGGCTGAGACAGACCTAGGTAAAAGACGAATTGTTCAGATATGCACAGACAAAGGTGACCAGGCCAAGAAAATTTTGCCGGCACTCACAAACATGCTGGACATGGCTGATACAGAAACTGTCATGAATGCTGCAGGAACTATGGGAACATTGGTAAGGCTTTACATTGAGTAACTGTTTTACAGAGAGATAATTTGCATGATTGAGAAAATTTTGTTTTATAGGACAATAGATTCTTAGATGATGTCACCTTAAACAAAATTTCACTTCTCTATTGTGGAAGACAAAATGGTTCCATGTTTCTACATTTATGTTTAATAATGGATCACAGAAGACATCAAAATATGGTAAAAAAAAACATCAGTGACACACTCAACTGTGCCTCATGTGTGGCTTTTTTGTTCTTATTACATTTTATTGTCATCTGTGATCTACCACTGAGTATATGCAGGACAACATGAAATCCAGATTTTCAACTGGTACCTGCAGCAAATCACTTTTGGTAACAAAAATTTGAACAAATATCACTCTTTGTTCTTGTGATATGATGCGAAGTGCAGGTGAGAATCTTCCCACAAACTTTTGCTCAAAAGTTGGAGGAAACTTCAGAAGAACTTAAAACAAAATTCTGTGATTTTCATTAGCATTATTTTTGCATGTTACTGCACAAAATATGACCCAACCTATAATAACCTATTATAGAGTCTTAACCGTTATTCAGGAGTTATATACAAGTCTGAATTACATTCAGCTGATCCAGTGGGTATTGAATATCCAAATTTTGATAATATCTTTAGGCAGAAGATGGGGAATGCCGTATGTGGATGCTACGCGAGGACTGCTTGGATGAAGCTATCATCAAACTAACAAACCTTCTATCTTCCAAAGACATGTGTACAGCTAGTAATGCTGCCCTGGTCTTAGCCAGGTAATTTTATTTCCAATATTAAAAAAGAAAATTCTACTTGAAGAAGTATATCTGCATCTCTTATTGACAGTTAGAGGTATCAAAATGTGAATTAGCTTAATTGACAGTGAGAGTAGATTGGTTTTCAACTGAGTTTTGAAAGAACAATTCATGTAAGATTTGTTGTTCACAAATTTCAGGCTGACAATTGCAGAAGAAGGCTGTGCCAGGATTTTGAACCATCGTAGTTCAAGTCATACGTTAGTACAGTTGTGTAGAGCATTGGGATCTGATGAGACAGGTATAGGGCTTTTTTCATTGTGCCTATAACATATGTCATCTATAATAGAGGCTCAAGATGAAAACAAGTTGTTTCAGTCTGGTCTTACTTGATTCTAAGTTATTCAGGGTGGAAATACATTAATTGTCAATTAATGTGCCTTAAATTTAAAATTAATAAAGATTTTTCAGGCAACAATTTCATATCAGTTGGCCAATATTACCATATTATGTACCTGATGGGTTGCTTTAACCCTTTAATCTCTAAGAGTGATTGGTAACTAATTTCCCTAAGGTGTATCACCCTTGAATCAAACATTAGGGTCACTGCAAGAATATTATAATAGGAATTGATCACTACAACTAAGAAGCTCTTGATTGTTCAACAAATTCACCTTGACAGCGCCTCAGGAAATATATGGTGAACATTATGGAGAATATGCTTACTGATCTTAAGGTGTAAATGGTTAATTAAAGAGAGCTGGATTGAGATAAAAAGGTGTTACATGGGTTTTTGCAGCTTTCACTCTTGTCCATTAAACTAGTAGAAGATTGTTGAATCATGGGGAAAGAAAACAAGCAGAATGGTCCTAACTAATGAAAATTATTTTGAAAACAATTTAAAGCTATGAAAAAATATGAAAAAGCCCTAGGAAAGGTCATTGGTCCAACCTTTTGTAATATTGTTGTTTAAGTTTAACAATGACCTTATTTAATCCACAGGTAGAGGGATGAATGCAGCATTTGCTATTGGGAGACTGTGTGACTTTGAAGCTGGATGCAAAAGAATGTTATCTTTGAAAACATCCAACCTAATGGTAATAAAAGTAGCTGTATGTAGCAGTCCACAACTCCAATTTTCATTGTGATTTTATATTTCATCAAACTTTCCCCTTCCAATTAATTATTGCTGAAATTGAAATCACAGGATGCTAATCATGTTTATATGCATAACACCTGTCAGTACCATACTGTTGAAAACTGATTGGTTTCTACACCATGAGCAGGTGGAATACTTAGTGACATGTTTTTGAAAGAATTATTTGTTTCTTGACTGTTACAGATGTATATATGAGTTCTTTTCTAATGATTGTTTTCCATGTGCTCATTGCAAAATTCAAAGATTAATTATTTCTTATAATTATTAGCACATATGTTGATTACCAAATCAGATGAGATTATTACACTTGTTCATTTATAATGTTAAATATGTTGATTTTCCCCTTGCTCTTTTATCCTGTTCATTTGGAAATTTAACAACTACCCTGCAGGGACATTGTTATTGCAGGTGTTTCACTAGGTATCAAAAAACTGAGAATTTTCAGTGTGCTGTGCAGAATTCTCTGGCTAAATTTTGCTGGCTTGAGTAGTTTCTTATTCAAATTTGGAGAATATTTTGCAGCTATTTTATATTACATATTATTCTTTAATTAAAACCTTGAATTTAATTTTACTAATAAACTTATTTCTGTTATTGAATAGATCAACTCTCTCATTGACATGCTGCACTCTGCTGATTCTGGATGTTGCAAGAATGCTTGCTTTGCATTAAGCTGCATAGCATCCTTAGCTCAAGGACATCAGCGCCTGCTGAATCATGAGAAGATTAATAGCATTGTTGACATTCTTTGCTCTCTCCTGGCTGCAAGTGATGAAGAAAGCATCTGGTTTGCATCAATGTAAGTGAAGATAGCATTGCATTGACTGTGTTTTACTGACCATATAAGTGATATAAATCTACTTCTTTTGCTAGTTAGTTAGTCTGTTTATTGTTGAAAGATATGTTGAGCCACAAACAAAGGGGAAAAGAAAAAAACAAATCAAAGCAAAAGAAAGATTGGCAAACTGATCCAGGTTGAATTCAAACTAATCCAGGTTGATATGGATAACTTGATGAAGAACAAAGTAATGTGTAGTAGATTGAAACAAATTGACCTGAAGAACAAATTGATGCACAACAGGTGCATTATGTAGAAAGAGCAAAGATATAAAACCTTTAAAAAACATTCTAACAAAAATTAACATTAATCATTAGGCATGTCTACTACATACTACCAGTAAATGAATACTGTGTTTTGAAGTTCTTTTGATAACCTATTTTGACTAGAATGATTTTAATAGGTATGTGTGTGGTTAAAACCCTTTCTTATTGGAACTCATAGTTTTCTATGCCATGTACTTACAACAAATACACTAACATTGCGTATTCTTTACTTTTCTGGAAAACATTAAAGGATGTTGCATACCTTTGCCAGTCAAAAAAGTGGCTGTTTGTATCTCAGGACTCAGCCCAATGTGAGGGAATCCTTAGAGGTTGGTACTCAATATGTTTTCTGTGTTAAATTCAGTCCTTCCATTGTCATGTGGGAAATAAGGCTAGATATTGAGAACTTTTAAAAAGACAAATTCACTATTCATTTTAGTAATAAACTACTACATGTTTGTTGTTGTGTTGCATGTATTAGATGGTATACAATAACATCAAGTTGCAATCTCTAATAGTGCCATTAATTTAAGGGCACTGGTTAGTTTGTCATTTTATCCTTTCATTTTCACTTCATGTAAATAGCTATTCTCCACATCACATGTCGTGCATTTCTTATAATATAAGAATAATATAAGATCTAAGAACAATGTTCCCTATCTGATATTTTCCTTTCTTATAACCTTTCTGCTAATTAACAAGTTAGTGGTTTTTCAAGGAGGAATCCCTTTTTGGTCACTCATGGAGTGCTAAGATTAATTTTTTGTTTTTACTTGGTAGGCTCTCTTAGAGAGGCCAAGTCTGAAAGAGGATACTAAGGAGGAAGTGGAAGCAACTCTGGCCATTTTAGAAAAACTTCCCCGACCTAAACCACCGAACATTAAAGGTTTGCAATAATATTGTGCATTGTAGTATGGTAGTTCTATTACCCTAACTCAACTGATGCATTTGACATTTTTAATCCTAGCATCATGCATGACACTTGTTATCTATAAACTTTGCGGCTTTCTTGCTTGTCACAGAGTTTTCCGTATCTCCATGGTAAGGTATATGAGCATGAAATCCAAAGGTCTATTAGGTTTGATTCCTAATGTGGGGGATCGACTCAGGTTTTATTTTAGGGTCCTATACACTCTTGACAAATTAAATGCCATATTTGGTTAGTATGGTACTTCTGAAGTCTGTTTTGTGTTCTATTTTGAGAGACTAGGGTCCGATTTTGACACCAGTGTCCTCAATCAGACGACAAAGTCCAAACTTGAAGACCTGTGTCCAATATTTGACACTAGTATCCAAACTGTACAATAGTGTCCAAAATCGTATACTTGATTGCAAAGTTGGAAGTGAAGAAAAGAAGGGCACTTGTGTTGAGTAATCTTTAAGATGTAGCTCAAACAAGTTATCTCTGCAACTTTTATCAATGGAGAAGAACTTCAAAAGAGGAAGTCAATGGGTGTTCATGAAATCTTTGGAAATCATACCTGATTTTTGTGTGAAATTGGCTGGGCATATTGAAAATTGGGTTAGACAATGTTCAATGACTTACGGTTATTTTTCAGCTTTAATGATGTTGTAATAATATAGTTATATCAAAAGTTAAACATGGTAATGTAAAGTAGGTTGAAGTTTGGTAGAAATGATGTAAGTTGCCTTGTTTTTAACCTGCAAGTGGAGAGTGCCTACAGTATTATTGTGAGCTGGGATCCTATTCATCCAAAAAGTGGTCTTGATGTCACATACCTTCTTTTCCAAGGTAATAAATTCATATCTCAAAAGGTAGCTAAACATGATTCTCAACAAAAGATGGTGGAGGCCATTTTCATACCTCTTAGAAGTTAGAATTTGTTTTTTGTCAAGATTGCAATTTATGTCCACCTTTTAGACTGGTTAACGGTCAAGTCGGCCAAAAGTCATCTTGCCTGAAGTCATGTTGCCCGAAACCAGAGTCATGTTGCCTGAAATTCATAGTCATGTTGCCTGAAATCCTAAGTCATGTCGCCCGAAATTTTATCAAGTGTTTAAACTTGAAGGAAAGTTTAATCTTAAGTAAATTGCAAGGAATAAACTTGTAAAATGTTGACTCTTGTAACTCAGGTTGTTCGTTTCACTGTCATTTGAGAGAATTCACATCAGATCTGAAAATTAAAGGGTAATAAACTGCTGTAGAGATTAGAACCTATAGCCAAGAAACTTTGCATCTCTGTTAAATGTTCATTCACTCCAGATGAGAAATTGGTTTACTCTGGTCCAAGAACAAGTTACATAGCCAATGACCTAACACCAAACACAAAGTACAGCTTCTATTTACAAGCCTCAACAGAAGGGGATGACAGTCCTCTAAGCAAGAATGTGTCTGTTGTTACTCCTGAATCAGGTACTTCTAATCCCATTGAAACTCCTACCAGTAAACAGGTCAAGTCAACACTTGATTAGTGTGATCCTTGAGGTCTATTTCAACAAAAGCAAAGTAGTTAGCTGTCCACAGTGATGGCTCTCTTGTCTTGTGGATTAAGTTAATTAGAACTTGATTTGAATTTGAATCTTATTGATTGTAAAGGAAGGCTGAAACACCCCCAGAAAGGGCCATTGTTGATGTTAGCTAGATCTTTATCTGAGTAGGAAAAACATCAAAACTTGATTAAAAACTGAAAAATGAGAAATTCTCTGTTAGTCAAAGTCTTGTAATCCTTAAACTCTAGAGACTGAGTGGGTGTATTGTCAGCGCTCCCTTTCTTTCAGATTCTCTGTTATCTTAACATCCCCTAAAAGTTGATCTTAATGGATATAATTGCATGTTCAAACCCTCTACTGTATATAAAGCCTTTTTCATAAATTAGTAGTGTGTGAGTAATAACAATTTCATTTCTAATGATGTCCTATGTAATACACAGTTCCAAGTGCACCTCAGTCTCTCCAAGTGTTAAACAAATCTACATCACAGATAAAAATAATGTGGGAACCACCAGAAACTTCCAATGGGGTACTTAAGGGATATCAAATTGTTGTGAGAGGTATATCTTTTAAAGTATTTTTCCATACTCAGTTGCAGTGAAAATTTGTGTCATAGACATCATATTATATTATATATTATATTATATGTATATAATTTTGATTTTGTATGTAATACCTAACAAAAATGCAGGCTAGCAGTATAGCAGTTGAAAAATCATGATAAATACAATTGATTCACCTAACTTAACATCATGAAACAAATGATGAACTGTTTGTTTATCTAAATAAAACCATGGTGAACAACAATATTTTCTATAACAACAATGCATGTGCCAGAAGAACTTCAATCAGTCATTTGAATGAAGTGTAGGCCACAAGACATTATAAGTAACTATCATGTTTTTCTGTACTATTGAGGTAAGACATCCAGTCTTGAAGTCCATGAGAATTACTTCATTTTATCCAGTTTGCCTCCTGACACTGAATTTACATTCCAGGTATGTAAAAAGATCCCACAGTCTTTGCTTACATACAGGATGGGTACCACAAGCAACCAACCTAAGCATTTTTCTGCTTTATTTGTCTTTAAGGTGTTTGCTCTGACAAGCAAGGGACGAGGAGAAGCAGCCATTCTAACAACAGCTACTGATGATCTAGGTTGAGTAGAAAAAAAAATTGATGATTTAATTAAAAACTGATGATTGTTCAATAACAATAATCTAGTAAAAGAGTTACATGGCTCAGTACTTAAATTCCTTACTTTTACACTTGTGCCAACAATATTTAGCATTCTAAACATTTTAGTAAATTATTTTATTTTTTATTTCATAGTTTGTATTGCTACTACTCATCCTTCCTTGAGTATTATTCAATATTAACCCTTACACTCCTAGGAGTGACTTATAAAGAGGAATTTCTCCTTACAAAGTCAGTACATTTTAAAGTACAAAAGTAGCAAGAAGGGAAAATATAAACTATAAGGGACTTAGTTTGCTTTTAAACCAATTTCTTAGAGATCAAATTACTAGAAATGCATGGCAGACACTGCTGAAGACTGATATTTAGATATTGGGAGTGGAAGGGTAACTAATAACGTTCTGTGATCTCTGAAGCATCATGAGGAATTGAACTGTATGTCATTGATAAGTTGCATCAATTTATCTCTTGCAGCATCACATGCTCCACCCAAGCCAGTGGTTCAGGTGCTGGGTCGTCATGAACTGATGATATCTTGGGAGAGTCCTCCCAAACCACTTGGAAGGATTAACAGCTATGAAGTCAGAGTAGATGATGTGGTATGTATGTTGTGAGAATAAACATCTTATAGTTTATTTTTACAGTGTTAACAGTGATCTAAGCTTTATATCAATGTTTGTCTTATGAACATGTTACTGTAACAGTTACTACTCTAGTGATAACCACTGTTTCTTAAAAATCACAAACTTTAAAGCCCCTCAAAAAAGATATATTGTGCAAATTAGTCATGCAGAATTCAACACCCTTGTACAGTTACCATGAAATATCCCAAGGTCTTGTTTGTAAGGTTTTGCTTCGTTTCTTGTGTCAGCCTATTAGTCTTAATCTAACATGACTTTTTTTTTAATGATAATGCTTTTATTTTGACTAGTGCCCATGTATTCAGCAAATATATGCTTAGAGAATGTATTACTCCTTGTATGAATCATTATCTTGCTTTAACAGGCAATTTACAATGGAGTTGAAAAGAGCTGCACAGCCAAGTCTCTCAAACCCAATACAGAATACTCAATCACAGTAAGTCTACACATTGGCACTCCATAAGAAAACTTAGTTCCTGTACAATACAGCCAGTTCATGTACATAACTTTAGATTTAACCACTTTTTTCAAGTGAACAGACAGAAAAAGTGTCTATAGACAGCTTAAGTCAGGGGTGCAGAGGGTAACAGGCTGAAGGCATGGCATATAAATAGTTGACAAATCTTGGGAAGTTATAATAATGGCAGTGATTTGGAAAAAATAACTCTCCTCCTCTTTTTGAGGTGTTGAATCAGTGAGTCTGTTGTCTTTTAGGTCAGTGCATGGTGCAGTGAGGGTAGGTGTGAAAGTGTCCCAACCAAGAAGAGGACAGGAAGAGAAGTATACAGTGAGATAATTATGATCTGTTGATATTTAAAAGAGGAGTCTAGGATTGTAGACAATGCCCCAATTAAGGAAAGATTGCTCATGACACTGTTATAATAAGTGACAAAGTGATAAAGCCACAAACATGATAAAGTTGCCGTTGGGTGTGGATTTCATCTGATTGGATGAGAATAGTTTAGCAAAACTGATGTTGTCTTAGATTATTTTGGACATAAATTCAAATATTGCTCTCAACTGACACAAGCTAAGCAGTAATGTAGCAGGCCAGTATGTAGTCACTCATTTTTGTCACCCCTGACAAGGCAGTAGTTGCCTGTGACATTCACTCTACAACAATGGTCTATGATGATGAAACTACATGGTGTAAAAAAAAATAGTAATAAGTAACATTAACTCATTAACTGTATGAAGACTACAATGACTTTCCAATACAGTTAATAACCATTTCTGTTGCTGTTTCTGCCTAATTAACAATTCCATTAATTTTCTAACCTTAAAGGGAATTTTGCCAAAATAGACTCTGAACTCAGGTATTTGTTTTTCACTCAATTAATTTTTAACGACAAACAACAAAATCTACTTGCCCCTAGATGAATAGAGAATACAATCAAACTAACTAAATATGTAATTTATTTAACTAAAAATCAGTAACACTTAGCTCTTTTTACCGTTTGGGAAGACTTGCTCGTTTCTTTTCTTCATCTTGTTTTGGAAATGTTGCTGTAACAAGTGTATAGTTCCTTATTCAACTCTTAGCCATATATACCCCAACATCATTATGCATATTCTCTACACAGTTATCCATACTATCCTATGGTACTGATAAGGAGAATTTGATAGACGATCCTCTTTGGTGGTCACTTCCTTTATTCTCATGACCCTAATGTTTGATTCAGTTGTGATGATGTGAGGAGAAATTACATGCTAGTCACTCTTAGGGGTGAATGTGTTAACTACTTTATTTTTACTTCTGTTTGATTAATGATTTCTTTGCACCTGCACTATGTACACGGGCTCAGTTTAGCAGTCTGTCTTCCGAGTTTTTCTTCTTTGTTATCTACTAGATGTTATTCAACAGGAGTTGTATTTGATGCCTGTCCCATTCCAAAACCGTAGCTCTTTACTATTGTCAACGAAAGTAGTACAGGCATCTCTCACCTCGCCAATAAACATAGGAAGTACTTTTTTCTGACGTGTTAAGTTTTCATTTTCTTTCATATAATTGATGGTGGCCATAAAACTGGCAAACATATTTCCCTGTTAGGTTGGATAGGAAGGGTAGTGTCACTTTAAGACCAAATTCTCTCTTGGGAAACAAGAAGGTTTCAGTAACTTTGTCAAGACATTTTGATTCCATCTAAGTCTTGCAAAACTGTCTTCACCTTGAAGGAGAATACAAAACAGTCTGGTGAGATAGAAAAACACAATTGAGGTATTTATAAATCAAGAAGAAGCAACGATGGCTTAGTTAGGATGTCGAAGATTGAGATGGATTGTAAATGACGACTTTCGTAAATGTAAACTAGCCACTTGAATTAGAAGGTAACAGTTTGCGTATTGCACTCACACTGCACATGCACGTTTTTTAACAGACCCTTTGTGTACAGCGAAGGGCTCCACAAGGCCAAGAAATGCACGTACATCCACAAAGACAACTGCTTCAGCTGCTGCTAAAGCTTCTACCAGTAAAACAAAAGCTAAAGGTGCTGTTTATATAGCTAGCTAAATTATAAATTGAAATGTAAAATTCAAACGCATAAAGTAATGCGCAACAGCAGCATATATGATAAACTTAGCCGTTAGGTATTGAAAAAAAAACTGATTTGTGCTATCATGACCAGCTCAGTAACGTCGAATAAATTTGTGCGCTTGACGATATCTTCTTTTAGATACGCCCAATTCATTATCCATGATATAAAATTCTATCTCCGTCATTGTGTCACGTTCTTTAGCACATTTCGGTGATGATGATGATGATTCTATAACAAAATACAATTCTAATAATCTCAACCCATTTCATAGTCTCGTGGCTATAACTCATCGCTAAAAACTAAATAATACTGATCACCATGTACATTAACATTCACTTTTCAATGATATTTCCAAAGTTTGTAATTCCGAGCTGAGTGAAATATCTAACATAATAATATAACATTTTCTGAAATTACAATTTATCTTCTAAATTTCAACCTGACTGAATTGAAGGTACTGTATAAATCTGAGCATGGATCAGAATAACACCAAGAGGCCGACTAGACAGCATGTATCTGGAAAACGTGAGCAGTTCAGGGTATTTTTCTCACAGCAAGCGCTGTCAAATGTTTTGACTAGTTTTTTTAGCTAGACATTTATATATTTTTTCAGAAATGCATTTGGTAACATAATAATTGCGGGAATACCTTCCTTACCTAAGCGCATAATTGACCAGTTTATTCGGCTTGTTCCCTAACATCAAGCCTTACTTGGTCTTGTTCCTAATTTGAAGATTTCTTTGCAGCTCCTACCAGAAAGCCTTTATATCCATTTGAAAAGAAAACTGTACCAGTTAAGCAAGAAAAGGGTGAGGGTTTGATTTTAAGCGACATCTTGTTAAATTTGGTGAAATGTTTGCAACCAAATGTACTCTTATGTTAGGGTTCTGTTATTACACTTGGCTCGGTGTATTTGTAGAGAACTGAGGGCGTGGCTGTTAAATTCGCACTTGCTCGCATTTAAACGGCGCTGAACCAAAATAACTTAGTAGGGAAAAAAGAAAAGAAAATTTGTACCATCTGCGATGATGGACGAACTATGTGTGGTACGTGCTCATTTGTTTCTGCTTTGTGGGAGGTGCATTTTATGGGGTTTGGGTTTCTATTACTTTCCTTTTACAGTCATAGTCAGAAAGGATTCATTTTACCAGAGTTCCACAGTTAAAAGTTCTCTCTCATTTCTCTGAGTTATAAACAGCGGTTTTTCAGTGTTTATCAGTCTTTACTCGTCATTACTTTCTCCAGTACTAAGAAGAGCAAGGACTGCCGAAGTGCTGAGAGTTCCAACAGGAGATAGTACACTAACAGCGGACAGTAGGGAGGCAAAACTCAAGAGGAACGGGGTAAACTTATCTTGAGGTTTATAACTATGACATTAAGGAATCTGTGTCATTAGAAAATGAACGACGAATTCATGCCGGATTCATCTACATTTGAAGCAATTGCAGACAACAAATTCATTCAACGTAGTTTTGATATTTTGAATTTCAGCATAAAATAGAAATCAATGGGTAGCTCGGGCAAAAAATCCCATAAACTCTAAAGTTTGTTTGTGGCTCTACTTGTATCTGGAAGTCACAGGTTCAAGCTTTGTGGAAAGCTGAATTCTTTTTTCAGACCTTACTTTCAGCTGAAATGTTAGTGATTACCTCCGCCAGTGGATCACGTTGATGACATTGCGTTTATCTTTTTTGTTTTACTCTTAGATATTAACTGAGAAGAAGACTCGTCCTCATACAACCATAGGAAGGGAAGATGTGTTGAACAGCTCCCAGCAATCTATCAAGAAACCCACTGGTAATGACTTTATCATCATATGCTCTCTGGTAATTAGCTTTTTCATTGCTGGCAGAAGAAAAGAAAACAATTGGCGTATCAAAGGTTTATTCTTTTACTTCAAGAAGATTATCAAAAGAATGCTAGTTTATAATGTTTAATTGTGAACTAAAAAGGACAGTGACACATCCTTTTCTGGCGGTTATGTGTTTTTTTGTGGCAGGGTTATTGAAAGTTCAACAAAACCTTTTTTTCTTGTTCAACGGCTCCCTGATCGTCGAAAATAAACATAGCAAGAATACGTAACACCTTTTTCGGCACAATGAAGTAATAGTTCTTAATTGGTAGCGTTATAGTTTCATTATTTTGTGCCTTTACATTCCGTTTCTATCTTATTGCCTAGCATCGCAGTTTCGGATTTCACTCGGAAATATTTTGCACTGGAGTGGTATCAAAGAACATCTGAGATGTGATTCTTTTAGTCACAAACTTGGGAAAAAGGAAAACATCTGAGTGAGGGAAAATCTGAATCCCAGTTAGGAGTCAAACCCTAGACCTTCGAATTTCTAAATTTCGTGATCTGACTTACTCTACTACTGTGCTATAGAAAACTTTATAGTAAGTTGGCCACATACTAGGTTCATATGTAACCAAGCTGTACATGTGTCTCTTGTTAGGGCGTAAAACAACCAAGTCTCAGTCGCCTAGTCTGTCGCAGTCACTCGAGTCCTTGGGGAAGGATAGTGACGATTCAAAGGTAGTAATACTATCTTTTTGAGGAAGTTATTTCGTATTGCGTAGTCTGAGATCGAAGGCTTGTTAACACCTCCGATATTGTGTTTTTGGAAGGAAGAGGGGGATTTTGAATGATTGTCCGTGGATTTAGAATCCTACGGCAACGTTTGTGAGAAGATTTTTAGCGGTTATTCAGCATTTCAAGAAGCTAGCTGGCTTTTTATGTCACCTTGAGCTCCTATTCGCCCCTCGTGATAATTTTTTTGCTCTGATTGGCCGCTCTGGCTATGTTGTTTTCGGTTTTGCGACACTTAAATGCCATATGGAAAGATAGTTTATATGATATGCTTATTTTAATTTCATCCAGAGTACAAGCCATTCATTAAGTGGCTCCAGCTCAGCTTCATCAGCCAGTTGTGAAGTGAAGGACAGGAGAGCTGTGAGTGATGCTGCTCAAATAGAAATTGGAAAAAAACTGACTAAACGTAATTCTCAGCTTGGAGGCTCGGCATCCTCGTTAACAAAAGAAAGGGCTGGAAAAGGTCAGTGCTGGCCTTATACTTTGGATAATGCATCTCTGTTCTCGCGCTGAACACTGTTCTCCTCGCTTGAAATTTAAGGGGGTACTGCACATTTGATTTATCATTAAAAACAAAAGTGGATCAAGTCAGTATCTGAGCAACTGCGCACCCTCCCCCCCTTCGACAACAGTCAACTGAGAACAACTCAGGGTGAACTCAGAGTTAATGTTGGGTTGGTAAAGGGGAGGCAGGTAGGTGCACAGTTGCCCATATACTGACATTGATCCATTCGTGTAAATTTCCAAGTGAGTGTTTTTGTAAGTTGAGGGCAATGTCGTGAAGTGGCTCAATTAGTTAAAAATGAAAAATTCCATGATTATGTCGTGACTCAACAGTGTATCACTGAGCTTTACACAGTCATAGTCCCCTAAGTTTTTTTCCCGCTAAAATTAAGTCGTCAACTTATGTGTCCTATGTGACGAGTGAAATTTGGGGATCATTGTGTTGTGGGAAGAACTGTTAAGTAATGTTAAGCTTATTCATTCTACAAGTTGATTTCTCTTGGTTTTTGCTTGCTTTTCTTTTCAGGTCCAATAATGATGAGAAGGTCAAGTCTTCCGGGGAGCGGAGGGGTATCTGGTAAAAGATCCTCTTCTAGATCCACTACAGTTAAAACACCACAAATAACAATTGGAGAAGATTCTCCTTCGGCTTCTAAGGACAGACAAAGGTACATCAAACTAACAGACTCTGGGACTGTTCGTGCAAATCAGTCGAACATGTATATTGATTAGCAAGGTCTTTGTCATTGAAAATGGTGGGGGCGGGGGTAGGGAGAGGAGTATCCGTGGAGGACCAGCTTAGCTGCTGGACCCTTCCCGGTTGCTGTAGCACAAGGTGAAGAGGAGTACTGGTACTCTCTTTCAGATGGGATGCTAGTCTACGGCGCGTTGCCCTCGGCATATTATCACGTTTCCTCGTTAATTTATTGGTGTTGGTACCTATCCGAACTTTTGTGTAAAGTAAATTGATTTGTCCAAGAACATTATGATATTGATTGTTAAACAAATCCTCACAGTCATTATCACAGTAAATGTGGAGAGATCACTGTGGAGAAATTGCGTACTGATGGTAGAGAATGAGCGTGACAAAGATATTTTACGTATCGACCATGAAGTGAGCTGAAGTACATCCGATCCATTGAGTCTTTTTGTTTATCTATTTATTTATTTATTTATTTATGTATTTTTTTCAGTGGGTCTTCCTCTGCTCTAAGAATCACTAAAATCGCAGGGGAGGTTGCTTCTCTTCAGATCTCTGAAGGAAATGACGCGTAAGTGTTTTAAATGGAGGCTGTGCAATATTGCAATGAGTATAATTTTGTGGTCTACTGATCAGAACGTACAAAGGTTGGGTATTTTCTTGTAACTTTGTCTCAGATTTTGCTTTTCTTTTTGGGGAAGATGAAGTCGTGTCTATCATTATAACTGAGTGTCAATATTTTCCATGTACTTTATTTTAGGAAACCTCCCCGACCACAGAAGAAGACTCAGTTTGCCTCGTCGTTTAATGAACTCAAACAGGTGCACAGAGGAACCAGGACAAACAGTTCAAGAAGCAGCTCCTCTGAAGGCAGACATGGGGAAGCACAATAGATGGATGGAGATGGAACAAAGAATCTTTAAACCATATGTTCAACCCAGGGGAGGGACAAGAGGATAGGCACGGGTGGGTTGGGGGGGGGGGGTAAGCTCGGATCTTGTAGTTACTCTAGTACTTTCACAATTGTAGTAGTTACTCTAGTATTTCCAACTAAGAGCAGCGCACCACGACTCCAAGGGTTGTGTTACAGTACATACAAGCGGGCGCGCTTGACAGGGAGGACGGATTGGGGGTGGTGGAGAGCGTGAACTCCCTGTGAGAGAGGGGCTCAAATTTAAAGCTTATAAAATTTCCTAAATCCTTTTGGTAAAAAGCTTTGTGACAGCCATTGTATGTTACCGAAAAGTGTGCGCAAAATTAACCATGGGACTGCATGATACCTGATGCATTTACAAGCCTTACGTTGAATTTCCGCTTTCATTCCGAATACATCCTGGAAGAAACCGAAGTAGACGAAAGACGAAATATTTCAAGCAGCAACATATTTTGATCGTATAGACCGTTTTTTTTTTAGTCGTGGCTAATTTTGTATAGAGCTAAGAAATTAAATTGAATTAGATTTTTGATCTGAAGTTTTGTAAAGGAAAAAAAAAGATTTAAGTTATAGAGATGAATATATTTATCAGATGAGAATTCTAAATTTTTCAAGTGTTTGATTTTCTTGTTATTCTAATAAAAGTTGCCAACGTTTGAAGTAAATTTTAAGAACCGCTAAAGTGTAAGGGTTAAATACTGTAAAGATTTAAAGGTCTGTTAGGCCTCATTTTAGGGTTTTTGGGTCCCAAAACATTTCTCAAGTCTGGGAATGGGGAAAGATGGCTACTCTTTTCTGGACTTTAGATATTCTCCTCCCGGAAGATTTACCTTTTTCGGGCCACAATAAATTTTTTGTACGGCCTTCAGTCTGTACATGTTCTTTATTTCGCGCGAGGTGGCTATCAATTTATTTATTGAAGGTGTAAGAGTAATGCAAAGAACAGATTAAAAGAGGCGTGGTTCTGTTGTTACTTCTGTTAGTATTTATTTCTTGAGAATTGAAGTATCTAGAGGTCCAGTTCTTTATACACCCGTAGCATATAAGCACCCATGGATTCGCATCCTTTCAGGCGATTTTAAATCTTCATCTAGATTTTGCGTCCTTCGACTTGAGTTTTCTGCTGCTGAGAACAGTTGCCTATGAAATTAAACTTTCATCAATTACCGGTGTAGATATCGCCACAGGAAGAAAATATGAACGTAAATTAACACGAAACAACTCCAACTCTCTTGCATGTACACCCTAATCGTTATGTTTTCATGAAATATTTTGTAGAAGTGTTTTCAGGAGCCCTGGTTGTTTTGTATCATTACATACCATCCAGACTCAATTCTCCGTTACCTAGAGTTCAGGCATCCATTTCCTTCGAAAGTAATTATTTGTTTTTATTTGTTTTTCTTTTTTTATGAGTGTGTGTAAAATGTACCATTCAAGTTTGCGTGCTTCGTTAGAGATTATAGTAGTCTCGTGGTGGCGACTTGGTTGTGATGTTGCTTGCGGCGAGACTGGTTACCCCCAGAGAATTCTGGGTCATAAAAATTCCAAAACGCGCGAAATCGAAACACAAGGGACATCTGGTCTAGAAGAGTTGTTATATGGCGTCGTCACCAGACGGTAGGCCTTTCAAATTATTAACAGTCTTCTTTTGAAAGCTAGAAGAATTAAAAGAAGTGAAGCATTAGCAATGAACGGAGCGGTAATTCCTGGTACACCAATAGCAGTGGACTTTTGGAGATTGAGGCAGTGTCCACACTCGAGGATTTTCTTTCTTTCTCACATGCATGCAGACCATACGGCTGGTCTTACTTCTTCTTGGAACACTCACACCATTTACTGTTCAGAACTGACAAAGAAGCTTGTAACAGCAAAGCTTGGAGTTAATAGCGACCTCGTGACTGGTTTACCTTTGGACGAACACATCATTATAAACCTGGACGAGCAAGGCCACGAAACTATGTCCGTAACTTTGATCGACGCAAACCATTGCCCAGGTTCTGTTATGTTTATTTTCGAAGGTTATTTTGGGAAAATCCTCTATACCGGGGATTTTCGTCATTGTGAACGCATAGCAACACATTCTGCCATTAACAGAAGAGTATTTGATGTGCTGTATCTTGACAATACTTACTGTGATCCCAATTGTATTTTTCCTTCTCGTACTGAAGCAACTATCAAGATCCTCGAGATTATTCGAAGACATTCAGAGCACAATGTGGTTTTGGGGCTTCATAACCTAGGCAAAGAGATGCTTGTCCACACCATCGCTAAAGCGTTCCGAACGTGGATTGGAGTGGATCCTTCAAGAAGAGAAACTTTGGAACTAATTGAAATGCCGAATGTCTTTACTTGTGAGATTGACAAAGTCAGAATTAGGGTTGTGAAAAATAATGAAATAACTAGGAAGAACATGCAGGCTTGGAACTCTGAAGAACCAACCATTGCTATTTTACCAACATGCCTTTATGTTGGTGGGAAAAACCCCTTTGCCAATTTGGATAATGTTTTTGTAGTTCCATACTCTGATCATTGTTCTTTTGAAGAGCTGCAAAAGTTTGTTCAGGTTGTCAAGCCGAGGAGAATCATTCCGATTGTGCATAAACACAGACTGTCACAAGGGGAAACTATAAATACTAGAGTGAACATGCATGTCTTCCAATCTTTGCTGGATTATTCTCCATTACAGAAGTACAGGATCCCTCATTCTGTAACATGCTTCATGAGTTCCATAGCACAGCAGCCCAAGAAGACGAAGGCAAGAGGTCAGCTCTTCACAAGAAAGGCTGCTAAGATCAAGAAACCTCAAGGGGTAGTCTTTCCTACCAGTCCTGGGGAAAAAGTAGAGAAAGATGAAAAGGGTGGGTTAGACACAGGCAATACAGAGTGTAGTCCTTCCAAAGAGGTCCCAAGAGATCAGAGAAGTCCAGCTGAAGACCTCCAAAAAGGGGGAATGTCAGATAAACCAGTACTCAGTATAAGAGAAGAGACCACAGAAGATGAAAATAAATTAGCCTCATCAATAGACAACAAATCAAGCTTATCTGACAATGACATGATAGAAAGATCAAACAAAAGTGCTCTCAATTGTGAAGACACTAATTCCAAGGAACAGATGATCACAGAAGATGAGATCAGTACTATTGTTTCACCAAACATAGAATGTGGCAAAATTGGCAGTGAACCACGAGGAATGTCAGAAGTGGATATTGATTACTTTGATGTAATCATCCCTGCCAATGAAGTCAATCTAGTTGCCTCCTCCACCATTGAACCTTTCATGTCTGGTAGCAAACCAGAAGGAAACCTGCATCTCACTGATGTTTCCAATGGAGAAGGTTTTCAGTGTGAAAGTATGGTCCAGGAGACAAGTGGAAACGAAAATAGTTTGGTTGATTTGTCATCAGGCAGAAAAGACTTAACAGAAAGTCAAGTGCAAGAGGAACCCAAGGTTTTTTACAGTGTGGATGTTAATAGGGTTAAACACATTACATCTACTTCAGCCAACAAAACCAAGTGTTTGTTTGATGAACATTTGAGTTCCCCCAAGGGAAATATTTCCAACTGCAAGATCAAATGCAAGGATGCGAATGACAATAATGCATTTACTTCAGCAAAGAATCTTTCCTTGAAGAATCACTCTCTGAAAAGGAAGTTTAAAGATATTGATACTAACAGCTGTGAGAAGGTCATCAATGGAGTTGACAGTCATAGATCAAACATGGAAAAATTCAACATTTATACTGGATACACTTGTGATTTTGCAAGAAAGGTACTAGAAGATTTGGTCAAAACTGTACCTTCAAAAGATAAGTAACTGAATGCCGATTAGACATTCATTGGACATGATTACCCCAATTCATATTATGCATCTAGTTGTGTTTAAAGTGTCGTTAAACTTAATGAAGTAAAGAAGAAACTGCACAGTCATCACTCGACATGGTTTACCTGTTAACCCATTAAACCCCACAGATCTGATGTTAATTCTCCCCTATAGCTGCAACACATTTCATTGTAACTAAGTTATGAGAATTTGGCGTTAGATCAAGACACAAAAACCTGTACTTGATAAGTTTGAGAATTCTCATCATATCTTTGCTGGATAAGGTATGGATATTATAGGGAGTCACATAACATGTTAATCACTCCTGGGAGTTAAAGGGTTAACACCCCTGTGATGATCTCAACCCTTCTACTCCAAGATCTGTGCTCAAACCTATGTTACTGTGTGCCACCCAGTCTTAACAATGTTTGTTTTGAGAATTTGGTTTTAAATCTAGCTATTTCCCCTGTTTATATTGTGCACTAAGGGTGACTTGGTATTGTGGCAGAAGTGAATTTTCAAACCACAATCCTGCACCCTAAATAAATTTTAAACAAGTTTGTTTATTTTTCTAAGTTGAGTGGAAGCTAGGTGTTTTCTTCATTAGCACATGCACTTGCAAAGTTTCAATCCTTTGAAAAACTTAATGTAAAGAAAATTATAGAAACAATTAATCAAAGTAACTATTGTTAGAGTTATTGTACAATTATAGCAGCATCAATGTTTATATTTTTGTTGATTGAAATTCCCAAAGTGTGATGAAAGAAAACCCTTGTCAATTGTATTACCAGAGGGGGCTCTGAGTAGTGCCTTTCTTTTACTTATTTCTTGCAAGTGACACAAGTGTTGGAGTGAAATACAAGAAAACTTTGGCAAAATAACTTTGCTTGCAGTCTGACTTTACTGTTGTTTTACTTGCATGAATGCCTTATTGTGTTGTAGGGATTCCAGATCAATTGGAGTTTGCTTTGTTGCATAATGAAACCAACCAGAGCTCTTTGTAAGCCAGTGTCTTACTGACTACATATTTCTCAATGACCAGCAACTTCAATAGGACAACAAGTGTCTTGAACTGTAATATGTTTAGCTTCTGCTTTATTTACTAGATATGTAACCAAAAAAGTTTGATTAAAACTGAGGAGCAAGGAATAATTAAAAGGAATAGATGGCCGTGTCCTTTGGACACTCAATTTTTCCTGCTAGCCATTGTCTTCATATGGCTGGCTACACGGCAAGGGAGAGAAAAATAAACTACAACAAAATCTGAATGAAATCACTTTGGCAACTATGTATTTAATTGTTTCCTTTTGAATGAAAAATACGAAAGTGGCAGTTCCTTTCACCTTCATTTTAGAGTGTCTAAAAGAATGTCCTAGATAAAAGTGCAAAAAAAGGATAACTTCCCATAGCTTCCTTGGCTTTTAATTCTCATGCCCAACCAAGACAGAATTTCTTCCTACAAATCAATACAATAACAAGCAGAAAAGTAATAAGAATAAAGAAATGTATCAACAAGGGGTTCATCAGTTGGTCCAGTACCAAATGCTCCTAAATAACATCATGAGAATTGAGTGGCAGACAGTAAGGAGAATAACTAGTGAGATCTTGTGGGTGAAAGCTTTGAACATTTTTGTAAAAGTCTAACAACTATGAACATGAGGATTTGTGTGAAAATGTTATCATGCTCCCCAAAAAATGTTCAGTGTAACTAGGTGTGAGACAACTAAACCATAATCAACTGGTAACCAGGTTGTGGATTTGAGGATTGTTTGCTTGTCCTGAACTTACTTGGAATTGATTAGCGGGCAACTGACCTGTCACAGTCAAATTGAAGGTGTTCACAGTTTTCAGAGTTTCAAGCTAGACCAGCAGTCACTTTGCCTGCTGCCCCATCTTGATTAATGTATGACAAGGAGTTCATTTTCCCATCAGTGCAAAAAACTAAAGCAAGTGATGGGCTGAGGCATAAGTTGGTCTTGTCTCTACTGCCTTTTTCCACTTCTCAAAGATCTGATTGTTAATTCTCCCCTCTAGCTGGAACACATTTTCTTGTAAACAAGTTACAAGAATTTGGTATAAGATCAAGATAACCTTCACCTGACAAGTTTGAGTATTCTTACGACCCATTTGTTGGATGATGTATGGATATTATAGGAAGAAGTTGAATGTCAATCACTTCCAGGAGTTAGAGGTTAAAAGAACTCTTGATCACACACAGTTGCTAATTTAAAGTTAATCTAACACAAGCCACCAATCAATATTTATTTGCTATATTTTCATTTAAGTGGTTCAACATTCATTTCATGGTATAAAACTGTCCTGGGGTATGAAGGTTGTACACTTATTTTAAGTATGCTGTAACCTCCTTTTTGAGATTTGAAATTTCTTCTGACAATGGTAATTGATCAGGATTAAGAAAGAAATTTTCCAGTTGAACAATTTCCTTAAGTTGTAAATAAGCCAATTGCTCATTTGTCTGCTTAACAAATGAGTAAAACTGTTCACTATACAGAAGATCCATTGGAACAATCTCAACAACATCAAATCCTGATTTCTCCTGATCCAGTTTTGAGAGCTGATCAAAAACCTGTGCAAGATAGGTTATGTAATGTTCAACATCATTGAGAAATCCTTTGCATACCAGAAACCTCTGTGGGCTGAAAAGATGTGACACCACTGGTTTAACAATGGCTAATTTATCAAACACCTGGTGCATTATAAACAAAATGCCGACACTGAACCTTGTCAGTGTCTGGTGAAAGTTAAGGACAAACATTCCTCCACTTTCTAAAAGCCTCAGAGCAACTATGCAAAGATAAACCATCTCTCGTTTTGAACTCAACTCATTAGTGTGGCTGAAATTGGCAAAGACAAGGTTTACTCTCCGGGAGTTACAGAGAGTTTCATTGTTAATAGCTCCATGAGGTGTTCCACTTTCTGTTGACATGTGTAACCAAATGGAGTTGAATCTTGCACTCTTCTCTTGTAAGTATTGTTCTAAGGAGTATGGGCCACTGACAAGATTCAGCACAATTCCATAATTTTCACCCTTTGCCATTTCCGAAAAGAAAACAAGATTATCAAGATTTCGCAGTTCTGCTTCCCCTCCACTTGACATCTTGACAATGTTTGAAGGATTCACTTTGTCCAAAAGACCTCTGAGATTGTCAGCATTTTCTTCTCTTAGAATTGCTGCCTGTTGATGTGCCTCCTGCAACTTGCTAATGTAGATTGGGGTGCAGAAACGTGAATTCAAAATGGTCAAAAAACGAGCTGCAGTCTTAGGTTTCCAGCTCTCTGGTGAAGAACTCTTTGTCCTTGGTAACCATACAACTTGATCATGAGAAAGTGGAATAAGAGGGACGCTGCTACTGACTTGAGAAAGGTCTGCAACAAGATCAGAATATGTTTATGAAACAAATTATCAAAAAATTATCTTCCTCTCTGTCTTGTTTCATAGACACTTGAAGACCGTTTGTGAAAGATTGGAATGTGTGGCATACCAAATAATTGTGGGTCATGGGCCAAATAATTTTTTTTGTTATGAAATTCAGCAAAAAAAAAAGAAAAAATAATAGGCCTCAACAACACATCCCTTCAGGGGATAATTTACAGAATTTGTTGTTGAGTTGTTTTTCCCCAACAACCACAAGTGATTTATTTAGGAATTTAAAGATAGGTTATCAGGTACTAAGCCTGAAATGAGATAAACTGTATTCCTTGGTTACAGATGAATATAGGCTCATCAGTACCACGGTAATGACAATGTTACCAAATTGTAGAACTGTAAATTTTTCTTCCAGTTATTTAACTAGTGTTCCAAAATGAATAGATTTTGGTAAATCACAGAATGCATTTATACAAGACATGCCATTGGATTTTGGGCTCAGTAATTTGTATGGGGCTATGCTTGGGCTTTCAATTGAGAAAATTAGTCTAACATTATGAAGACATTTTAAGTGGTTGCCTAATTTTACAGTTTGAAAAGTTACCTCTCCTAAGTAAAACTTGTAATACAGCAGGTCTGAAAGTGCTCTTCTGAGAAATGTCCACAACATAACCATTTTTTTGATAAGGTCTTAAAAAAAATACAATAGTTTACATAGGTTGCTTTAATCAAGGAAATGAAAAACCCATCACCCTACCTTGCAAAGTTCTGGAATGAGATGGACAAAATTTTAACTGACTATCAACTTTGATTTTGTCCAGCCAGTTCTGGTGAAGATTTCCTTGTCTCTGGTTATAACTTCCCCTCTGACGTGTACCAGCAAAAGTCTCAGCAAAAGGGACACAATATGTGGGCCCTCTGTTGAAGCTTAAGCTGGTACTTATTACTACATGCTCCTCTTCACTGATTGGCTGCAAGTGGAATTTTTCTACATAGTTTTCCACCACAAGCTGACGAAGTTGATTGTGTGCCTTTCTCTCTGCAGAAGTCATGTAGTGGAACTGTTGAATGTTCAGATCAATGGCTTCCATTTGAAGTCCCGTAAAGTACTTCTGGCATGTTCTCAATCTCTCAAGAAAAGTGGTGGGAATTGATTGTAAAGAAAAGAGGCTTGGTAATGGGCAGTGTGGAGTGAAAGCCTTTCTCAGTTCTTCCAAAATGCAACTTGGAATTTGCTGTTCTCCAATAAATTGGAGGCATACAATGTATACTTCTGAATTACCAGATTTACTAGTACCTAGAAGAAAACAATGAAATAATTTGTTCCTCTTCAAAACTTTTTTTTTGTAAAACTTGATATATTTCAATGTTTCGATTGCTCAAAATAAGTATGGGGTTTCTTAAGTTAGAGGAGTCTAGGTAAGATTTTCCATTAACCCCTTAACTCTCAAGAACTCATTTTTAAATTCTCCCCTCTAGCTTCTACTCATTCCCTTGTAATTAGTTTTGAGAATTTGGTGATAGATCAAGAAAATCATTTCTACCTGACAGTGTCTAATTTGAGTATTCTCATTACCAGTTTGCTAGGTAACGTGAGGATATTATAGGGAGAAGTTACATGTTAATCACTTCTGGAAGATAAAGTGTTAGGGAGTTCCCAAGTCAGCGTCTAACGGGGTTTACCACCTTTTCTCGCTATGACACAGAAGGTATCCCTGATACAACTCAGTGGATCTCTCCTATAAGCTGCGCAATGAGTTATATACATGTTCCTACCTGGTTTAATGACTTGTATTTCTTGAAAAACACAAGCAAGAAGATACATTAGAGAAACCATTTGATGCTCAAATGCAGTGAACATTTTGAACACAAGCTGCGCAATGAGTTATATACATGTTCCTACCTGGTTTAATGACTTGTATTTCTTGAAAAACACAAGCAAGAAGATACATCAGAGAAACCATTTGATGCTCAAGTGCAGTGAACATTTTGAACACAAAGTTTCCTCCTTGGCAAAGTAGGTTCATAGCAGCTACTGCCTCACAGAAGATTAATTGCCCCACAAGACTTTCTTGTTCATCGGGTTGATTAGCACAATTAATACTGCCATCTGCTGTCACCTGAAGAGTAACAAAACCGACCCAAAGAGAAGTATTATTAGACTGTAACTGGTCTCTTTATTTTTCAATTGAACAGTCAAGATGCCTTATGAAGCAACTGTTCCCTAAACCCAGGAGATGTGGAGCAAATATTAAACTGGAGAGCTTAAACCAGATTGTTGCAGAAGCACCTTTGGGGTCTAGAGAATGTGTAATAGGTGGCGGTGGGGGGAGGGTTCCAAAAGACCAGAAAAGATCCATAGTAAGAATCTTACAAACTCAAGTCAAAATTTTGATACATTAGTTAAAATGAAATACATAGAGAATGTTTTCTTTTTTCAGGTTTTTGATTTTGATTGTCAAACCTCTCACTGAAATCATGTAACTAAGTTTCACTCATAGACCTTCATTTGTAAAATATCAAAAAATGTTACAGCTCTGGTAAAAAGATTGGGAGACATTCTGCCTTCCACCTAACAGGAAGACATAAATAACTAAAATCAGTGGCATATCAAATTCATGTATCTGGGCTTCTGATCTCAAACAGTTTCCACAATCTCACTGTTAAGTGCCCAGATTTACACAAACTGGCTGGAGCTACATTATCACAATGAAACCTTCAATCGAAATAATTTAAAGAAAATAAATCATTGTTAGACAACACAAGAGGACTCTTATGACTTTTCCCTTACCAAGTGACTTTCACCTGTCTCCTGTTTAAGAGAATCCAGATTAGCCAGATTCATCAAGTCTCCAGTTCCATCAACACCAAAATTCCAATGCGACAATGTTTTTAAAATAAACCTGTCATCATCCAGCATGGCTTCCAGGTCATTTCCTTCGTAGTAAGGATTCAGAGTATTAGCAACCCACTGCCAATCCATACCGTTATAATGGCTCTTCAAATAGTGATTCAAACTTGCAACAAAAGCTCCAGGGGCCTCACAGAGGTGCACAGAGCGAAATTTTTCACTCCTTTGTGCATCCTCTGGGATAAGATCAAAGGTGTTTAAGATTTCGTAGAATTTAGTCCAGGCCTGTGTACACATCTCTGCATTGAAGTTCTCTCTGAGGTGCTTCACGACAAGACCGGCTTTATGAGTTCTACGGGTGTGCAAATGCCATTTGACAATATCCATATCATTCAGCAAACTCTTCTTCTGATTCAAATCATCTTTTAGCGAGATCAGGTCGGCTAGAATGAATGGTGGTTCTTGAAACATAGTAGACGAATGCGGAAGTTCCCATGCTTCCTCGTTTGATTTTAAAACAAATTTTTTGTTAAACAAGGCTTCTATTTCCTCTTGGAAGTCGAAACAATCGTGTGCATGACGCTTTTGGTACTTTCGTCGTTTCTTAGACGCCATTGATAACAATTAAGATGAACAATTGACGTTCAAAAGACTACGAAGTGGACTACATGCGAACCGAAAGCAGCCATATTGACGGACCACTACCGAAAAGACTGGGATCTAATCTCTAGACACTTTATGATGACAGTGTGGAAGAGTAATTATTTGCAATTATTCCGCTGTCCCGTTTTAGTTTTGTAATTTAATTGATCGCTGAACGGAGCTAGGCTAACATGTCGGACTTCCCAGCTGAAACCAGTAGCGCTGTATCAGTGCTCCAGGCGCTTCTCCCGTCAGTTCAGGATGCTAAAGATTTAAAGCTTGCACATAATCTATGTCAATTATCCAAGTTTGGGGGTGACCCAGTGCTTTTTCTTCTAACTCAAGGGATACATGAGTTCTTCTGTGGTAACCTAGACAGTTGTCTGTCAAATTGTCAATCTGTGATTGATATCTGTTGGGAGAAATGTAATACGGGTCACTGGAGAGATGTGAATGTAATCTGGAGGGAGACATATTCATATGCAAGTTTGTTCAAGGCTCTTTGTCTCGACGGCGTAGGAAGACAGATAGAGGCCATGAAGACTTGTGACATGGGACTTCTGTTAGGGGCCCCCATTTTGGACAACATTTTAACAAGGCTTGCAACTGAATTTCAGAAAAATGTTAAGTCAAGTAGTATCACTGATCAAGACACAGCAGACAGTACTTTAAGTTGTTATGAATCTAAAATTCATGCAAAAGGAGAAAAAACAAACTTTTCAGCAGCTGTGAGATCTAAAGAAAAAAAGAGGTTGAGGGACGACTCAATGAATCTTCAGCCTGAATCTAGTGGAGATGAACAGTTATCTACAAGTATTAATTCTATAAAGAAAAGGAAGGGTGTTGCAAATTTACCCATAATTGACAAGAATTATGAACTGGGCCATGTTTGTTGTCCATCAATTGAAGCTTTTCTCACAAATCACATGCAGAAAGACAAACCAGTAATTCTTGAAGGAGTAATGGATCACTGGCCTGCAAGAACAAATCATCAATGGAGTATCGATTATCTTAAGAACATCGCTGGTTATCGCACAGTTCCAGTGGAGCTGGGCTCACGTTATACAGATGACACATGGACACAGAAATTAATGACAATAGGAGATTTTATTGACAATTATCTCAATCCAATTGAAAATGGACAAGAATCTGAGATTGCTTATTTAGCTCAACACCAATTGTTTGATCAGATCCCAGAGTTAAGAAGAGATATCATTACTCCTGATTACTGCTACCTTGGAGAAAGTGATAATGAGGTTATCATTAATGCCTGGTTTGGACCTAAGGGTACAATTTCACCCATGCATCATGACCCTTATCACAATCTATTGGCACAAGTGGTTGGAGAGAAATATATACGACTTTATTCCAAAAGTGAAACAGGGAAGCTTTATCCTCACAAATCTACCCTACTGAATAACACAAGTCAGGTAATTTGTGTTCCTTTCAGAAGAAACATATTTGTGTACAGTCAGAGAAATTGTCGTCATTTTTCCTTTTGCAGTTGACCTTCATTCTTTACAGAGATGTTTCCTTGCCCCCCTCGGCATGTTAATATCCACATTAGAAAAGAAAACTGACCATGTCCCTCTTTCTTACCCTAGTCTGTAAAGGAAGTTAGAGGTATCTGGAGAAGTGTGTTTCCATGGTAACAATTGTTTTTCAGTGATTAATATAAATCACTTGATCAACTAAGGTGGATGAGATGGGCCTCTACTAGTAAACCTTCGTTTGTGTCTACTCAGCATATGCCATTCGGAGCTAGTGGAGGAACTACTAAAAAAGCAGTTAACATGTCAACCAAAGAAGCACAAATACTACTGAAATAACTTCAAATAAGTGTCATATTTGAAATACAATCCTTATTACAAATTAGAGATACTTTTACATAAAAATAAGATTGCTATCCAATTTTGTATTTTCAGGTGGATGTTGAAGTGCCTGATCTCGTCAAATTTCCTGAATTCTCTTCAGCAGTTTATCAGGAGTGTATTTTGAAGGAAGGACAGATGTTGTATATCCCCCCGTATTACTGGCACTATGTCAGGTCCTTGTCTCTCAGCTTTTCTGTCAGTTTCTGGTGGTCCTGACTGTTGAGCTTTGTCATACTTTTTAACGCAATAAATGGAATATACAACCTGAGGAAGCCATCTTAAGAGTTCTATCCAGAAAAAGTGAAGAAATCACGTGGGCAAAGGTCTATTTGAATATTTTCAATTGTGTGACGAGTACTTTGCGTTATAATATATTGGTCTAGAAAACTTGCGCCATCTTCTCAACCAATTAGATTTAAAACTCAAACCATTCGTGACAAAGTTACGCGCCTTTTTCGCGCGCCTCAAATAGCTTTCTCTTTGTTATTTCAAATCGATTGTTTTCTTGTGATGTCTTCTTCCTTTTCGATTGGATGCTGAGAACAGGACTGAAAACATTCCTTCCATGCTTCCTTGGACCGTTTATGCCACTCCTAGAGATGATCTTGGATACTTCATTTTCGTTCCCTATAATTTGACAAGTTTTTGCCGCCTTTTTTGACTCTTTGGGATTGATTTTCTTTTTTCTTGGACGTTTTTCAGTCTTTCATGAGTGATTTTCTTCAAGGTGTCGTCGACGTTCTTTTGAGCCAAAATCTTGAGATAGCACCTTTCAACACCCTGGAAAAATCAACAGAGAAGAAAGGTCAAAATATCATTGTTAACCCTCTAACATCGAACATCAGTATGAATACTCTCCATGCTGTTTTCTGCTTTCTTAATGTGCTGAGAACGTAATTGAATATCTTTGACAATAAGAAGCTTCTCAACTTGGAGATAATTTCCTTTAATCTCGTGTTTTCAACTTTTTTTCAGGGGTGATATTGTAAGGAGAAATTCGATACTGGTCACTCCTACGGGTCATAGGGTAAACACGTTATTTCGTTACGTAAGACGCGATCTGACCAATCATCTTTCCAGAGCTATTCGTGAAGTATCCAAATAACCGTACAATATCGCAGGATATAATTTGTACTCTATTTGCGCGTTATTTTTACTTTACTTCGTGCAGTTGGATAATAATAAATGTTTCTTTACTGTTCTGTACTGTACTGTACCTCTAACACTTGTGGAACTGCCGACAATTCAACCAATAGTGCTGCAGCCTCACATTGAACCGCTACGAGTCTAGATGACATCATAAGGTTGTACACGCTCTGTATGAAACAGCTGACGTTTGGAATAGTCCGTCGGGATTTCTGGTGAAATTAAAACCAAATTAGAAATCAGTGACAAAACTCAGGTCAAACAAAGTTTGAAAGAACATCATCTTTGCTGTTATCTGACTTGGCATGGAGGCAAATCAAAATTGTTAATTTTTCGTGCTAAACATCGTGAATTACGCCAAAGGGACATAACTTTCTATCCCTCGCTCTTAATAAACTACATGTTTTTAATGGTCTCGAACTTCCTTTTTAAAACAAAATACCCTGTCCACTGAGCTGTTTCGCCATCCTTTAGTTTATGACGGTCCTCACAACATATCAGGTGATACTTGATTTGAGAGCAACTTGTGGTGAAAAATCAAACGCTGTGTTTATGGTGATGTTTTGAATAATAGATTGATATGTGATTCGACATGATCAACACCGTTCGACTCAATATCATGAAAGTGACAGATTTCAAGGAGTCGCTTTTGGGGGCCTTTTGATCAATCTGTTTGGAATTATGTGCTTAAGAGAAGAGGAAGGAGAAGCTTTGTGCAAAACATCCAACTGAGAGTGCTCCATAAAACCAAGTTTTTAGAAATTCAAGATACCATTAAATGACCCTAACGGAGCTCGAGATAAAGGTATATTGATAAGCGGGGAAACTATCACTCCTTTCAGATTGAAACGAGTATCCATAAGGTCTAATAAGGTCTAGAACGGGAGAGGCTGGTTTTTCTAATACTTTCAAGTCATGTTATCTCCGTAGGTTAAGCTAAGTATTAAAAAAAAAATTAGAATAAAGGGTCTAAGCTTCAGAGCTTTTCTGTAATTATAAAGACAAGAGTTGAGATTTTTTATATCCCACAGTTGATTACAGCGTTGTGATCAATATCTTTACAGCGATTAAGCCTCCAACAATCCTTGCGGATTGGTCTCGGGTCACTTTGGAATTTCATGGATCGAAGGCCTTCCGGTTTGTCTAATAAACAGGAATCCAAGTGATTTTAACGTATTGAACGGATTTCAGCCTCAATATCCGCTCTGTCATGACACATAATCTACCGGTAAATCCTCGCGAAAAAAGACAGATAGAAGCATGTGACGTTCTTAAATCATGTGGGATAAGATCAAGGAAATGTAATGTGACGCGAAACTGAAAAAATCTTTTGGGTAACGCCCCTGAGCAGGATGTGTAAAAATACAGAACTATATTATTTCCATATGAGATTCTTTCACGCTTCAACACAATTCACAGTATGACTCGCGGTATTTTTAACTCAGTAAATACAAGTCCCATGAAAACCACCGTCTTTTCAATAAGTTAGTGCCACATTGTGCTATGAAACACCTAAATAAAAATCTAATAACTGACTTGACGGGCTCTTTGATTGGTACTGATAATGAAGTATAATAACGCGACTGAATATTCTGTTAATTACATCAAACTCAAATGGGTTTTCATATGGTAAATTAAAATAATGAAACAGTTGTGAACTCACCCTAAAACCGTTATCACCCCGAAGAAACATAACTGTAAGTAGTGTACAGTGAAGTGGGATGTACACAGTACAAATCACAAGATATCACTGTTGTCAAAGTACGAGAACGTCACTCGGGCGGACTTTCGACTGTCCCTTTTCCTGATCTTGATAAATTCAACCTTTAAAGATTGTATCAAAAGCGTTTTCCTCGTAAAGTATTTTTCGAAATTTCCCTGATACACCGTGAGAACTGTAGACTTGCGAGTCGGCGTAGTCTGTGGGGCTGATCCGTAACAAACGCTTTCACAGTTTGTCACTTGTTTCTGTGAGTAGGTGGTTTCGTGACCGGAAGTGAATTTCCTTCATATCTCCGCAGGCCCCCCTACGTGAGGCATTTGTGTCGTGGGTTTATCGTTTTTATGACGCACTCAGTTGTGGCTGGCTGATCATGTGAAAAGCAAATGACTCAGAGTACTTAATCTGAGAAACTTTACTTTGCAAACAAAAGATGAAAACAAAGTATCTGAATAAATTTGAATAATCGACTTTCAAAACTTCCGAAAGTAAGCGGAACAGTTGTAAACAAATATATTTAGTGTATCAAAACAGAAGTTCATTTCTTGACGTTTCCGATATTCAAGGATAAATCAGTGTATCAAACCAGTGGCTCCAACAGACCGACTCTCACGCAAACAATATTTTGACTGATAACCAGCTCCAACAAAACAGCGTGATCTGTCAGCGGTATGTCTTGCAGGCTCGCAAAAATGTGAAAAAATGGCGGTAATGCAGTGGCGAAATGATTTGTAAAATATACAGTTGAGCATTGTTTCATTTCGTATCCTGTAATCATTTATACTTCAAAGAAGGCTTGAGCGGACAGTACCATGGATTCTGTAGCCGAGGACGATATAACTCTTCCTCTAGATTTTGATCGGAGGTAATTTGACAATGACATCTTAATAGTGTTTCGCTTTGTTTGACAAGTTGTTTTGGGTTCATCGATCGCTGTGCGGTTTTGTCCGGGGTTATTAAACCTTCGGGTTGATCTATTATTTATATTGATAGTCTTTCATTAGCCTCATTTGCAGCTTGAATAAAGCTTATTTTGATTCCAAATTTCATCCCCTTAGCACTAACCTCGCAAGGTTCAGGGAGGCTGTTGTGGCGGGCACGGGAGGTGACATGTTGGATTCCTCCGCCGAATTTTCCGAGGGATTAACAGTACGACCTACAACAACAGGTTAGGATTTCTATTTTTGCTTCAGAGTTCCGCTCCATCGTCGAGCTGGGGATCTCGCATCTCAGGCGCCAATGGCTCATTTGTAATTCATTACTTTGCCATTTTTCCAAGGCATGCAGTGCACGTATACGTAATCCCTGTCAACTTTTTGAGATTTCCAACCTTGTAAAATTGCTCAGGAATTTCGAAAAGCCACACTGGCCTGTTTAGCTTAGACAGTGTGAACGTCAAGATAAGAGACAATTTGGATTTGTTACTCTTTGTTGCCCGTGTGATTGTGAGCAGTTGTTCATAATTTAGACATAAGGATTACAGTCTCGTAATTTGAGTCTTAAGATGAGATGTCTGTCTATAAGAATATCATGTAGTTGAGATAACAGCTTTCAGTTTAGAAAAAAATTGTTTTCTCTGTAGTGTAGTTAAGTTCATAGTTACTATAACAGTGTTACTAATAAACATAATTATAGCTACGGTATAGTTATCAACATAATTACAGCTTTAATTACCATGACACAGCATCTGCCAGGGTGCAGTCATGATCAACACATGAATTCTTTCCACAATACCAAAACATTGTCTAGCCAACAGGTAATAAGAAGCAAGAAATTGATCAGTTTTGTAAGATCTTGATGGAATGATAAACTCTCATAGCTTATTTTAAAGGAAATGTGAGGAAAGGAGTAGAGAGAATTTTGATTCAGATCACTAGGAAGGGTTCCAAATGTTTTAGTTTAGTGTTCAGGCACAAAAATCAGAAATTCAGTCTTTCTTTAGAATATCAAACTTGCAGACTAAAATCTAAATGGATGAGTAATAACATTCATATACTTTGACCCATTCTTTCTGCATTTTTGACCCATCACTTTGGGAAAGACAGAGCTTGGAAACTTTAGATAAATTGAGGGACAAACTGCATGTGCATCAAGAATCTTGTATACTAGGTACACTACAGTGAAAATAATAAGCTGAAGTATACTTTATCTCCTTCTAGGTACAGCTAATCAAGACAGTGGTGGGTCTCCTCAAACAAAAACAATGAAAGACTATGAATATGTAAGTGAACTTTAACAGTGATACAGTGTTCTAATCCTTTGTTAGACTTGCATGCACACTTTGCATGTAGTCATGTTAAAAGTAAACTTGTAAATATTTAATAGATGTTGTCAAGCAAGTTATTTAACACTTTGGATGTTATGAAACATTCAGTTGGGGAGCTGTGCAATGAGTTTTACATATTTATCTTTAAATTGGCCACTACAAATTGAAAGGCTGGAGATATAGCTTCCCCTTTGTTTTTGTGGTCATTTTGAAAGTTGTGCAAAGTTACTTGCTGTTTATATGGCATTTGTTTCAGCTGGTGAACAAGCCTCTGAACTTATTTTGCTGGTATTCTCTCCTTGTTCAAAGAAATTCCTTTGTTGAAAAATCTTCTTGCTTAATAGTGTTTGATGCAATTGTCTTTTTGCATCAGAAATAAAAGAAACTCTTTGTTTCTCACCATTATGAAACTACAGCATTAGGTCAAGATTTCTTGGATAGTGGACCATCTTTTTGCTTGGATTGTTTCTTCCCCTTGGAATATGAAGCAGCAAAAAAGAATTCTGTACTATGTTAATTGTAAGAATTTTATCTGATCACTCCAAGAGTTTACTTGTTCCTTTACAATCTCAGAAACATATTTTAGAAAGGTGCAACTTCATCAACTGATTATGCCTGGCTGCAATTGTAACAACCCTCTCATTCTCAATTATCTCTTTACCGACCCCAAAAATTATAGTTATAGATCACTGAGTATACAGGGTTGATTTTTATCCAATTCTTTTGATCAGTTTATCAGCTTTATGCAGTTAAAAATTAGGGTCAATTATCCGCCAAATTAATTTTGGTGATATCAGTTTCAATAATTCCCAGGAGCTGACAAAAGCTTTTTACAGATGTGTGTGTCTGAGCTTCCTGTCCACCTGTGCTTTAATAGCCATATTACTTACACAGTTAAAAGCAGTTGGAATTATTCTCCTTAAAATGCGCATATTTGAAGCCTATTTTTTTTCCATTTTTTACAACTAAATTTGAAGTGAACTTTTATTTCAGTTCTTCTTTAATTTGAATATTTATATTCTTCTTATATTCAAAGTGGCCCCTGTTGATAGAGGGAAAATGAAAATTTAAGGCATTTCAGGGTTACAGCTGACAGCATTAAGGAGTAAAAAGTCTCAACTCAAGGATGAATATTTTTGAGGCCATTTGGCTAATGTGGGCAAGATTTGCATTTAAAGGATAACTTTATTTTTTCAATTAAACCATGGCCAAACAGCTGAATGAGGTTTGAACAATATTTATCTGCAAAATTGTCAAAATATTACAGCAGGAATTGTGATTTGTTTCCATGTTGGATTTTTGTCTTAGGATTGTCTGGAGGTGGCTGAAAAATCAACACAATTAAAAAATATAATTTTTGTGTGCAATTAATTACATTCTGCTTTGTCTGTTCATAGCAAATATCAGAGCTAAAGAAAGAAAATTTTGGTTTGAAGCTGAGAATTTATTTCTTGGAAGAACGTGTTAACCAGAGTGGTGATGTTCCAGAGGACATTTTCAAGGCTGTAAGTAAAATTGACTTTTTATAAACTAAATTTCCTGTTATTTGTTTATTTCTTGATTGAAAATATCAACTTAATTACTCAATAAATTCCATTTACTTCATAAATTTTTAGAATGGAGTTAATGGAGTATACAGCTTGACTTACTGTAGAAGAAAAAAATCAATTTATTCCATTTTAGATTAAAAGATTTTAAAGTCATCTTAGTGCAAAGGTTACATGTACTTTTTGTAAATTAAGGAATTGTATAGGTTTGGTGTACTAAGCAAAAAGGTTTTAAAATTTTTAACCCTTTCACTCCCAAAATCTCCTTAGAAACTCTCCTTACTGTTTGACATACAGTTCTCATGATGTCAGTTTTGAGAATTTGGTACTGGATCCCCTTATTGATATTTTTCTTTATTCTCATCACTCATATGCTTGATATTGTATTGATATCGTGAGGAGAAATTCTGTCTCGGTCACTCATGGGAGTTAAAGAGTTGATGGATTAGGGATTTTAGTTTGAGATGAGCTATGGCACAAAATTGACAGCCTAAGGAAACAGTGTTAAGGAAGAAATCTGGAACAAATTGAAAGCTTAATTATCATGATCTCAATTGAAACATAGAGAAACTCACTCTCTCAGTTTAATAATTTTTTTAAAATCATTTTTATTAAATTACAGATTGAAACATATGTACCCATATGTAATTATATAAATCTTTTTTTTAATTCATTCTTTGAGAAAATCATTTTTATTTTTTGTAAAAGAACATTGAACTTAAGGTGACAGTGGAAAAGCTGAAGAAAGAGTTGGTTGAAAGACAGGAATTGCTGGTTAAAGCCTCGTAAGTGCAAACTGTGTAATTTTATCTGAAATTCCAAAAATGCTAGTTTTAGTCACAAAAAATGCCACAGCTTGATTTGCACTCATTGATAAAGCACTTACATCTCTCTTTTCTTTTCATGCATTTTTATACTTCTCATTTGCAGTTTACATCCTGTCTAGTCTTTCACCTTCTCTATTTTGTTTCTGTTCAGTGATGTGCCAAGTTTCATTCTAGAAGAGTGAAACACACCCTGTTTGGAATTGATTTTAATTTAGATTTTTCCCCTGTTAGGAATGCAGTGGAAACCTTTGCTCAAAATAATGACACACAGATTAAACAGGTGGGTATTTAAATACCAGTAGCAATCAGTGAACAATGACAATATACTGAACATGTTGCCTGGTTTGGTTTAAGTAATTCTGATAGTGTTGGTATTGATGACAGTGAGTGATGTTTTGGCAACCTTGAATGAAAGCTATGTTCAGAGTTATCTGAGGATCTGTTAGTTACTACAAAAACCACAGATTTGGGAAATGGGCCTGAAATCGTGCCCACTCCGCTGCTTACGTATTGCATAGTTCCAATTGCTGAAGTGTCATGTTAGATGTCATGGCAGAGCTAAGTGCATCTGGGATGTTTTATTGTCATGGAAAAGCTCCTTGAAAAGACATAAGGAGGAAGATAATGCTAGACATCATCAAAAAAAGGGGGAACTTCATCACAGCCTTTTCTTTGTAAGAAGTTTCTATGGCTTCCAAAGAAAATAGGGTTAAGTATGAAACATTAAAAAAAAATTGGAAGGAGGAAATGGATATGAAAACATGAAGCATGGGAATGGAATGTGATGTAACTGTTTAATGAAAGTGGGAGGGACAGGGATGTGTAAATGTAGCCCTGTTTCACAGGTTGGTGGTTTTCACAGTACTTGATCACAAAGTAGTGGGCCTGATTGTTATTATTTTATGTGCATAAAAGTTTGCTGTTTGTGGCCTTTTCAACATTTTTGAAAACTATTGTTATAATATCCACTCAAAAGTAAGGCCAAGAAGGCTTAGCTACAGGCAGAAAAGAATCCAGGCTCTGTGTACTTATTTAATGCTGTTTAACCACACAGCTTACAGAAGAACACAATGAAGAGCTGAGAGAGATCAGGGAAGGATATGAAACAAAACTTAAAGAAATGGAACAGGTTTGATGTTTGTTTTGTTAAATGGTATCTCCAGAAGGGTTTGATTTAGATTTAGAAGACCACATAAATTTTTACGCAGTGTCATAAAACAAACTCTGATGTAATCACAATGACCAATCAAGACAATGGAATGTGTTGTAGAGAGCTAGTAAGAACTTCAAGCTGGTTTCAGTTTTGTATGTCATTTATTGGGGGTGGGGGGGGGGGGGCAGGGGGTAAAGAACTCTGTAAGCCTTTCAGGCAGTGTACAATAAACAGTAAAGAAAAACATGTAGCCATCCTCGATGGAACCAGGTGACACATTGCTTTCAGTTTTCTGATTGAATTCTTGAATATTGTTGGTCATTTTATGCTCTCTCTGTTTCTAGGAATTGGCAATTGCTAAAAATGAACTTGAGGACACAGCTGATAGGCTTGTAAGTGACTCAAACTGTTACTTTTATGAAGAAAGATGTTTTCATCTTGTCACGAGTGTGGGTCAAAAAAAATTTCTAAGTCCCCATGAGGAATCGAACCTCAGACCTTCAGATTCTGTGCCCCAATGTTCTACTACTGAGCCACAGAGACTCCATGGTGAGCAAGGTCTACTATGAAGTTCACATGACATGTGTCCTGCATACTGCTAGGATCAGCAATGTTACTTTTATGTTGCTTGATAATAGCCCTTTGTTATTTTATAGCTCTAGGTCAATTATCAGACCTTATGACTTGTGAATTATCTTATTCAAGCAAACAACTTTCATAACTCAGATACAATCACATTAACTGTCTGACCCATTAAAAGTGACGTGCATCTAACCTTTCCTCACAATATCAACCCTAAATCAAACATTGAGGTCACAAGAATAATAGCCTGCAGTGCAGGCGTCTTGTTAGTGCGAGCTAACGCTAAAAAGCTCATGATCGGTTGTTCGACCGGCCATTTTTGATTTGCAGTTAGAGTGGATGGTGGTGGTAGGGGGTGTGGGAGGGGAGAAAAATCTTCACTCCCCTACCCCCACCCCTCTCCTTATTCATGAATGTCAACTGCCCCCTTGGTATAAATTTTTCCTCTCCCCAGCCTTCTGCTGCCATTAAAATCAAAGATGGCGGCCAAAATATTCATTATGAAATTACTTAGCACTCGCTAGCCAAAATTATGCCTGCTCTGCAGGCTACAAGAATAAAGGAAATGATCACCAACTAAAGAAGCTCTTGATGGTTTAACAAATTCTCCTTGTCAGCACTCTAAGAAATGTATAGGGAGCAGCACAGAGAATATGCATGTTGATGCAAGGGTGTAAAGAGTTATTGACCAAATCATATATTTTCATATACAGGCAGAGACTGCTAATCTTAATCAACAGTTGAATGAGAAGCTGTTAGAAGGTACTGATGGATTCCATGATGATCAGCAGCAAATGCAAGTAAGGTTATAAATTGTCACAAAACATACCAAACTTATGTTTTCACAAAAGCCAATCACAACCTGAAGCTGGGTTGTCATTAGGAAATATAATAGATGTATCATACCCCCTATACAGATCTGAGTTGAGTAGGCATGTGAACTGAATTATGCTTGTCTACCATTGTAGGGGGGGGGGGAGGGGAGGGTCCAGGAGAATCATAACAAGTTAAAAATGGCCTGAAAAGTTTTCTGCACAACAAGAAAAACATTTGTGATTCACTTCTTTGTCTTTGCCTTCCTCTTAGTTTGTTAATAAGGAGTATTTGGTATGTATTTTCTTGATCTTTTTTTTTTCTAAAGGTTGCCATGAAGGCCACTTTAGATGAGAAAGACAGGTAAAAGTGAACTATGCATTTCCTTAATATTTACTTTCTTGATCAGATACTTGTGCTTACATGACATCGGCAAGGTTTACATACGTATTTGATCTTCCAGTCAATACATTTAAATAAATATTGACACTTACTGGTGATCTCTCTGATGCCTTTGTCTCACTTTTCAGGATGATAGATGATTTGAGAGGGTCTCTTGCTTCTGTACAGGCAGAGAACAAGGTTAGTTGGTTTTTCAACACTTCTCAAATTTCTTTTGACTGATTTTTGAATCCTCTGTGTTTAGGTGGTCTAAGTATTTTTTCAGGCCCTGGCTAAGATTGAGCTTACTCTGTGATGATCTGTAACAATGAAGGCAATGGCAATAATGATGACAGCAGCAACAGTAATGAAAGCAATAACAACAATGAATAATTGTTATACAGGTCATGATAGTTATTTGCTAGAATGAGAGGGATATATTTCTAAAGTTCTAATTAATTATGAATTTTTTTTTCAGGATTTGAAAGAAAATTTGGACAACCTGAAGGATATTCAAAGCCAGCTGGAGCAAAACATCCCCCATGTATGATCAATTATTAGTGAAAACATTTTTGGGATGACATTAAATGCATACATACATTGGAGTGTCTCACACTCTTGTCAATTTGTTTATCTACATATATTTTCTATATTTTTCTGCTGTAGTGTAACTGGCTGATTTTTATGTAAATCAGTATTTATAGTACAGCCTGAAGGCTAGAAAGTACTGGTAGATTTTGAAGGGATTCCTGGGATTAGTGGCCATTTGATCCTTCCTAAAAGTATTTTAGTGCACAATTTCAAAGTTGCCAGATTGCTATTTGATCAGTAAGCCTTTATTAAACATACATGCTCTTCAATGGGAGTAATTATCTGTGTGTAACAGGAGTTATCATTTGAGCGGTTGGAGAACTGGGGTCATGAATGAAAATGGATACTGAGAAACTACTTGGGGAGATGTGAATAAATGCTAGGGATTAACCTCATTAGAGTGGTATCCCCTCAAAGAAGGCTTGCAACAAACCGAATCACTTAAACTTTCGGGTACAAAAAAATCTGGGTTTAAATTCAACAGGAGTGATCCATTACATCTGCAACACCTGATCTCTTCAGATGGGTAGAAACATTTTGGGGGACTTTTCCGCAATATTTTGTGAATACATCGATAAGATTTCTTAATGGTATGTCTTATTTCTTCACAACAGAGTTTAGAAATGAATGAGAAACAGATCCTAGAGTGCCAGAGGAGAATCAAACAGCTGACAGAGGAACTAGAAAACAAAAACCATAAGTTAGAGGTGAGCTCACAATTCAAAGTTTACATATCAAGTCATCAGGGGTAAGAATTAACTCTGAAATAAGTTTTTTCATGTAAATCTGGTAATGAACCAACTGTGCGTTTTTGCTCTGATAAAGGAACTGAAGGAGAAAGCCAAGAAAACAGAGAGGACCAACAGGGTAAGAATCACCGTTTTTCCTGTAGTTATATGAATTGCTTAAATAACGCATCTAAGTGGTGGAAAGTTTAAGAAAGGGTTAGGATGTTTTTGACTACTTTGGTAACCACTGTAAAGGACCATTCACCACCAGACTATTCCAGTGTTTCTACCAGTTTCAGTAGCGCGAGGAAGCTACAACCTTGGACACACTTTGTTCAAGAATTCACATTTCAAATAATTAATTTTGTCCCAAAAAATGCACTCCCACTTTCAATAACCTAAAACATTCACTCCATTGGATGATAGCAAAATGCATAGGTTCGTCACGAAGATTTTTTTTTTGACAAGTATGAGGAGGGAAAAAATGCGAAGGGAGCAGAAATTTATAGCTCTTGTTAGCAAGGTTGCAGTTGGAGATCAGTTAGCTCCCACAACTCTAACGTGTTCGCCCAGTGATGTGCTTGTAAATGAAAACTTGCGGACAAATATATAATTTTGTTTTACTGTTGGTCAGGAGTTAAGAAATCAGCTTCATGACAAGGAAAGGGAACAGCATCTTAATTCAAGGAACTCCACCGATAATTCACTATCTCTGGTGAGAATAACACATTTTTCTGTTCAGAATTATTCATGGACTGCAATTTCTCCCAACAATATCTCCCTTGAGTCAAATCAAGAAATTATCGATCGTCAATTTAAGAAGTTCCTTATTGTCAAACAATAGTCTATTTTACAGTTGTGTGCTTGGTTGCTAAGCCTTTGAAAAGGAATGAGGCTAAGGGTGGCCTTGTTATGATACAAACCTTGCTGCTTTTCAAATGCAAATCACTTTGTTATCATGCTAACTAGATACTGGTCTCTATCACAACAAGGTCACCTTCAGCCTCACTCCAAATCAAAGGCTTGGCAACTAAGTACACAACTATAAAATGGCCTATTATCCAAGTCAGTACTGTTGAAAACAAAAAGAGAACAATAGGGGTAAAGGGTGAACGCTTTACACCCTAACATCGGTATGCATATTCTTCATACTGTTCTTTAAACTTTTCCTAGGGTGCTGACAAGGAGAATTTGTCTAACAATCAAGAGCTTCTTTAGTTGGTGATCAGTTCCTTTATTCTCCTGACCTTAATAATTGATTCAGGGGTGATATGGTAAAGAGAAATTAGATGCTAGTCACTCTTAGGGGTTAAACGGTTAATGGCTTGAAATAAGGAGTAACAATTAATTTGGTGAGAGTAGTCCTGAACAAGACTGTTATCGGCGGTAATGATCGACGTTTGAACAACCCAAGCAAAAGTCATCCTTAGAGTCTTTCAGCCAATAACATCATGGCAAAGCTGCCCGATCAGTTTTCACAAATTATTTTTATTACAATTGACTTACAGATAGCTCCTCCTTGGAAAATAACTATTGGTATATACCACACAGGTGAATAGTACCATTCGCGCGCGCTGATTGGTTAGTTCGGAAGTGACTAACAAGTATTCACTTTCGAGCAGCCGATGAGACGAATTCGCGCGTCGGGAGTTTAATTTCCGATTATTTTCGGTGAATTGACAGAAATAAGCTGATTTTTTGGTTTCTGTAGGTTACCTACTGAAACAGTTATTCACCTCGGTGTCGGTGAAAGAGGTGAATATTCATTTCGGTGAATAATGGTTAATTGTTTTCTTTCCGCATAAATATGCCGCAGAATTCCGGCGGGCGTGGAGTCCGTAATATTATGCTAAGTTTCCACCTGCAATATCGCAGGAATTAGTGATACCGCTGCTTAGATTTTGGGCATTTCGAAAATGATATCCTAACGGTATGTTGTAAGAAATTTTCGGTCATTTTTCGCTTCACATCGCTGTAGCCTGCGTGTTTCGTGTTTGAAGTTTTGCTTCCTGTAACCAAACGAGATTTGGTTGACATAATGGCTGAGCCTCAAGAACTGGCTGCTGCTGAGCTAGAAGCCTTGTCCACTACCATTTCCTGCTGTTGACTTAGGTCGACCAGCCGCAGCGCTACAACTCGCGGAGGGAGTGGAAGTATGCCAAGAGGAACTGTTAGGCGAGGAATTTCAAAGGTTCATATGTTTTATCTTTCTTTCGGTTTATGTTCACTATTTCTCGGCCCCCGGTGTTTCATAGTGTACTTTCAGATTTTTGGTTAGTCTAGGTTTGTTCTTTGGTTGCACTATCGGCGCTCGCTCGTTGAAGTTGAGCTTTATTCTGATTTGTTGTTCGCTCTTGTCGAGCTCGAATCAGAATACGCTTGTGCGTTACTCGCCGTGTGTCGGCTTTGTCTCACTTTCGCTTGTGTGTGAAGCGTCACTTTTCTGGTGGACGCCCTGTGTCCTGTTCGTTCGGTTGTCAAGCATAAATTTTCATGTGCCGTGTGTCGGCTTAATCTAGGTTTCATTTATGTGTTAAGCGTCAGTTGTTTGACAGACGCCGTATTGGGCTTGTGAGCCAAGCGACGATTTAAAATAAGCAAAAGCCAAAAGTGTCGGCTTGAGTTTGTGTGTCAAGCATTATGCTGTTTGCCGTCTTTAGCTTAAACGGTCACTTGTGTGTGAAACATCAGTTAATTGACACACAGCGTGTTGTGGGCCTGGGTATTAGATATCAATTAATTTAGTGTTGGCCCTGTGTCGGCTTTTATTTATCATTGGCTTAGGTGTCAGGTTGAATTTCAAGAAGGGTGGTTCAGCCTCAGAGAAAGCATGAATTTGCACGGCTCTTGTGGCGAGAATGGTTTCTTAGTCGCCGTCTTTCGGCTCTTTGTTATGATTTGCATGTCCAGTTTTAGAATATGTGGGATTTCTAAAGTTCTCTATGCATTAGCAACCTTTTATAGCTGTTTGCAGAAAGGTTGTCGTAAAAAAGGACAAAGTGTAAGAGACAATCTCGCAAGGTAACTTGGGTATCCGGTAAAACATTGAACTTCAATAAGGGAAACAAATAAATATGGACGAAAGGACTAATGAACAGCGGAAAAATGCCGACATGCACGTGAATACGAGAGGAAAAAAAAATCGAATATTTCGTCGTTGTAAATATTTTTTCACTTGGTCACTTCGAATTTGCTCGTGTTGTGTTTACATCGTTTGCGTCGTTCTTTAGAGTCAGATTGTTTTTTTTCTTTTTCGTTTTTAATCAAGTTTATAATTAAAAGTCAATCTTGATAAAATACTTTACATGTGGTGTTTCAGTTTACCTCTGGTCGGAGGGGTTTCTGTGTTTTAGGAGAAAGTGTCTTCTGTCAGCCTTCCATATATGACAGGGTAATTTAGTGTTATCAAATGAAAATTGACCAACAAAGAGTTTAAAGAGCGTTAGCCTTTCGTCTATCGCTCTGACGAAGGGCTAACGCTCGAAACGTCAGCCTTTAAACTTTTACGGAGGCCAATTTACGTTATCAACTCAGTTGATAACACTAAATTACACTGTTATACTCTCCCACGGTCGCAGCACCACAGTTTCTTTAGAAACTTACCCACTTCTTCCAAGATATGGTAGTAGCCAAAGGCCACAATGTTTCCCCAGTCTTGACCACGCCAAACAATGAGCAGCATAAGGAAGAAATGAAAATGGTTTACTGTGCAGGTTGTTTAAATGTTAGTCATTACGACCCACAACAGTCCTTTTAAGAACTACTCTCTTTTAGACAATCACACTACATGATAAAATTATATTTTACAGTGAAGTTCTGAGAAGACACAGAACGACTTGAAATCTTTTAAAAAATTTGAAATGTATTTACTAGAAGATGATTTTGTGAATTTTTGTTTGTTCATCTCCAGTGAAATCATCATTAGCTAATTGTTTATACCATGTACAGGGAATCGTAGTGTGTTGCTAATTCAGCTTCAATTTTGTATGACATAGAGTCAGAGGGATGGCCCCAGGGACAGCGAGGTAGGGAAAAGTAGAAAAAACAAACGTATTCAATTAACTCAGGGATTCTAAATACAGGACAAACAGTATTGATGAGTGCTTTTCAGAGAGTACGTGTATTATGAAACAGCTACGAGTAACGTACATCCATGTTGTTTTAAGTTTCTCCATCTTTCAGGCTTTTTCTTCCCCACCCTTCCCCCCACCGAAGCCAATCCCTCTTCCACTTTACTTGACATTTTAAGAACCTATCGAGTGTATTTCTATCTCTCTCTGTTTTGTATTTGACTTAATTTTTGTAAAGCCTATTCTAATAGTCGAGGAGGAGATTTTAAAAAGAGACCTAAGAAAGACTCTTCGTAGCACCACCACTACACAACGGGTTTGACATCGGATGATGATAGCCTGTACCCAAAGATTATGGCTGCGTCAGTCAGTAGAAGTTTGTTGGCTGATTGGGGAGTCAATGAGCTCAAATAAGAGCTAGTTGACTCCCCGATCAGCCAACAAACTTCTAGTGATCGGGAGCTCTTAGTAGAGCTCATTGACTCCCCGGTCAACCAACAAACTTCTAGTGATCGGGAGTTATTATTAGAGCTCATCTACTCTCCGATCAACCAACGAACTTCTAGTTATCGGGAGCTCTTATTAGAGCTCATTGACTCCCCGATCAGCCAACAAACATCTAGTGATCGGGAGCTCTTATTATGGCTCAGCGATTCCCCTATCGATCTACAAACTTCAAGAGATCGGGAGCTCTTAGTAGAGCTCATTGACTCCCCGATCAACCAACAAACTTCTAGTGATCGGGAGCTCTTATCAGAGCTCATTGACTCCCCGATCAGCCAACAAACTTCTAGTGATCGGGAGTTATTATTAGAGCTCATCTACTCTCCGATCAACCAACAAACTTCTAGTTATCGGGAGCTCTTATTAGAGCTCATTGACTCCCCGATTAGCCAACAAACATTTAGTGATCGACCAACAAACTTATGATCTGGAGCTGTTTTCAGAGCTCTTTGACTCCCCAGTTGACTAATAAACTTCTTGCGATTAGGGGTACTAAATTGAACGCATCATCAAATCCACTGAATTTTTTTGTATATAAAGCAAGAACAATGGTAAGGTTATTTTCGAGGAAACAAACTCTGCCATCTATTCCTTAGGCATTTTTTTAATTATATTTCACAAAATCACTCACTTTTCATGATTTCCCTAGCAACCGTTCCCATGATTGCGTAGAACAAGTCAACTTGAATAATTACACACTCAGTAACTGTCAATGTTACCTCACCCCTCTAAATTTAATGTTACTTGGTGGAGTAGTTCCGGATGTGTTGTTGAGAAGCTCCTCACACATAATTATTGGTACATCCAAAGGCACTGTACCGCTCTTAATAATATACATGAGAAAATTACGCACTTCTGATTGGCTGAAAATGTGTAGTGAGGGTGCTACGAGGTCGTCTTTTTCTGGCTTTTCCTCGTTGACTACTATTGAAGTTTCGTCAAAAATCTAGCTTCAGCAGTTGCAGACCAAAGTTCAAGACTTAAATCAGAGTTTGACAGCAACACGAGAGGCAGCACATACAGCCAAGAGAAAGTGGTATCAGGTCAGTGAATTTACTTCTAAAAACTGTTATTATACTTACTTTAATTTAGGTAAACAATTGAAAGTCAACTGCCATGACCTTGGTATGGAAGGGGTGATATTCTCTTTTGGCTAGACACAACTTCTGGATAACCCAGGCACCCACCTTCCATTTAAGCAAGGCAGCAGTTTAACTGATGAGTACGAAAAGAATGGTCTTATGTTTGTAGGGGTGCCACGTACTGTACATAAAGGACCCCTTAAAAGTTAGACGTTTGCCTAATTTCTCTCGTAACTTTGAACTACATTCATATTCCTTTTTGTATATTTAGTTTGATTTTCTGATGCTTTGTGTACTTGATTACGTTTCAAAATCTGAATTATTTCAGGCTTTTGAGGAACATTCTGAAATTCTTAAGGCAAGAGACGCCATGATAGCTGCTTTACAAAGCTCTTTGAGTGCAAAAGATTTGGAATTAGAGGTACACGTGTGCTAAGTATATGCTACAGTTTTTGTTTAATGTGGTTTAGCAGAAGTATCCAGACCTCAATTTCCAAGCTGTACTGATGCAAAACATTAGAAAATTGATACTCAGCCCTTGAACTGAGCAAGAAATTGACCTCCTTACTGTTGACAAATCACTATATTTTGTTAAACCTCGTACAATATCTGTTAATTATTTGAAGACCATTGCCACTCTAGATCATTTTGTAGGCACTCAGGTAAGTAAAGCTATCGTCAAGTGGTTTAATTCTAACCTCATCAGTTCGCTTGAAATTTTATCTATTTATTTACTTGTTTTTTTTACTTTCAGAAACTTATTCAGTCCTTGTCTTCCAAAGAAGTTGAACTGCAGAGATTGAACAATGGGAAGCTCCTCCTTGAACAACGCCTTGATGAAGTGTTAAAACAAAAAGAACGTGAGCAAGCTGTGAGTCAAGACTGGCTACACTAATTACTCTATACAGGCTAATCAGTTACGATAAAAAAATATATGAATATATATATATATATGTATATCTTATGCGGAATTTTTTTGCGGGGATGCGGCTGGAATGCAAAATGGCAGAATTACATCTGTGCATGCCTGGTTATGACCCAATTTTGAAAACCGTTTTTGTGATTCTATACCGCCACTTTAGTAGAAGGACATCCTCAGCCTTCACCCATATTCTTGAATTTCTAGGAACTGATGGAAAAACATAAAGCGCTCTCTCAAGAACACTATTCCAAGATGGACGCTCTCGAAGAAGCTTATCAGGTAAAACATATATCAGGCCTTTTGCCAGTAATTAAAGTAATGGATTGGACTTGGAGTATTTATGCAGCGTGGGACTTTTTGATAAGTCACTCAATTAATCAGAGAGCTTCCTAAGTAAACGTAGATCTAAGGCGGCAAATTTAATCAGGAACAGGACAAAAATGGTGGGGCATTCCAAAGTATAATAGTGCACAGAATCAGGCTGCAGGAACTATTCGCTGGTCGCAGGAGCCATTTAGCTCACGTTTTTTTTTTTGTTTTTTGTTTTTTTTTTAAGTCATAAGGCGTATTGAAGAATTGGAGAGGTTTTCATTTGATTGGCGTAAACACAAAACCAAAGTTATCGCAACGACCAATAAGAAAAAGGTATAAATCACAAGTTTCCAGTGAGAACTCAAAGTGAATTCAGGAAATTGCCGGAAGCGCGGGCAAAAGTACTGACAAAGGTGCAATTGTTCTAAGTTTGTATCTGATAGGGTAGCGCGAGTTTTATAGAACACTCGCATGAGTCACGCGAATAAAACCATTACAATCATGAATTACTTTCGACACACGGTTGAAAATTGTTCTTTAGAAGGAAACCTCAAGTTAGTGGTGAGCTTTAGTGGACAAGATGTAGATGAACCAGAAAGGGACAATGATAACCAAGGAGAGAGGAATAAAGAAAATTGGGCATAGGTTTGTTTTGCTTTCTATTATAAATGTTGGTTGTTTGTCCTCAGCACGTGACTGCTGGAGCTCAAGAACAACTCGAGGCAAAGGATCGACTTATCCAGAAGCTGGCAGCTAACAACAAGGAGAAAGACAATTTAATAGCGGTACGTGCTACCCCCTTTTTTTTTCGTTATTTACCCTGTTAAGATAACAAGAACGTACGTAAAAAAGCAAGAAACTAATAATAAATTGTATGGTCACATCAGCACATGTAAGAGTGGGCTTAATCCCTCTGTAGATTTTTTTTCCCTCGGAGATTTGTATCCTCCGAAGCAAATCAAATTATTTTTCATCAAAAGCAGCAGCGGTCATCTGTCTTGTTTTCAGGTTATTAGAACCAAAATCTAATTTAAAAAGGTCAAGATGAGTGCAACGCTTACCTCGTGATTATCACATGTTACCATCAAGTGGTAATGAAGTGGTATAATTATTCATTCGAGGACAACAGTCAGTTTTTTTTAAACTGTTGCAATACCTTGGTATACATTTATCATGATATAGAAACTTTTGATCGGGACCAGTTTCAAGGCTCTATCTTGTAACTAAAATTCTACGATTAGAGGAAGTTTTAAAGCTGATTTTCTAAATAACCAGGACTTCGTAGAGGCTTTGAAGGGAAGTGGTATGGATGATTCAGTGGTCAAGGTAGGTAGTGCTGCTTAATGTGTTGGTTTGTCCATCTCGACAAATGGTAATTTAGTGTTAACAACTGAGTTGAAAACGTAAATTGGCCACCGTAAAGAGTTAAAAGGCGGACGTTTCGAGCGTTAGCCCTCCGTCAGAGCGATTGGACAAATGTTTGCCTAATATTTCCTGTGGTAAACCATCTTTGTCATCTTTCTGGCCTTTGTCTTTGAAGTCTTATTTTACAGACAAATACTGAGGATGCAAAGAATGACTTGCAATAACGTGGTATACATCTTGAATCTTAAAAGTCGTTTGTTTGTTTATAAGGTTAAGAAAAGGTGAACGGTAAAAACCTAGTCACCTGTCTCTGCCAGAGCTCCCACCCCCTGCCTGTAATTTTGTCGGCAAGGAGTAGTATGATATGAGAGCATTTTTCCAAGGCTTGAATATTTCTTATTATTCAAAAATATTCCTTCAGTTTTTATCCTGGCAAATGGTTTCCCAATTACTCAGGGCAAATCACATTTTTTTACTCATTTTGCAGGGCTCAACTGATGATCAGGAGAATCTTTTGAAGAAACTGACCAACTACACTAAAGAGAAGGATCGTGCTCTCCAGGTTGGTTATATACTAGTTATAGTTCTCACTAGAGCTGCCCCCGCCCTACAGCACCATTTTCTTTTTTTTTTTTTGAGTTGGGCTTGTTGTTTACAGTTGTGTAGTTATGACCATTTGCGGGAAAAACGTTGATACCTTGCGGCCGTGCATGCGATCAAATCGAGATTTTTTTTGGTTACGATCAACCGAAAACACCTACATTCTCTCTTCTCCAGTCTTCCTCTATACTAGAACAAATCTCGTGTCAAAGACGCCGATCCTAAAAGTCCTCGCGCGCGTGTCTTTTTACTGGCAGCCCATGACCATTTGCGGGAAAAACGTTGATACCTTGCGGCCGTGCAAGCGATCAAATCGAGATTTTTTCTGGTTATGATCTACCGAAAATACCCACATTCCCTCTTCTCCAGTCTTCCTCTATATTACGCGGGGAGTCCTAAGGTGCCTCCTCGGGTTTTTGGCCCTCTGGGGCCAAAAACCCTGCGGGGGCGATAACTAAACTGATATTAATAAAGGGGCTAAGGTTCTAAAGAAACCGTGGTGCTGCGTCAGTGGGAGAGTATAACAGGGTAATTTGGAATTAACAACTGAGTTGATAACGTAAACTGACCGCTGTAAAGAGTTTTGAAGCTGACGTTTTTAGCGTTAGCCCTTCGCCAGAGCGACGAAGGGCTAGCGCTCCAAACGTCAGCTTTGAAACTCTTTACGGTAGCCAATTTACGTTATTGACTCAGTTAATAATTCCAAATTACCCAGTTAAAGTAAGATTGAGTAGTGTTTTATGTTAATTTTGACTCGACTTAAATTTTTGCAACAACAGGAAACTAAGAGTAATGACCCTTTAAGACTAGTATTGTCTTGAAATGAATGGAAAAGGGGAAGCAAACGAACTTTTCTTTCGTGGTTAAGACTCGTTCCGTTTGAATCCCTTTTTTTATTACATGCGCGACTTTTAATTTATCATCGAGAGTTGCACGTTGAAAATCACCAAGTGGAAACATCGTTCCGATTTTCTTGTCGCTAATTCCTCATTTGCTCAGTTCAGTAAAATACAAAGCTGCGACTGTCTAGGTATGTACATGTGCGTTGCATTTTGGCACAAAAATCATCAAATTAATGTTTTTTATTTTCCTGATCATAATTGTAGGTTGCAGCTGAAGAAAAAGTGCGCGCTTTGCAAGGAAAGGAAGGCGAGCTACAGCAGTTAAGACAGGCCTTGAGAGAGAGAGACAGGCTGATTGAAAAAATCAACACCGCTGTCCTTGAATCCCAAGAAAAGAATAAAGTAAGTGAACTACAAATGTGACAATTTAACTTTCTTACTGGTATTCCATACGTTTTCATAAAAATCAGTGAACTCGATTTTTTTATGATTTTTTGGCACCTAATTACAGTAATGCTGTCATTGTTAAAAAGGGAAAGGGAAAAAACAAATTGGAAAAGTTAGTAGCATATAACATAAACATACGTTATTGGCGTATATTAATTTTCTTAAAGCTTTTGGAATCCTTTGAAATTTCTAAACAACATCTAATACTAGAGGGTGATTCCACATGGCAATAAATCTCTCTTTAGCTTTTTACCTTTTTTTCATGACAATGTTATTTAGTGCAGTAAGGTGTATGTTGGGCCTAGACGAGATGACTTTGTCACAGCCATTGAAGTGTCTTCTGGTGACTAGAATTATTAACTACTGTAAGACTGTCTTTTCACGCTTGTGTATTTGTCCAGCTATTAGAACGGACAAGCAAAGAAAGAAGTGAAGCTTTACAAAAAAAGTTGTCGTCCTTCGAGGATCAGCTTAAAGGAAAAAAGGTAGTTACATGAGGCGGAGGTACAAAAACATGGTTTGACTCCCAAGATCTGATTGTTAATTCTTCCCTTTGTTTGCTACTCATTTTCATGTACATTAGTTCTGATAATTTGGTGTTAGATCAAGATAAAACCTTATACCTGATAAGTTTGAATATTCTCATTACCTGCTTTCTGGATAATGTATGGTTATTATAGGGAGATGTTACATGTTAATCCTCTCTGGAGTCAAAGGGTTAATGATTTATTCCAAAGTACTATTGGCAGTGAAATATCTTAAGTAATCAGCTACACAATCTGTCTGCAGACACCAAGATTGAATTTTTAATTGTTTAAGGAAATGCTAAGTCATAATACAGAAAGACGAAAATTGGCAAAGGACGGGAAAAGTGCAAAAAGGGTGGCAGATATTTAAATAAGATGTCGCACAATTGTACCTAGTGCTGGCCTAAGTGACTCGAGTATGTTTTCAGAAATAGCTTCCTTCTTCAGCCGGACGTGTTTTTTTTCTTTCGTAACAGGGAGATCTAGAAACAAAAGAAGCCAGTTTACAAGAGAAAGAACTTGTTATTCAGAAACTAAAGCACAGTCTGAACCACAGGGAAGAGGAATTGAAGGTCAGTGTTGTTCCTGTTTGACAGAAGGAAATTTCAGAGACGATACTTATTCAGAGTTCTGCTAACTCCCGCGAGATTCAATTGCATGTAATGTCAATCCGAAATTACAGCGGGCCGGGGAATTATTCGAGCCAGTATCTTATCATTGATATATGTCCCCCAGTTCCCCAAGTTTCTCCTTTGCTCCCGGAAAGTGATTTAACACCTTCCATAGAGTTAAATTTTGCCAAGCTCCTCATACCCAGAAATTATTCCCCACGTTTCCTCGAACATTTGAGAAAACTATTCAAGAATTTTACCATAATTTCTTTCGGGAAAAAAAATGAGGCCTCGGTTCTCTTGCGATCAGATCGCAGCCACCTGATAGAGACCGGAGAAGTAGAAAAAAATTGTCGCCGTGCGAGGGAATAATGAAAGATCCACTAGCAGAATATTCTTCAGTGCTAGAATATAAATTTCTCCCTTGACCCATTAAGTAAATGGCCATTCATCTTTCTTCTCCTCGAATCACCTCGAGGTCCTCTTTCGCGGTTTCTGGAAACTGTCTTAAGTTTGTATTTCTGATATCTCTTTTGCTCATAGGAATTGAAGGACTTTGTAAAGAACGCTTTGAGCAGTCCAGACGAGGTTTGTGGTTGTAATAACTGTCTATGCTGAACTTTCTTGCTTTTAGTTTTTAACCCCAACCCGAGGGTAACTATGCTTAAATTTCTCTTCTTTGTATCAATACATGCAAATAACGGCCTTGTTGTGCGAGCAGTAACTATTACGTAGTGCAAAGACTACAGGAAGTATCGTGCATAGTATGACTATTTTCACCCTTGTATCTTATAGGATGAAAGTTTAAGTGATGAGGCAAAGAAGGCCCAGGAAATATCGGAATTGTTGAAAGAAAAGGAAAAACTTTTGGAGGTAAATAACCCTTAAGTGTGTTATAGGATATTTCATCACAGTGACGTTATCTTGAGCCGTTTTTCTCAGCTGGGTCAGTGAAAGCCTTTGTTGATCCGAATAGCTTACAAGAATAATTTTCTTGGGTAGATAGACACGAAACAGGTAGAAATAAACCAAAAATGAATAGACATGGTCAGGAATGGAGATGGTTAACACGGATTACGATTGACTACCCTTAGGGAGGATTTACACCCAAACAACTTAACCATAAAAGACTCGTCATGGTGACGAGGTTATTGAAGTATGTTTATGTGGCAAACTTGACTGGGACACAAGGACTAAAAGCATCTCTTAATGTACGTTATGGTGCTTTGTTTGGTTTTGTCAGGAAATGTTCCATGAGCGTGCTAGGTTATCATCTACTAATGAAGCCAACACTCAAAGACTCATGGCAGCTCTTAAAGACAAGGAGACTGCACTTAAGGTTAGAATCCGATCGAAAACTTCATGTAAAATTATTTGGATGGTCATGAGCTTTTACCTCTTTTGGAGACTTCTCCATGAAGTTTTGAGACGCCTCTAACCAGTCTAAACTAAACGTTTTGATTCTAATTAAAATCATCCGTGCGCAATATATCATATAGACCCTAACCACAGACATCCTATTGTGTCTGCGTTGGTAAATGAAAATATAATAGAAAGTGGATTTTAGCCGCGGCACTTACACGAGGTTGGCTTTTCGTCCACTGTTCTCCATGGTAAATAGGAATTCATGTAATTTGTTTTTGTGGGGTAAGGAGAAGCGGAGAAGTCACAGGAAACCTCCTAGCGAGAGACAAGAGAACAAGAACGAGAAATAATGACAAAATAATAATTCCAACTAAAGCTTTGCTTTGACACTGTATTTGAAAATGGCCTGAAAATGTCGCCTAGAATAGTCACCTACAATGAATCGAAAAAGTAACCTTTACTTTCTAACATCAGTATGAATATTCTCCATACTACTTCCTAGACATTACCTCTGGTTCTAACAAGGAGAATTTGTTCAACAATCAAGAGCTTCTTTAGTTGGTGATCATCTCTTTAATTCTCATGACCTTATTGTTTGATTCAGGGCTGGTGTTGTAAGGTGAATTTAGATGTTAGTCGTTCTTAGAGGTTAAAGGGTTAATAAACACCTGCCAAAATGTTATCTCTGTAGGAGGCTGCTGCTGACTTAACACGTGTACAAACTGAAAAGAACTCCACCATCCAGACACTACAGCAATTACTTAGCAACAAAGAGCACGAAGTACAGGTAAGACAGAAATTGAGCAAAAAAAAAAAAATTAAAGAAAAGTGTCTGAAAACACGATACTTTGTCCCGGCCAAGGTTTATTACGAGACGTCAAGGCTACCTGGTCCTTTCTTCTCAACTTTGCCACCAGTTTATGTGAACTTTCTTCTTTTTATTTCTCTCTCTTTTCCTGTAGGCCTTAGAAAACAGCAAAGCCTGGGCGTCCCAGGAAAATGAGAAGTTAATTAACAAATTAAGGCTGACCATACAAGACAAAGACAAGACTATCGCAGTGAGTCGTCTCGTGATATGCTATTATTATTAAAAATATACGAGTGTCGATGTTTTGTGTCAAAAATTAATTCTTCTTGATTATGTGATGTTGCTGAAAATGCTCAAAGTTATCTCCTTTATTTTTCCCTCATCAGGGTCTTGTGGAAAGTGGACGAGAGAAAGATAAGATGTTGAAAGTGTTACAGGTAAATTCAGCTTTGTTCCCATTAGTTCATTTGCAGCTGTTTAAGTTAACGAAACCACTTGTGTCGCCAAGGTTTGATAAAGAATGATGAAGTGTCCGTCTTCGGAGATAGTTTTTGCCGCTTTCTTAAGTCGAATATCTAACCAAGATTTTTACTGTTTTGATAGGAGTCCAGTAAAAGCACACCAAAGGCCCCCAGCCCTGCCGAAGTGGTAAGATTCCTTGTTAGTGTTTACCAGGTGTTAAACCAATAAGATGATAATCATCTTTTTTTGTTCATTTGAAGGCGGAACTAAGGCGAAATATTGGTCTATTACAGGCTGAAGTGCAAAAGAAAGATGGTATGTTGCAATTTCCGCCCATTTTTAATTGTTTTGAGTGTGTTGTTTCTGATGGTTTACATTGCTCTGTTAAGATAAGAGACCTAGACTGTTAGTAGTCAGCTTTTCTCTCCATGAAGAGCGGGAGCTATCCTCTCTTGCAAACTTTAGGCGAGAAGAGGTTGGGACAAGACCCCGACTACACAGGGTCGTGGGTCGGGCGTTCTTAATCGACACAGTCCCGACATACTTAATCGTGAGTTAAATTTGCTTCACGCTCAGAAACGTAAATGGAAAAAAAAGACAGATTACTGGTGACCCTGTGGAAAACAAATGGAGAGCAGACCAGCGAATACCGGATTAACCCCTAAATGTTTCAAAACAAGCTATGAGCTTATAAAATTTACAATTTCCTTCATAGCATTAGTAGTTATTACACGCCAAATTTGTACCTATTTTACCTCAAATCCTCCACGGAGGACCTGGTTACGATATTTTTATTCGGTACTGGTTGTATTTATTTTACTTTGTTTCAGAATTGAGCTACACATTTTCGACATAGCCTTTTTCTCTCTAAAGCGATTCTGTTTTTGCGGTGTTATGTGTGTTGGTTTTATCTTTCGTTGCATTGTTTTCCTATTTAGAATCTCTGAGGAAGCTTGAGTCGGATTACAGAAACAACTTGCGGAAACTTCAAGGCGATGATCAAGAGGTAGATGACCTGTACAGATCATTGTGTTTTAACTTGTTTACCGGGGGTTTTAACCTTCATTCGTGTTTTTTGCTGTTGGTTTGAAAGCTCAATAAAGCTGTCGCCAGAGCCAGTGGTAGAGCCGGAGATTTCCAATGAATCAATTAAATTTTGGGGGAAAAATATTGGAGAACTTTTTCTCGATCGGTTGTTGTAAAACCAGAACTAAATAATGGCCAATCAGGAGAAGGAAAATATCAAAAGGAAACAATCGGAATAAATAAAAATGCCTCAAGGGCGGGAAAATTTGAGTGAACAAGTTGCGTTTTGTATCTGGTCGAATAAAGAGGTGATGTGATTGGCTAAAACGGTTATAGAACCTTTTTAGAATTTTGCTTGCTCTGTTCTCTAACTGTTGAGGTGTGTGTTTCTCTTTCAGAACAAGTTGAAGTTTGAGAATCTCCAGCATGAAATACAGACAAGAGATGCACTCTTAAAACAGGCAAAGTATGTGGTATTCCTAACTTATATATTAGAGATAGACAATTCCTCTCTTGTCTCTTGAGTTTGAGGATGAACTTGCAGAGAGTTTTTTGAGTGGTCAGTCACCGGCAACAGCCCGGTAATATCGACGTTTACTCCCGAGTTCAAATCATTATTGTAATTGGCAATGTTTTAGACTCTCTTATATCTATTGTTAAGCAATGGTTTATGAAGAAAACCCAACTTCTTTTCAGAGATGCTGGAAAGGGTGTATACTCGGTTCTTGTTCCATCTGAAGTGACGCGAACTACAACTTCCTGATCATTTATTTAGATCAAGGAGACGTATTTTCCCACCCACTTCGCTTTACTCCTGGTTTCAGAGACAAGCTTATTGGCCTGTTATACCGATGCTCTAGTTAGATAGAGTCACTAATAGGCATTTCATTTCAGGGGTACAATCGATAATCTTCGTTCCAGACTACAGAGCATCCCTAATTTAGAGGTTAGACCAAAAAAAAAATATTATTTGACTGAATTGTTACACTTGGTTTGGCAACGTGAAACAGTTAGACAATAGTTTTCTTTCCTCTTTCTTTGTTTACTTTAGGATCTAAAGCAAAAGTTTGTAGAGCAGTCGCAGGTAAGTGTACACAGTGTGGCCTTTATTTCTGTTCATTTTATATCTGTCCTACTACACATCGTTATGATGCACTATTTTCTTTTCATTTAAGGCCTTGGCTGAGGCTCAAAAAGGGAAAGAGCAAGCACTTGTTGATTCAGTGAGTTTTTCCAAAGAGTATGACTCCGTTGAAAATGATCATTATAAACTTACTGAGTGTGAAAGCAAATGTTCTCAAGGGAACGAGGAATCAGGGTTTACAAAACGTGCTTCATGTTCAACATGTTCAACTTCTTTTTTGATTTGTTGAAGTATTGATGCTGTTTCGTCAGCAGTGCTGGTGCCTTAATTTCTTATCTTGTTTACAGGCCGCACTCAAGAAATCTAACTTGGAGCTAGAAGCGGAACTGAAAGTTAAACTGAACAACATTGAAATGCTTAATGAGGCTGCGCAGATGAAGGACCGAATCATTAAGGTACTCAATGGGCTTATGCTAAACCTATTTTGCGTTGGCCTAGCTTTAATTCGCTAGGTGATTGGCTAAGAAAAGTCGCGCCACCCCTCTTAATCAATCGTTATCCTATTTGACCATTTAAATTTTGGAACGGGTGTCGTAATTTGACAAGGAGCCAATGAGAGGTCACTATGAAAGGAAACAAAGGAAATCCCATGACTAAGTCGCGCTTAGTTTTCGATTTGCATGTGGCGGAATGAGATGGTGGTGCGAGGATACTAGATCAATCATAACGTTGAGTAAGCCAACGCCAATGCAATCCTGAACTCATTTTTATTAACATAAACTGTGATGTTTTACAAGGGTTTCCAGCCCTGAGAAAAGCTTCATCTGCACTCGTATATCGTACGATAATTTTTTTTTTTAAGTATGTTTGATATCGTTCATCAACTGCCGACACGTCACTCGCCTTTCGTTTAACTTTCTCAGGTTGATCTGGAATTTCTCTTCTCGAGTTAAACTCAGTCGAGTTGAACGCTCGAAGGGAAATTCCTTATCTACGCGCGCCCAAGTACTATTTTAAATGTAAATTACTCTTTCTCTGAAATTCCCTCAAACACCTAAGAAAACGTCGTAGAATTTAGCTTAGCAATAAATAAGACTTCAGTGTTGCATGGGAAGATCAATTTGAGTGGACTGCACTTAAAGAGTATCAACCACGTAATCTCTCTCTTTGATCGAAGCGTAAGACTTCACAGCAGATATGTTTGTCTGAGTTATGTGGCTATGGCAGTCTATCCTGGCCATAGATTAGCATTCATTCTTTCGGCTGGTTTTAGGGTGTTTTTCTACCGTTTTCTACACAGACTAATCAGAATTTGGCATTTTTAGGTTCCTGTCCGAAATCTTGTTTTGATTTCACGCGAACGACCTTTTATGCTGGAAGATTAAACTACTCTTTTGTATCCGCAGGAGATGCAAGAAGATCAACAGAAGCAATTAAAAGACATGAAAGAGAATATTGGATATTATCATAAGAAAGCTCAAGAACTTGAGGTACTCATAAAGCTCTTTGTCTAAGGGAAGATTTCGCTCTGAGCAAAACAAGTCTCTTAAGTATGGAACAACAACACAGAGGTTCAACTAAGTAGGGATCTTAAGGAACGCACTTTTAACCTACCCCTCCTTGCTAAGACAATATTATAATTTATAAAGAATTAGCCAGGATTATACTGATGTGGGACCTTACGGGTGGGTCCTGTTAACGCTCTTCAGCGGAGTATCCGTCAGGATGATTAGAAGTCCTATGTCCCTGAATGGTGTGAAAACAAAAGATTCATTTTGGTCTGACGTGAACACAATATTTCCAGGCCTCAAATAATTCGCTACGGCATCAGCTTATGGAGACAGAGGACCTGAAGAATTCGCTCGAGCAGCAACTCGAAAGCTACAAGCAAAGGTTAAATAATCAGGTGACAGAAATTTATAATTTTAAAGGATACCTTACTCGACCATAAGGGAGCTAGTACTGATATAATTTATTCATCGTGAAAAATTCGCTATCCTTGACCTCTGCTTTTCCCGTTTTGTTTTTTTTTCGGTGGTTTACACTATTTTTCACATTTCATATCGAGGTTGTAATCCATTTCTTAGCAACTGCACGCGCTGTTTTAGCAATAGAAGTGTAGCGAGCTTACTCAGCTCGCTAAAATGCATAGCCTTTTAGTTGCCAAAATGTATTGATATTTATCGCCATTTGCTCGTAACTTTGTGGACCATTGAAATGAGAGATATATTTTTTTGAATTAAGTAATTAAATGTGTTGATGACTTCTGAGTGGTCACGAACCGACTTGTTTATTTCCGCGTGCGCCAGTCTTGATACCGTGCGTTGTTTTAAATTTTTACCTGAACTCTTCAAACATACAGAGCAATAATAAAGATCTTGTTGCGCCCCTACAATGTCCATATGGGCAGAGTAAACAAGTTTACAAGTTTCTATGTTACTGTGTTGAAATATATGGTGATAAAATATTTGTCCCTGTGTTAAACTCCAACTGCCGTTACCAGGCTTCTTACGGGGAGGAAGAAGTAAACCTTTTACGTCAAGAGGTCAGCAACCTTAAGGCCAGGCTACAAAGGACTGGTACGCCACACAGGGAAAGTCCTGGAGTGGGAGCGGGGGCCGATGAACAGGTAATTAAATTTGATCATCGAGTCTGTGCTCGAATTTAACATTCTTGCGGGATCTTTGGCTGGATAGGTGTTTTCAACAGCAAGTTTTCCTCCGCAGAAGAAGAATATGAATTAGATGAAGAATATGATTGACATCTTATTCTTTTTCAAGTCCTCTTTCTCTTAACCTGCCATGCCAGTCTTTGAAAATGATAACTCGTCTCGTATTATTTGTCCTAGCAACTTGCCTCCAGCAAAACTTCAAGCCCCCATCCGGCATCTCCGTATGACGCCGCTTATCAGAGAGAGATACAAGAACTCAAATCGAGGCTTGAAGATAGTGACCGGTGGAATGCTTCATTGCAGGCTCGGTTGAATGAATTACAGCCGCGAGTCAGTGGTTTTGGGGGCTCAAGTGGAGACAGTTTACCCTCAAAGGTTCAACGATTAGAGCAGGTAACCGTCGTCATGGGTCTCGCGTACTCCTGTAGTATTTATTTCCAGAAAATGTTAATTTTTTTATCGTTTTTTTTTTTTAAAGAATTTTCCTGGGTGGTTAGTTCGGTTATCTGAACTGTTACGACGATGTTATGTCCTCCTTTCATCGTGTGAACGGCAGCAAGTCCTTTTTAGAAAATGCAGAAAACGAAGCGAATAATCCAAGATGTCAATACTTTGGAGCCGATTGTTCATATTTTTAACAACGAAATACACCAAATAATCGCTATCCCATGGATAGCATAGTTTATAAAAGTTAATCAGCGGAAACTGGAACCACCTCTGTAGAGCGTTTTCCGTTCTTTTGATAACCGGACCTAAAAGGGAAATAGTTGCTGGTGAACCAGGACAACGCAGATCCTGGTAGCGACCATAAACCTGCAATAAAACTGGTATTCACATCCACTGAAACTAGATACAGATGCTGGGTAAACAAGGTTTCTCGTGGATTTCGGGGAAGGTGGGGTAACTTGTAAGCTATTAGCCTCCGAGTATATATATTTTTTCTCTTCGATTACATAACATTACATAAATTTGTTGTACCTACGATTATGGCTCTAAGCCAATCTTTTAGAGGTAAGAAGAATTTTTCGCAAACAAACCTTTTGTTAGATTGTTTTTTCAGTATGTTCCGTCGTTTTACACTTTTGCAGCAAGTGGAAAAATTGAAGGAACAACTCAAACAGAGCGGCCAGCTGAATGTTGGGCTCAAGAATCAACTGGATGATAGTAATTCGTTGCACATGCAGACTTTGGCTGAGAAAGACGATCTGATAACAGATTTGACTCGACAGATTGATAGTCTTCAAACGCAGTTAGACAACACGAGACAAACGTTCAGCGAGTTGGAGAGAAGATTACAAGATGCAAACAGCAGACTAGAATATTATGCTACCAGTTTGAACGGTAGCCATGACGATACCCTGCTTGAGCGGGAACAAGAATTGGAAATTTTAAAACACGAGTTAGACGAGTTGCGTCGGATTCAAGCTCGTAACCAAGCTCGTATGGCCGCGCAGACGTCGCCTTTAAAGGACTGGACTCAAGGGTCAAGTGATAAGTTGAGGGACCTGGAACGCAGATTAGAAGAGAGTGCGCAAACGAACGAGCAGTACAAGAATATTTTGGAAGAGAAGGAATTGGAATTGCAACAGCTTAAAGCGATGGTAAGTAAATTTACACTCTCTCACATTTTCAAAGCGTTTTGCCGTCAGAAGTTGTATTCGTCAATGCAGTGCTACTGGTTTGTTAGTTTAATCACGCTGCACCATCTACGAAACTCACAACCTACTTTAGACGATCCAAACGCGGTTTCCATGCTTGAGAATCCTGTTAACGTTAAAGCAGATGTTCGTGCGAAAATACTGTACTATTCTTAACATACAAAATTGTGTCCTGTGGCTCGAACGTTCGCTCGAGCAATTAAAAGTTTTAGTTGCCGACAAACGGCTGACGAGAAATCTGGTCGTCCAAATCCTTTTATTAGGGAGAGAAAGCAGTCGGATGGCGACACCGAGAAAACATTTAAAAAAAGATTGAAGTAACATTCGGCAAGTACGTGTGTTGAATCAGAATATAGTAAGAGTCGCTCGAGTGGTTCCATGTTTAAGTCGTCTTAAACCGTGTCATACTTCCTCTACGACGAAGAATGTGAAGGAGTCGTTAGGTTCCAAGAAGAAACGGAAAAATTTGCCGGCAAGACTTGTGTAGTCAGACTACGCAAAATTTGATAATTTTACGTTGTTGGTTTGCAGCAGACGACTGAGACATTTGAGGAGTTTTAAATGGCATGCGCAGAGCTATTGTTTGTTTACTTATCCGTGGTCTCGTCGCGTTGGGTTCTGTTTGCTCAAATGCCTCCGCTTTCGGTGCTCTGAGTTTTGAAAAAATCACGTGCAACAAGAGACCCACAGAGGAAACTGTTTTGCATAATTGGTCAAAGGTGTGGTTTTAAATAGCTTTTGAAGGAATTGGTCTTGCAACTGAATTTGAAATCTGGAGGTCTGCAAGTCAGTTTTTTTCCCTCCGTCACTTACTGAATTTGTCTCTTGTTCACCACGAGTTCAACCTCTCCTGTAATTTGTAAATAGCTAACCTGTTTGCCTCCCACATAAGAGGATACATGAAAATATGTCCTCTTTACATTATTAGTTTGTGTATTTACGTTGTTTACAAATAGTACAGGAGTCTTGAGCACATTGAGTGTAACAGCCGTCAATTTCGTGTCAATTCCACGTTTTATTCGATCCGATCAACTACGCTCAGCACACTGTTCGAATATAATACCGAATGAGAAATCCTTAAAAATAAGCAAGTGTCCTTATCTGTAACCTTAAAAATTGCTGCAATAATCGTATTGGCACCGTAATGTTTCCTACCTGCGATGTGAGTCTTGTGAAACGATCCTCATCCGAAAAAATAAAGACGAAAATAACAAGCGATAAAAACGCAAGTGCGCCGAGGTTTGAACTAGCGTCAAATGACGAAACCTTGGCAGAGACTGGGCCTAGTGCACAGGAAACCAAACATTTACATCGAGATATGAAGATATGAGATACGAGCGTCCATTGAGATGAGAAGCACTTTGGAAATTTTGGGAGTATGAAAGATGCTTAAGAGTTGTTCGCGACGTATACGACAAACGACTCTAAACCCTTGAATGGTCTCCAAACTCTCTTAGTTTTTCTTATCTCAATAAATGCACAGCTGACTAAGAAAAAAATTGTTTTATAACATTTTTAATATTGTATTTCAGATGTTTTATGTAAAGTGAAGTTTCCTCTGCGGCGCTTCCTAAGCGTGCCCAAATGGAATACGAATATGTTCTCACCTCCAACGCTTAAGCGCATATTTTGCATTTGATCCGCGCTTAACACACTTTTCTCGTAATTTTCGTCAAGCTACTTTAGTATGATGTTTGCCCATTTCAATACCTGATTAAAGAACCAACCTCTTCTTTTTTTTTCCGTTTTACAGGAGGCATCAAGAGATAAAGAAAAGTCTAAAGCGAATGATCGAGAGATGGCTGAAATCGAAAGACTCCGCGAGGAATATGTAACAGGTATCAAAACAAACGAAGAACTTAAAAAGGCTCTTGAAAGTGAACGGGAAAAGAACCGTGACAGATCAAGGGCTTCGGATGGAGTCCTGGAACTTCGGCTACAGCTTGACGAATCCTTACAGAAGAACGAACACCTTCAGCGACAGCTTCACGAGAGAGCCCGATCCGAGGACGAAGTTAACCGACTGAGGCACGATCTACAAAATGCTACCCAAATGAATGAATCGTTAGGATCGCAGATACGGGAATTCAACGAATCTTTTTCCAAAATAAAAGGGGTTAGGGCAGATGCAGTAAAAATGCAGAAAGAACTGAAAGATGCTCAACGTTTGAATAGAACACTCACAGATCAGCTCAAAGAGACGAGGAAATCTGCGGAGGAAGTTGGAAGAGTACAGCGTGAGCTTAGGGAGGCTAAAATGATGAATGATCAGCTTGGGAAACAGCTGTCTGAGCTCCTGAATCACTCGGCGAAGATGAAAACCCAAATTGAAAAGTGAGAATATTTTTCTTCGTTTGTCCATGTTACAATTATTAGTTGAGTAAGATGCGGGAAAAAGTTTGGTGATGGGGTTTTGACCGTAAACTAACGGTGTTGTTACGGGCAACCTTCCTCGGTTTCAGTGGTAACCGAATCTCAAGAGCCGTGCGTCACCAAACTTAAAGGCGCGTCGCCAGTGGTAACGAAGCCATTTTGTCGTGACAACACGATTTTAACGTCAAAAGATTTTCACTGCACTTCCGTCGCGCTTCACTCGACTGATAGTAACTGTAGGTTACAACAGAAAGTGGTAATAGAAAATTTTACTCATTAACTCCTCAATCTAAAAGTGATATCGACGAACTGACTTTTCTTCTTGTGCTAAGGATTTGGTGCGAATCTTTTCAATGTTTCCCCCAACCGACACGTTAAATATTTTCCATCTGTTTGGTTGACTGACTGAAATGACCACACTCCGTGTCTCTTCGACCTTTGTTACTATAAATAGTATTTCATTACAGTGTTCAGTTTATTGAATGAATATAAAGTGCTAATGTAGTAAATGTTAACAACACAACTGAACAGGCATGACGCGCGCATGACGTTTATCAACACCTTTTTTATTTTTAGATTGCAGCACGAATTGCAAGAGAAAGATAAGGTTATTGAGACATTACAGCTGAGACTTCAGTCCAAAGCTGACATGCAGTCCATAGCGCTGTCTCCATTTTCGTCGCCGTCCAGACGTTTTGTAGAAACGCAAACCAGTCCGGCGGCTTCACCTCAGGTAAATGGAGAAATAGGTCAACTGATTACACGGTTACCGAGCTAGTTGTCCAACACTCGCCCCTTTCCTATCCCTCTGTGGTGCTTCCAGTTATCGCTTGGGTTTCCCACTAGGTCGGGGCGATGTGATGAGAGACACCTGCTCTTTTTCTGATCATCCTGGATACAACTCAAATTTCAATTTTCTACAATTAAAAGCATTTAAGTTTTTTTTTGTCTCATTATTTTCACTTAAACTATACTTAAATGAACCTTCAGTCAAGTATATTATGTTATACCTTTTGAGCGCTATAATTTTTGTATGTAGTGGGAACTTCATGCAAGGGAGACCTGCAGGTATAGATAAATTTTCCGCTCGATTGGTGTCCCTTCAATGAAAGTGTCAGATACAAAGCTTGTAGGAGTATTTGCTCAGAGTGGACCAAAGCTTGTGTGTTTAAATGCAGTTTTTCTCGGAATGTAGGGGTACCAGAAGAACGGTTCCACAGTATTTGCATTTAAGCTCCGTGAAGTAACTGAAGTAAACTTGTAACAGGTAATATTTTGGGGGCTCTTCGAAGTTTAATTCTCCATTTTTCTTCCAGGGGATGCGGGAGAGTTCATCGCAATCAAATTCCTCGACTGAGGCCATTGAGAAGCTTCAGCAGATGAACAGAGTGCTGCTGGGAGAAAATCATCTGCTGAAGAGCAAACTGAAAGACTGTGAAAAGTTAAATGAAACACTGAAGAACGAGAACGACTTGTTCTCCAGATTACACAATCAGTCCAACGAAACGCAATCCAACAGCCAAAAACGATCTAACATGGACGACCTTTTGGCCGGATTCATGGCTGAAATGCGCGAACTGCGCTTGCGCTTAGAGGATAGTATTCGCACTAACGATGCGCTGCGGGCGCAGTTGGAGATGCGATTGTCCGAGGGGGCAGGTGACGGTAGTGCATCGAACGCCCCTGATCAAATTATTTTGATTCGCGAGAATGACTCGCTGCGGACTGAGTTACTGAAAAAAGATCAATCTAATGAGAAATTGAAGAAAACCATCGATGGATTAACGCGAGAGCAAACGAGGTAAGTCTTTGGTGACTGTTTCTGAACTGTTCTACACAGCTCAATGGTTTGTACTGTCATCTCCAAACCAAGAGATCCAAATGTGAAATGTTGCAGGGACACTTTTTTTTTGCTTGTTTTCATTCATCTTCCGCTGAAAGTTTTACAGTAAGCCATGTTTGCTAAACGCCAAGTTATCTCCTTGTTCCTTCATAAACTTACAATGGTCAACTTCCTTGTGTTTATCCAGGGACAAAGAGCAACTCAATCTTCTCCGCCAACAGATGTTGGAGAGCACTAAAGTTGCTGAAAACCTCAGAAAAGAATTGAGTGTTTACGAGAAGCTCTACAAACTGTCTTACGAAGGCAGGAACATCGAATTACAGACTGATGGTATGTATCTGTGGTATTCGGAAATTTGAAAGGACCGTCTAAGCCTTTTTCTGAAATCATATCCTTTATATTTTCTCCCATAACCCTGTGTCATGTGGTGTATGTTTACTAGTTATGGCAAAAATTCCTTTCGAGACTAATTAACCCTCCGCAACCAAACTAAACCCGCAATTTTCGTGTTTGAGCTGTCGCGCAACCACTCAGCAAAATGATTTCTCCTTTGGAGCCAACCGTTTCTTATTGGATGATTCAAGAAGCATTTTACAGTGGCTTTTTATTAGTTTTTGTAGCAGGCTGGTTTAGGGAAAAAGTACACACTGCAAGACGCCACTGAGGCTTTGAGGGAATAATGCGTGGCGATAACAACCTAAGGGGCAGGAAAACATAGCTCTCGAATTCGCGATTTGTTTTTGTTTTTGGTTTTTTTTCCTCTGATGGCTCGAAAGGATGGCTCAGGTCTTCTAGACAAATCACAGGGTAAAGTCAGAGTGAAAGGAATACTAACATGGATGTTCTCAGTTTCGTTACTCAACCGCAAATGGATTTGTAAACCAATTTCTGACATTTCCGTAGGGCAAAGTTATGGCAGTGAGGGACCTCGAAGTCCTAACAGCGAGTCACAGCAAGACGCCCTGTCGATGTTACTGGCTGAAATCCGAAGCCTACGAATCCAGCTGGAGAAAAGTATTGAAACCAACAATGCATTGCGACTTAGACTTGAAGAACAACTTAGTCGGCCTGCCAGTTCACCATCCCAGTCTCCCAGCAGATCTCAAGGCACGTTCACTCGACGGCTGAACTTCTCGGAGAGGAAGGGAGGGGAAGATATTGGTACTGTCGAGTCTGTCACAGGTAGAGCGTCTTAGTGATAGCCATTATTATACCTGAGTATACTTTTTCATTTACCCATTTTGTGCTGTCCTAGTGCAGCTTCTTATGGGTAAACTTTTCAAGTTGAAACTCTTTTCTCTTTTAGACTTACAAAATGGTGGAATTTCTAACGAGGAGCAACAAGTTATGAGTCAGCTTGAAGAGAAGTTAGACTCTCTAAACAAGTTTGCAACTGAGGCGTACAATAGCGTTATATCAAGCTCGCAGGTAGTTTGTTTTTTGTCGCTTTAAAGCCGGATATAATGGTTTAGTTTCCTAATATCTCTTTTTTTTCTTTTACTCACCTTTACAGACCGATAGTCTGCCTTATATTGAAAATATTTTGAGAATTATTTTACAATGCAAGGCGCTGTTGAAGGCATTGCATGTCGACATTTCTCGTCAGCGTACACACAGTGATCCAGATGATTCTGACAAAGAGGTAAGGCTATTTTTTCCCTTCAGGGAAACCACTACGATAGAAAATAAGACGCGAGATATCTATGCATGCAAAAAAATTAACATGAGTTTGTGCTGACTTTCGATTTTGTACCTTGAGTGGCGACCTTTTTTCGCAAATTTTCTGTGCTCTGTTCCAATACCGCTTAAGGTTAAATTTACTGTTTTTGTCTCTAAATGCGAACCAGAGCGTGCTCGTCAGACGTGGCTTCCCTTTCTTCGGCAACTGCATCTTGCCTTTTGCTGTAATGGTTCATAGATAACTCACCCATTGTTTTGAGTAAAGGATTTTAACTCTGTTTGTTGTTCTTTTATTTTGCTTTATTTTTTTTGTTGTTGTTGTTGTTTATTTTTCCGTCTTATTCTCTGTAGAATGAAAGTCTCAAGCTCGAAATTGGAAAATTAAGACGCCGACTTCTTATTCAAGAAGATATAATTAAACGCGCGTGTGAAAGACTCGAGGTAGGCCAGAACACTTATAGAAACATGGATGTGAGGCTTGATCTTAACCGAGGGTTTCACTGTTATTTTTTACTCAGCTCTGTTGCACTAATTTAAATTTTTTCTTTTGCTGGCTTTTGAAATATCACTGGTCTGCTATGACTGTCTATATCTTTTCTTTTAAGAGTAAGAGTGCTTAGTTCAACACATTCACTGTTTTTGTCATCTGAATGTCACACAAGTGAAATTCAAATTCGTTCGCTCTTAGTAGTTCAAGAGTGAATTGTATATTGTCCCCCACACCGCATAAGTCTTTTTCTCTCTGTCCCTGTACTAAAACTTTTAACCTGAATGTAATCAGGGAATAAGTCATGCTCGGCTAAGGAAACCTTATCTCAGCAATTCTATCGAGTCTGATGCTAATAAATAACGGGAAACTGAAGAGGCCATTTTACAGTTGTGTATTTAGTTGCCAAGCCTTTTATTTGGAGTGAGGCTGAAGGTGACCTTGTTGTGATAGAGACCAGTACCTAGTTAGCGTAACAATAAAGCAATTTACATTTAAAAAGCAGCAAGGTTTGTATCATAATATGGTCACCCTTAGTCTCACTCCTGTTGAAAGGCTTGGCGACCATGCACGCAACTGTAAAATGGACTATTGTCTAAATTTAGTAACTCACTCACTGAAACGCCTTTTTAATAACAATTTAACTTTCAATATTATCTAGTAACCTCTTAACTGACTTTCATTTAACTGTTAACGATCAATAATCGTGAATAACTTGAACATAAACACTTAACATACTGTTGGTTTTGTTCTCTTTGCTTCGTGTCTTGTGCCTTTTTTTTCTGCTCTGATTCTTTTTCTCTTCCTGTCCAGCGTTGATCACTCAAAGTTCCACTGTCCTCTGATCAACGGTAACAAACATAATATGTAACTTTATCACTACTAAACTGCTCATGCGTCTTAATTAAGATGGTATCAACATATCACATCACCTCACTGAGCTTTGCCGTTGTTCCAAAATCTAACCACGCAACACCATAACATAACCAATCACGTAAATTTAAAAAAAAAACTGGCATGTACAACATGAAATTTCAATTTAAATAAACTTATCATAAGTTGAAAGTGGCCGGCCGACTTATGTCACGTCTGACTGACCGGTTTCGATTGAATTTTACGTGACCTTAGTAACAAAAGAGTTCGCACATTGTAGGGGTGCTTCACCCTCCTTGCTCTGATAAAGGTTGAGTAGCGAAGAGGACTTAGTTTTGTGTTTTTGTTTCTTTCTTGATTGTGCATTGTTCTTCGTGCGTTTTTTTTGTTGTTGGGTGTTTTTTTCGTCGATCATTTGTTCGTAATGGAAGTTTGTCAAGTAAGTAAAGACAGAACTTGAGGTTATTACGAAAATAATCTCGCGCGGGCCACAAACAAATTGATTAAGATTTGAAAGGTTATTATTTTTGATATAAGAATACTGCCTTTTCTTTTTCGTGAACTGTCAGAGGCATTTTCAAATTCCATCTTGGTAAATGTCGGGTTTTTCTGTTTCTTCAGACTACAAATAAAGTCAAGGAGAGCACACGTGATGAGATTATTGAACACTGTGAGTATTTATGAACACCTTAGTATGGACATCTTTAAAAGAATTTACATGTAGTCTTCACTGGTGACTCAAACTTTGTCTCGGTGAGAGTTACGTTTATCTGGAATGAAAGCAAACTTTATTTACTTTGGATTTGTCAATGGCACTTGGAACTAAACTGAGCTTCGTTTGCTAACGTGTTTTACAAAGTTCAAACAACGAATTTTTCTTATGACCATCGCTAAATGTAACCCGTTTGAGAGTCGTTCAGAATCAAACTTTCCTCCCGCAATAGAGTAGAAGTTATTGCATGTAACGTGACCATCGAGGAAAAAGAGTGCCCCTGACGGGAAAACTTAAAATTGGCGTTCAGCGCATCAAACTTGTAGGTGGTGACTGTTTCAGCGAAACATTCAGCGGGTTATAAGCGTAGCCGTTGAGCGCTGTGAATCATATCATTGATACCTTGCGCTGGAAGACAAGCGACTGATTTGGGTTCTGAAAATGAGAAAACGTTTACAGTTACCCAGTGCGGAAAATTTTAAGCTGTTTCTGTGCGCTGGAAATCTCGGAGCAAGTACCCAGCGGGGTAAGATGCGCTAATGGTTCCAAGCATGTGAAGCAGACTAGTGGTGTCAAGTGCGGGTGAAAGTCGCGTGAGAGAATGTCCTGTTTCTAATTGGTAGCTTGATCGGTTGAAAAGCAAGACTTTCGTTTCTTTGATTGATTGGAGGGTATTACTTATAACTGAAGTTTTTTAAACCCAGTAAGAGTTGAAGAAATAGGATCAAAGCGTTTTAAACCTTCATAAACAGCTTTGATCAGAGGTAGATGATGAGTGCTTGCTGTCAAGTTACAGAAAAAAAGATAAATCTTTAAAAAAAACTTAATTAAACATAAAAGTCGGTATGTTGATCAAGTATACGATAAATTTAATACTGGTCGATAGAGATATTTACCATTTCCTTTAGAGTTCCTCCATATTAAATCCCCTTCATAATATAGCGATGATGTCTCATTTGAGATTTGTGGAGCATCAGCAAAGAGAAATTATCCGTGGTCGTGTAACCAAAAGTAAAAACGAATTTTGATGGAGTGATAATACCATACTTTAATATTTCCATTCTTAAATCGAAAGCATCCTGTTTTTTTCCTCCGTTTTAAAATTACTTTCACAGTAAAAGTTTTAATTTGTAATTTTTAATTTGTTTCTAGTATCCGTCTCACAGAAGGTCTTATCCGGTGCCAGGGGAAAATTAGAGGTCAGTTACCATGGCTGCTGCAGAAAGGGAAGACTTGATTTCGTGGAGGGATCAATAGAAACATAAGGGCTTGGATGGGTGCAAGCTAAACAAATGAACGATTCAAACATAAGATGACAATCACGCATGTGGTAGTCAGCATTAGCAAAATCTCTGCTCTTCAAAGAGCAGGATATGTTAAAATTCTCTCAAAATAAAAAGGTCTCACTTTCTACTTCAGTCCAGAACTTTAACACGGGAGGAATTTTAGAGTTTTAGCGAAGGTCAGACTGTACTTTAATCTCTAATTAATTCAAATCTAGCAGTTTTCTTTGGCAATGTTCTTTCAGTTAGATGCACTTGTGTTAAAGTTCCCCTTATTGATCGATAAACTTCTCTTTTTTTCAGAATCGTCTTCGTCCGAGCAAGGCAGCTAAATAATAAGGGTGCACAATTGTAAAATGATAGGATATAAAGCTGTCCAAAAAGTTAAGTATATAAGTTAAAGAAATTTTTTAAAAAAATTCTATATTTTCGATCAATCGTAAATCCATTTTTCTATCGCGAAAATTGTTTATTTTTTCATAAAACAATAACAAAGCTAAAAATAGTGTTACTGAAGGCCAGTATTTAAAAATTGGTTTTCAAGTAACACCGAGGAGCTTCAGCAGGGCAGGTTCATTGATATTGTACATTCATTATTGAAAGTATCTCAAAGGAAGTGAATTTATCATCATGTAAAATGTTTCACCAATAGAAATGGTTTCGTTAAGTTATTGTTTGTTTGTTTGGTTTTTTTTGCATCTCCACAGTAGTTTAGGGCTTGAACTGTTACTTAGCTAAATAATAATCTTATCCCTGCATTGAAAAAGGTTAATTCCACCATCAACGGTTTTCAATTCGACTTGTAATTCATAATTTAAAAAAAAACGCTAACTTCAAACCACCGTCCACGAATGACGATCATTACACTCTTATCGCGAGTCCAAAGTCCATAGCATGTACAGCCGTGACGTCACCCAATACTTGAACAAAGCCTGTAACAACAAAGTAATAAGGAGTAATTGATAGGAAGGAGGTAATTATTGTGAGAGTTGAAGTCTTGCCTGAAGACAAAACGGAAAAAATACTATTTTGTGTTGAAAACTTACCAAGTTCTCATCCTGTTTTAGCACGATAAAACTGAAACCATGCGACACTTCTGCATCACGTAACTGTCAGAAGCAAAACTTAAGCATAACTTGACATGCACAGTGTTGCGTCACCCTCTTAGCAACATTTTCCAATGAGTTATCGATGGTTTCGTTCCTCAGATCTAAGTGACTTTACTTCTTTGTCCCTCTGCAGTAGTTTTAATGAGTCGCCTTACAGTAGCCTCCAAATATTTTATTAGTAACCAGCGATCCAAAGGAAGATAGGGGAAAGAGAAATTTAGCTGACGGAGCCTGTTGTTGATTTAACCGTGCCGCAACTTTCCCGGTTTCTGCTGCGTGAATTGGTAACTAGTAATATTGAGTTAGAGTTTAACTGTCCTTGAAGCATTTACAGAAACTAAAGACTTAATGAAGAATTGTTGAGCATGTTCCTCCCAGATCAGTTTACTGTCTCAAAGAATGGCAGAATTCCTTGATGTGAAAGGAATGTGGGCAGTAATTTCAAAAATCTCTCATATACACTTAAGCACGGCATTATTTTCTCCCTTAAACCAATTTTAACAAAATTGAAAAATGACAAAGAAGACATTTATAACCAATTACATTTACTGAATATTCTTTGATCCAGTATGAATAACATTTCCCTGTAAGCCGTGGAAATAGTCAAAAAACTGTTAATTTTAAAAAAAAAATTTTGAATTTCAACTCAAAACTGAATTTTTCCAAACATTGATTGAATCCATGGTTATCGATGGAATGATAGTTTTTCTTTCCTTTTATGATAAGCAAAGAAAAATTTGCTAAAAAGCTGCCAGTAATATGCACATTTGGGCTTAACATTTTAAACCTTCCTCTTTTTGTCATTAAACATGATGACCTTAGAAATGGCTTAGGAGTGTGACTGATGTACACATTTAACATCTTGGCATCTTAGCGACACAGCAAAATTATTATTGTCTTTCAGTGAGAGATTCTACCAGCAAGGCAAAGTGTGGCTTCCGTGCCTCTACGTGATAGTATTGGATAATTCTTGACACAAGTGATAAAATAGTTCAGTTCCCTTTTCAAAAGAGGATTATCTTCTGCCATAAAGGTCAAATTAAACGTCAGTTACAATGGTAAAATGAAAAATAACCTCATGAATATAAAAAAATTAACACCTTTTTTGAAAAAGTTGCCCAGCATCACCCAATGCGGAAATTTTAAGACATCTTCACTGCAAGCGGCGAAAATATGCTATTAAAGACTAACAGAAATGCTGTTGGTTCACCGATATCTTGAGGAAGTAAAATATTAAAATCCTAAATATTTCTAGAACTTGTAGTATCCGTTCTAATTGCTATCTTTTACTTCCCGTCCATTTCCTCCTCTCCATTTGAGATGTCATTACCCTCTTGTAGTTCTTGTTCGGCTTTTTTCAGTTCGTTTACTCGTTTCTTTTCTCGCGCGACCTTGGTCAGAATTTCAATTCCGTAAATGAGTGTTAAAATCGCAATGAAGATGGCCGTGGCTGGGTCTATCAACCAGGCTGAACTACTCAACTCCAAAACTAACGTGCTAAGAATCACACCCACCGACATTCCCGCGCCACTGAGGGCATCGATAGAATCCGCAACCAAAGCAGAACTGTCTAATTTCCTCGCCAGACACAGTTTAATACAGAAGAGGAAAAAATACCCCACACAGCTTACTACTGACATGATTATTAAAACTGAAGGTTTCCGTGGTTCCTCGTCCAACACGATACTAACTATCGCTCGCCCAGCGACCAGCGCTCCCGAAACGATAAAACACACAGCGATGATGTTACAAGCCTTCCATTCTCGCTGAGTTTTTCCCTCGCCGTTTATTCCGTAATAAAACCGCCATATAACAGACGCAGAAGAAGTAACGGCCAGTATTGCGTCCAAAGCCACCGCGAACGCCGAAGAGCTGTCGGATATTTCTGAAACTGCAAATGCGCCAAACCCGAGCATAACCGTGAAGACGATTGAGAGAAGGCAAATTACAATGGTCGTTTTGCGCCATTTTTCCAACTTCTCATATGGAAGTTCCCCACTTTTTTTGTCATCAGCCCCATCGGTTTTTAGTAATGATTGTTGCTCGTAGTTGATTTTGGCGCCGGGGCTATTTCCAAACTCCTCTTTTGTTGAAGAAGTGGATTTATCCATCGTCTGAACGAATTTAGTAACACGGTGCTGTCAGCATTTTTTTGGTCTGTTTTGCAAGTGTATCATGTAGATACACTCGTTTTATCCTGAATCATTGGGCTTAATCTATTGGCTCGATCAATGATTCTTTGCAAGGATAGGTCTAATTTATGCTGAATGCAATTAAAATATTCCTTAACCCATTTTAAAATTTTAATGTCTCGTCAGACTGTCAGTACATGAAACTTAAAGAGAATATTCAATTATTGCAGTATCACACTTCGCCCACGGAGCTTTAGACATTACAAGTAATCAAAAAAAAAAGGAGAGAAGAGATGGAAATATGAATAAATTCTAACTTTTTACTTAATTGCTCTCTGCTTTGAACAAAAACATAGCAGTTTCACTCAGGTGCCTAGGAGCGGTGGGAAACAGAAAGTATGTGCAAATTAGTTAGCCCACCAAGGCGTTTGTTTTCCTTTTTTTTTAAATTACCTTTTTCTTGGCTAAGAATCTATCTCATCAATTGTTGCCTACGCAAAGTGTTCGGCGAAAACTCTAGTAGTTTTCTCTATCTTTTATAAGACATTAAAGACTCTTTAATATCTATTGAGTGAATAAGTTGTCTCCTATATTCCCATTGTTAGCAGCACTTTTGTTTGGGTCAATAGCACCTGAATAACATCACTGTTTGTTTACGATATCACTAGCGCCTCCGAATATAAGAGACCTTTCGGAACATCATTTACTCTTCCAGTTGCGCAACAAGCTTTTAAGAAGTGCTGACGTTAAAATGGAACCTAAAGATAAATATCTAATCACAGTTATCGACCTCGTTTCGTCTCCAGGTATTCTGTAAGTGCGAAGAAAATTGAAATCTGTATGCTATTTATATGAATTTATCAATTATCATTAAAATGCTTTATGATGCTCCTTTTCACTTTTCCTCCTACTTCAGATATAAAAATAATTTTAAAGAACCTTTGACGGAACAAGTGGTGACCAAATATTGACCCGAATCGATCTGGTAACAAGCTGGATGTGACTTTGGTTTGCTTTCCTTCGTCCTGGGAGAGTCAATATTTTACACACATTAAAAATCACTTTCTAATTTTCCGGGCCTTTTAAATTTTTTCCCAATACACATGTTTCTTAGAGCAAATACCATAGTACCACTCGCAAATATTTGATGTAGGCAAAAAATAATTTTAAAAAAGAAAATATTTAAAGATGGGCATTTTCTGTGACTTGAGCTTAAAGAAAATGATAGAGTATAGAGCGGTAGATAAGGAAAAAAAAGACACAATTACAGCATACGTTTCTACATAAGAGCCTTCCCAGAGACAGTTGACCCCATCGGGATGTTCAACAAGTTTATGGCTGATTGGCAGCTCTGGCCGTGATCCAAGTGGCGAGAATGAGGATGCAAAGTTGTGAACTGATGAGTGGGTTATGACGGGGGTGTACCACTGCTCCGAATCGATCTACTGCCATCAGAACCTGGCTCTGCATTGAAATGGTCACGGAAACATCGGATGCAAATGGAACAAACTTGCAAAGAACTGACCAATAGCACCATTGATCGGTCATTAGTCAGAATACAACTCCGTTAAAATCTGTGGAAATACGAAAATTGAAGACAGCATGTCGGACATAGCCATGTTCACGATAAAGTAGTAAAAAAACTTTCTCATTGCGTTTGTCTTATAGACCGATTATTACGATGAGAGAATTTTCTGTTAGTGCAAAAACAAGTAGAACTTAGTAAGCGAGCGTCTTTCCAACATTTTCAGCTAAAGGATTCGAACTGCAACGGAAACTGTGTTCCGTTCACTATTGTGTTCAATACTGCCGACATTCTCAGAGTTCAGTATTTTGTTCACTTATAGTTACCGTCTTAAATGTGACACACTGCAGTAGTGTTTTTCATCGAGGAAGTGCTACTGTATGCGTCATACTATAGCACAAATGTGCCTTTGATCGACGTCTTTTGAATGCAAGCGGTAGGTAATGGAAAGATAAACAACGTTTTTTTAAAAAAGATCCATTAATTGATGTTTGCCAGCTTATAACAAGTGTGAGACATGCAACCTAACTGTCAGATCACGAACAAATATTTGATACTTTTAACGACTGACTTTAAAAGTAGGTTTACCAACGAAAAACAGACCCCTCTCAACAGATTTCAACAACTACCGGCACCTCCCAGCGCCTTTAAAACGACTCTAAAATTAACATAACCAGAGATCAGAACGGAACGACTTCACTTTAAATTTTCCGACGGATCTAAACTAAATTACGCAGCTTGAGTCTTACGCCCAGTAAAATTTCGGGGAAAAATGATCGATCATTTCTCTTGAACCAGAATTAAAACTTTTTCGTGTGAAATGTTACATTATATGGGAAGGATTATCAATTTCAAACTGTTAAATGTTTTGTATAGGTAATCACTTGATTTCGAGTGCAATTTGTATAGGTAATCACATGAGGCCAAGTACTCGCGACTCGGGCAATTTTGGAAAATTTTGAAAACTCAAGTGCAATTAATCCTTAATAGTACGAGGTCTCATGGGATTACTTGTTTATCAATAAAGGGCAAAATTTATACGAAGGAAAATCACGCGCGCAGTCTATTTTTATCTGGGAAGCAACGGATTAGCAATGCAACGGATTAGCCAATCATTAACAGGTAATCATGCCCTCTCTTGATTACTAAAAATGCCCTCGATTAAGAAAAAAATGCCCTCTCTCTCAACCAATCAGCGCTCAGTAATTTTGCCCTTTATTGATAAGGAATAAATAAGCACGAGTAAATTTTTTCAAAGACTAACAAAATTGCACGAGTGCAATTTGTGGTCTTTGAAAAAATTAACATGTGCTTGTTTCTTCCAAATTGCACGAGAAAAACCATGTGATTACTTGTTAATAATATACATGGAAAAATACGAGATGGTCTATCATAATTAAACATAAGCAAAGCGCGCGCATCAAGTGCAAAAAATAATTTATTCAAACCGTGCGTTCGGTCAAAACAACTGCGTACGATCAAAACAATAATATGCAATGATATCTTCACATCTTTAAGGTGCAAAAAAGTTCAAAGTCCGGTTCAACAGTTCAAGGAATTGTTCAGTCTGTGTCCGAATCACTTTCGATGAAATGGAATCGTCGTTTCCTAGGTTTAACCATGTTTGTCTTAAATTTCGGCGTTGGATCGCTCGAGCAAAGTGTTAAGCTGGGTCGGCTCGTAATTTTCGATTTCCTCGGCAATTCCCCTCTCTAAACACCACTTTTTCCAAACGGACAACCAAAAAGCAGTGATTTTTACAATGTTTTCGTTGTTTAAGCTGTTTTTCAGCTGCGGTGGCGAAAGAAAACCTACTTAAAACGCCGGCCATTGTTTCGCTCGCAAATTTTCAAATTTTGTTGCGACATCCAAGGCTCGCATTTGATTGGCTATCTGCGAGTTTCTTTGATCATTGACCAATCAGAATGTCTGATTTGTTTCTTTCTTTGCACTGAATTAACCCTCTTCTGCACTGAATTAACTCTCTTCTGCACTGAATTACCTGAAAACTGCATTTGTTATAACCAATCAAAACTGAGTAATTTTTCCATGTATATTATTAGATGGAAAATAAAGTAAAATAAAGAAAAATAAATTGTCGGCCCTCGTTTTCACGTACTTCTTGTGCTTAGTCTCTCTCGGAGCCTCTCAAGCAAAGAAAATTGAAGTACAGGTCCCGAACAGGAGGAAATAATTTTGAGGTACATCCATAGCGTCTTAAAATAAAAGATAATACTGATGGGTGAATAAACGGGTTAATACATGAAAAACTCGACTCGTGTGGTTTACGCATTAAGCGGCTTCTCGAATTTAGGATGTAATTCTTTTCCATGAGAAATTGAGGACGTTCATTTACTCGAGGTCTAACCCAAACCGCGATGCACTCAAGCATTGGGCCTAAGGCATTCTGTGAAAAAGAGTTGGATTAACTAGATAAATTTCCACTATTCACTTCCAGCCCTCTAACAACTGTGGACAAAACAAATGTTCAGATAAGAGGTTTTGCCAAATTGAAGATGGCTTAGAACGCGATTTTGTTGAACAGCAGCTAAACTATGTTTAATAACCGGCCCTTAGACTCCGAAATTGTGGCGGCTCCTGCTAATGAAAGGCTGTCTTTACGCGAAAGGTTCTTGGCCCCTCAGCGTCGGACAAATTTTACAATTTTTCGTATTATCAGAATGAATGCTGAGTGCAATTGGTATATTGTCTTTTGATTCAAATTCCGTACAGGTCTGAGTTTTTTTCAGGCCTTATTTTCACTGTTACCTAAGTAGTGTTCATTATTGCGAAGATCGCTTTCATGTTCGTTTGTATTTTCTTGTCTCGAGTCGATCTTAGGGTACAAGGTCACATAAACACTTTTTTTGTCTCTCTTTTTCTTCACTTTTCTTTTTCATTCTATTTTTCTTTCCAATTTGCATCTTCTTCAAAGGATATGTTAGATACGTTCAGCGTAAAATGCAAGTGTAAGAACGTTTGAAAACGTAGCTTTTACGCTCAAATCGATGACAAGTCGAGATGCAGGGGTGAGACCTTAAACAGACTGCACAAACTAATGTTGAAACGACAAATGAATAAAGAGGGTAAATTTCTAAAGAAACTGTGGTGCTGCGTCGGTGGAAGAGTAAAGCAGGTGATTTAGTGCTGAAAACTGGGTTGAAAACGTAAATTGGCCACCGTAAAGAGTTAAAAGGCTGACGTTTCGAGCGTTAGCCCTTCGTCAGAGCGATTAGAGGAATAGTCCATTTTACAGTTGTGTGCTTGGTTGCCAAGCCTTTGAACAGGAATGAGGCTAAGGGTGGCCTTGTTATGATACAAACCTTGCTGCTTTTCAAATGCAAATTACTTTGTTATCATGCTAACTAGATACTGGTCTCTATCACAACAGGGTCACCTTCAGCCTCACTCCAAATCAAAGGCTTGGCAACTAAGTGCACAACTGTACAATGGCCTATTGTGGGTTGTGTGTGGGTTTATATGCAAGAAATGGAGCTACGCTATTGTTGGGAATATGGTGACGAGAAAACAAGAATAAATTAGTTGAATGAAAACGGCTCGTTGATACCGTGGGAATTAAGAGCGCCGATTTGGAAGATAAATTTTTGTCCTAGCGTTTTGCGGCTTTCCGAACTGCCCAGATGTAAGGAAAGGCCGCAAATTGCCATATGTTGTTTAGAATGATTAGGGAGATTTAAGTGTCTAGCGGCTGGTTTGGATGCGCCCTTGTCATTTCCTTCTACGTCGCGAAGGTGTTCTCAGAATCGGTCACCTTGTCTTCTTCCTGTTTCGCCAATGTATAACTTCTTGCAAAAAGTGCAAGATATGCAGTAAATGACATTGGCGGAGGTACGTGTAGAGTGATCAGTGATCTTAATGGATCTCTTGGGTCCCGATATTTTCTCTATGTTATGAATGAAAGGACAAGTTTTGCATCGTAAGCGAGCGCATTTGTAAGTTCCGAATTGGTGATTGGTTTGAAATGAACTTCTGACCAAAAGTTGCCTCTGTTTTTGTCACGTTTGAATGAAATTAGTGGGGGTTGTGAAAAGATAGTACCAGTCTCTGAATCGTTTTGGAGTAATTTAAAGTTTTTAAGAATGATAGATTTAACTGCGTGGTTGTGAGGGTGAAATTTTATTTATTTATTTAACTAATGTACAATTACAAGTACAGGTGCATAACAATAGGACACCCAACCCTGCAGGAGACGGGGCCTACGGTTTTACATCCTATCCGAGAAGACGAAGTAATGTGAGTGAAGCGTCTTGCTTAAGCACACTGACCACTGGACTACTCACGCCTCACAAATGAAATGTGAGAGTGAATGGAATGCGGTCAGTGTTATCCTTCTTTGTAGTACTGACTGTCGATCAATTTGTCGGGCACGGTGGTGGCCTGCTTGAACGACAGAAACGGGATAGCCACGTTTATCGAAAAACTGGCACATTGCCTCTGATTTTTCGGAAAAATCAGAGTTATCACTACCTAAACGACGAAGTCTGAGAAACTGTGAAAAAGGTATGGAATTCTTGACGTGTGATGGATGCGAAGATGAAGACAACAAGTAACTAGAGTGAATCTAGGTTTTTATATAATAAGCTCAGCTATGTACGCATTCTGATTGGGTCTCGCTTATGATCTATTGGAGGACAGACGCATAGATGACGTCATCATTAAAACTTTTGGAGTTTGGCGGGCCGACCTCTACCAAAAAGAAGCTTTACGGCAACTTTCTGACACCTCCTTTTATGGAAAAATTTACAAAGATCTCACTTTCATCAACCAAAACATTGTCAAAAACACGCTTAACGACTATATAGCTAAACAAGAATTGCCGGCCACTGCAAAAAATCTCACCATCATCACTCCTACAACCTCGTGCTTTTACTTTTTACCTAAAATCCACAAACCTAACAACCCAGGTCGACCCATCGTTTCTGCCTGCAGTTGCCCCACCCAACTTATTTCCAGCTATTTAGACAAAGTTATGGTACCTATCGTCAAAACTTTACCATCTTAAATTAAGGACAGCCAACACGCACTTGAAATTTTTCGTGACTTTAATTTAATATTTAGACTTTCCCCTAAACAATCGTGTGACAAAAAAATGCTGTTGTATTCGGCGCGAGGGCAACAACAGCTGCAACTGTATTGCGGTCGGGATACATTTGAATTTGAACAGGGACACGTGACAAAGAATCCACCAATCGCAGTGCTCGTTTTGTTACGTGAAAGTCTAGGTATATAACAATGACAAATTACTTACGCTGCTTGAGTCTTGCAGCCAATTAACAACGCAGGAAAGAAAACCAACCGTTTTCTTTTGACCAAAACAGCGGACTGATGGAGAGCTCCTCATTTGGCTCCGATGATAACATTCGCCCAGGTTGTCCAAACTTCAGTTTTCTTTGGAAAGAATGCGGATTTACACATACGGGAACCATTTGCTGTTTCCAGAAATGGTATCCGCCGCTTTCGCCCCCTATCGAGTTTGCCCCTTCGAGTTCGCCCCTACCTTATACCGTGTTCGCCCCCACACTTTTCGATCAAGGGGCGAACTCGACTTGATGGGGTCGAACTCGAAAAGTGTGGGGGCGAACACGGCATAAGGTGGGGGCGAACTCGATAGGGGGCGAACGCGGTGCAATTCCCAGAAATACTGAAATTACAAGGAAACTAATATATTTCAATATGATCTTGTAGGCCTAGCATTTTAAGAGAATCTCTTTAGACTATCTTCAACGTACTTAAGCTTTTCTATCCAACTACCTGTATCTATTGCGGGAATAAACAAAAGGTTCCGCAGCGTGGATTTGGATAACATTACAACACAGACATTTCTCCAGTTGTTGATCGTCACCAGGCAGAGTGAAACAACAACCGCATTTTTTTCTCATTAAATTTCATTAAAAGAACTAAGCAAAAATAAGAGTTTTCAATCATCTCCCATTAACGCCGACCATCGTATGAACCTGGAAAGCGTCGAAAAAATAGAAACGCTCCCGATTTTTACGATATGTCGCCAGGAAACAGTGAAATCCCGACGATCTGGGATTCTTCCGACATTGAAAATCAGCTTTAATCGTGTTCCAGCGCTCGTAGGGAAAACATTTGGCAGTCTTTATATCTCTATACGATTTTCATGCTTATATCACGTCAAAATTGACTGCATGATGTGCGGTTGTCTATGTTGGAGACATTTAAAAAGCCTGTGGAGATTTTCATCTCCTCCGAAAACAGTGTTTTGACACTCTTTTTAACTAGTACTAGAAGCCTAAAAATTGGAACATTTGGACTCACACGAACGCCACAGAGCCTCTACGGCGATTTCTGACGGAACAAGAAACGACTCAGGTCCTCTGCTCAACGCCATAGTAATAAAATAAAATTGTCGCTACACTGACACTATGATTAAGACAAGATATACTTGTGATATGTTCAACTAAAGAATGATAGCGATTGTTTTGCGTCAAGAAGCCCTCAAATGAGGCTCAACTCCTGAAATTGCTAAAAATCAGGTTGGACTGGAGAATGATCATCTCTTGCTAGGTGATTACAGTTTTCAATAAAGTTTATTCAAACATAGTGAAATACAGATCTTGTTAAATCTCCGATAAATTAGCTTCGTATAACATTTGGCTTCCGGTAGACCAGCAAAATAGAAGTACGAAGGTAAAGTCAAAAAAACAAAACAAAAACAAAACAAAAAAACAAGGATGAGGGAAAATGACTGAATTGAAAACTCGGTTTTTTCTTAAAAAATATAGACACTGGTTTTGAATATTCCCATTTTCAAACTGGAAAATTAAGAGCAAAAGTGTATCGCAGAAAACTATTTTTTCAATATCTTGTGCTGAAGCAGCCTCAAAATAACTCCGTGTGAAGCACAGCGTCTGAGTGGACTAATCCTACTTACTGTATAAAACAGTTTTTGATTTAAGAAAAAGCCTCAAAAAGTGCCTTATATCTCCGTAATAATTTACGTTCCTAATCTCAAAATAACATATTCTTGTTCCTTTATTTTCCTATCTTTGTAGACGTTGACTCTTTTTCTTAATGTTTTTGCTAAGCCCACACAACTTTTACGGTCACACGAAGATTATCACGACTTACAGTTCACAAAAAGAAATAAATTGCCATTTAATTCTGAATTTCTTTTTTTTTTCTTTTTTCAGACACTGAAAGGATATCGTGGGCAGCAGAAAATAAATCATTTATAGTCACCTTAATTCCGGTGAAATTTCTTCTGATTGGTCGAATATTGTACTCGATGAGTAGCAAAACATATAATCCTCCAATAAGATTCTTTCAGAACATCTGTTTATTAGATTCTCTCTTCCTCAATTTGACATAAATGATTTTATTCTTAAATGAATTCGCTTTTCATTTACACTCTGTGAGAACTAAGAAAGCGAATTAAGGAAATATCGGTACCGTGAAGACCTAACGTTCTTGAAGATCGTTTGTCTTTATATCGGACTCATTTTCTACCGACATCGCTTACTTTTTAACTGAGGTAACTATTTCTAACGTCGTGGGCATCAATATTTCATCTCAAGCGGTAAACATATCGTGGTGAGCTGATACGTTAACTCTTATATGAAGTTTCTTGTCTCTGAAATTGATTTTTTTATTCCAAAAAAACGACAGCTTTTGTATTTTTTATTGTTTTAAAAAGGTAAGGAACTCTGAGTTTTCCGGATTTCTTGGTGCCGTTCTCGAAGTAAATCTTCGTTTGATGGAACATGGAACTGTAAAGCCTTAATGACAACTGTAAATGCGTATAATTCATGGAAAATCTTGTTCAAACGGATTTAAGAAGATTGTATTCAACGATATAAAACATCAAAGGTCGAAAGAGGGGAATTGAAAGGCTTTCTATCCGTAGGACGTTGTGAGCCATTTGGAAAAACGTCAGTTGAAAGAAATAAAAATACTTCTATCAATTTAAAGCAGACAACAACCACAAAATTTCTCGATTAATTCAAGATTAGACATGGACAGTGCACAGGAAGGAAGCAACATTGTCATGAAAACACCAATGCTGGGACATGAAGCGTCGCCAGTCAAGCTTACAGCGGAGCCTACGAAACCTCAGGAAGATTTTGGAACTTTTCCGTGCGTATCCCCTTACGACGATGAAACAGGAAAACAGAAAGTCCGATTGTCGGCGCAAGAAAAGCAACGCTGGCGCCGCGCGGCACTATCCGTATCCTTCGCCTCGATGTATGTTACACTCATGCTTAGCATCGCGTCGTTCGTAAGTTCAGGCATTTCTGAAAGTTCCGCGGCGTTCGCGATCGCTTTCGACGCTATGCTCGGGGTTGTATCATCTGGAGTGATTGTTTGGCGTTTTTACCAAGGAGTTAATGGTGTCTTAGGTCCAGGCAAAGAACGAAAAGCTTGTGTGGTAATAGCTGCATGTTTCATACTTTCTGCGCTGGTGATGTGCACGCGAGCGGTTGAGTTCCTTGTCAGCGACATGGAACCGAGAAACACACTCGCTCTTCTTTCGATCTCCGTGGTCGGGTTTCTGTGTTATTCTGCCTTTTTCTGGTTGAAATATCGTATCGCTGATAAGCTGCAGAGCGTTGCTTTGAGGATCGATGCAATAGACTCAGCCTGCGGTGCCGCTATGGCCCTGGGTTTGATTGTAAGCACGATTATTTACAGCGAAATGCATTCAACATGGTGGTTAGACTCGATCATCGCACTTGCAATCGCTTTCGTCACTTTCTGCTACGGCTGCCTGATCATACTCAAAGTGATCTGGAACAAAGACAGGTTTGGAATACCCGAGGAATATGAACTGTTTTAAGAACGGCCAAAGTTTATTATTTTATCTTTTGAAGCTATTATTTTGATTTTTTTAGTCTATAATTTGGAGAGTTTTTTTGAAAGATGATTATAAATTTTAGCCGGATGCGAAAAAAAACACACCTGCTCACAATACTTTTTGTCTCTTTAAGCCTGAAATAAGTTTTATTTTACACGAGACTCTGTATGTAACAAAATTACGTGTATGCGATATAAAGAGTAGTTGTTCAAAATCCTAAAACTGCATGTCTGTTGATAAAAAATTACTACAAGGAAACCGTTTTTTTGTCTCGTTCAAAGAAATAATTTCATAACATGGAAATGACCAACGGTGTGTTATTAACTCGACACATACGAACTCGTTCGCCTGCTGCAAAGCTGTGTTAAATGTAAATGAATTTATAAGGTTCTCTTCGTACTTGAGACGAGTTAGAGAATAGGAAATTAGTTGACTCATGAGGAAAGACCCAAAGCTGACTGTTCTTTCATACTCGATAATCAGCGACCGCCGGGCTGTCAATATTCCGAATGGGAAAGGTGATATCTTTCAACAAGGGTCGATTAATTCGCGTGCAAAAGTTGTTGAATATTAATAATACGATTGGGAATTTTTATCTCGACTCTTGAATTAAATCGATTTGAAGTATCGCCAAGTTGATGGTTACAGCGTCTCCCCGAAAAAACATTTCTGGGAAAATCGTTCTTGCTCTGTTCGAGGTTGTTTACACAGTTTCCCGCAAGCCACGATGAGCCTGATGCAAATCGAGTCAAGTGCCTCTCAAGTTAAAGCATGTCGTATACGTTCAATTTCCATCACAACAACTCCCACCACAAACGCTCGAAATCTCACGACATCCTTTCTAAATGACAACAAGAGATGCCCACTTATTTCGCAATGACGTTAATGAATTGTGAACAACATCATTCACGTTAGCGAGCCAACCTGAATCGTTGGCGAATCAAACGAAGCCGTTAGCGAACAGACCTGAGTATTAGTGAACCAACTTATGGTCGTAGCGAAGTAAAACATTTGCAGACTACCCTTTGACCCGTAAGAGTGAGTATAATCTAATTTCTCCTTATAATATCAGCCTTGAATCACACATAAAGGTCACAAGAGTGGAACAAACGATCACCAACTAAAGATGCTCTTGATTGTCAGACAAATTCTCCTCGTCAGTACCTTAAAAAATGTACTTAGAACAGTATGGAGAATATGCATACTGACCTTAGGGTGTAAAGGGTTAAAGAACCAAGACGGGAGAGACCTCATTAAGATAATAGCGAATTAAATAAAGCCTTGACATCGGATGTCAACTAACTCACCGAGGTTGTAAGCAGACCAAGCCAAATTGAGAACGAACGAGCTGAAGACGTTAGAGGAGTACGCTAAGACTTTCGTGAACTATCCTGAATCATTGATGCATCTGCCCGAGTCTTAAGTTAACATCCTAAGTCAGTAGCGAACCTCTTCTGAGTCGTTATTGAGTTTATCTGCGACGCTTGCGAACAACCCAAGATGTAAGCGAACTGACCGAGCCCTAGACGTTAACAAACCTACTGAAGACAGTTGCGAAACAATGTAAGTCTGAGATTTAATGCAAATACTCACATTTTAGCGCTCAGGAAGCTTTTCGTCGAGGTGGGGTGGGGTGGGAGGGGGAAAATTTCGCCATCGAGACTCAGCATCGCAACATATCGTCTTCATTTCAAGTCAACAAACTACAATAGCACAAAAAGAAACATAGATGAGCGGTTCATAGTAGCCTTCGCTTTCGACATCCAGTTGTCCTTCAGTTCTAGCCATTTCTAATGATTTACCCTCTCCTCAGGCTTTCGCCTACACTCTGGGAAACAATTGCAAAGCGCAAGCGACTGATGATGAGCACGAAGCGCAAGGTTTCACGCGAAGGAGAAAACATTCTATTCTTTCCATCTTTCGCTATATCTCCCGTACAATTGTGATTAGACTCATTTACGAGAAAAGCATTCCACGATAACGTGCCTCGCTTCCAACATGTGGCTTCGTAGCTCAGCCAATGGTAGTTTGAGATTCTGACAAATGGGCAAAATAAGGAAAAATTATCTTTGCGTATTTATTTTCTTGATCGTGAGTCAAAGGGCCACCAGTATTATTGACGGTTTTGTTACGGAAATGAAGACATTCGTATTTATCTCGGTTTTCTCTGTTCTACAAACATAAACAAGTACGGTTCAGGATTCACCTGAATAAGTATGATGTTTGTGCTGACCCTTATGCGTGTGTTTTATGTGTTGCTTTTCATATACATCCAACACTTATGCCTTCACACAAGAATTATCAAAGATGAGAAAATAAATACTTTCGTCTGAAATAATAATTTAGGGTCTTTTGACCAATTTGAGAGTATTATTATAATAATCTTGAAATACTGAAAATAACTTCAGTAATCGATCTTCAGAGAAATAGCACATTTTTCGTTCAAACAGTTACGTGTCCTGACGAATTAATTAAAGCGGTGATTCTTTGCTCCACAGTTTGCGCGTGCTCCTCGATTCTTTTCCACTGATTGAGTCGTTTTTACTGCGTGATACCAAAGGTGTCCGGGTATGATTTGATCCTCCAATAAACGGAGAGTAAAATGTGTCCTCCGAGTGATCATCCTCAGTCCCAAAAACTTTGTAGATTCTCTTTTTCTGCAAAGACTTCGGCGCCGGACTCAGGAACAAAAATTTGGTCACTGTTTTCCTCAAATTCCCCGCCGCTAATTCAACGTCCTCACATTTCTTTTCCAAATATTCCATTTCTTCCAAAATATCTTGATTACTCCCTACAGAAACTGAATATTCTGTCTCGATAAACGTTCGTTTTTGCCGCACAATATTTCCCACCGATGAGCAGATTTCTTCTGGTATCGAAACAAGTTTTTCTAAATCCATATCATCGCAGGCCCTCCGCACGTTCGAGGCTAAATCTCTTGTCCTTTGGAGCAGTGTGTTTACACTACTTACAAACTTTTTTACAGATACCAGTCGATTGAGTCCTGTGTCCTTTTTGCAGCTGGGGTCATTGGAGATTGTTGCTAATTGCATCTGTAGAACAAAGAGTAATATTTTTAAGACAAAATTAACCAGGTCCACCGTTGACTCATCTACACCTAATATCTGGATATCTGGATATCATTCCCCCTTACTGTCTACCATACAGTTCTTATTATTTTACCTCTGAAATTTGATCGTCAATCAGACAATACTTCATAATTTGAGATTTCTGTTCCTTCCCAAAACCATTAAGCAACACATTGTAGTCATGTGATGATAAAAGGCCTTTACCAATCTCTCGACCGAAATCTGGAATAAATCGTGTATTGTTCAATTTGCTTTATCGCGCTGTGATTGGTCGAGAAATCTCGTTCTACCTCCTCCCCACCGAATCAAAAGCAAAAGCGACTTCAAGTCAAACGTTGGAAAACGAAGTTGACCAAGTCTCTTGGCCATCCTAGTTTTCCAACGTTTGATATCCAACACATTAGCTCCTTTCTTCGGATTATCTGCTGGGATTTCCTTAACTTTGGTTTTCGGAATTCATTTGAAAAGAGCTCCGGTGTAATTGTAAAGCTGGTCAGCTCTTGCGGCAGTATCAGAGGGGGCTGAAACTGATAGTACGGGGTCGAAACTGTCCTTCATCTTCTCTTTCGCTAAAGCCTTCCCCGAGTAATAACATAACTTCAACACCTAATCGAAAGAGGGGCAAAATATTTACCTGCACTTCACGTCCCTGATGAATAAAATCGCCGGTGGTTCTTACGAGAGCGAGAACATGTTCTGTGATTTCTCTTCCCACCTAGATAAAAAAAAATGTTGTTTACTTATTGTTTCAAGGTAGCGTGAGAAGAAGAGTGGTCAGTTTGTGATAGAAGCAAACAACAACAACAACAACAACAACAACAACTTTTTCGGAAAAACGGAGAGACCTTATGTCGGTCCAAAAATTACTGGATGACGGATGCATATCAATTAAATCACGAGCCAATCAGAAACGAAAACAACCGATTAAACACGAAGGGCTTCTTCGTACATACCCCAGTACTGCCAGAGTCCAAATTGTCCGTTTGAATTTGTTCCTGAATTTCATTGATAGCAGATATAGAGTCACGAACAGAAATCTCCATCGACATGTCTTGTCCCTCTACAAACGCTTTGTTTAATTCACTGTCATCCTCACACACGGAGGTATTCCCGTCTTTTGGTTTTTCTTCTTGTGAAGACAGAACAGCCATTTTGGCCGTTTGACGTACGATGTGTCTGACGTCATCGGTGAAAGCAGCAACAAGATCGTCTGTGTTTGTACTCGAACCATCCAGGATCTAAACGAAAATAAGCACGGCCGAGTTAAAATGAATAGACACAGATTGTTATGAAGATTACGGTATTTCCTCATGATATTCACTAGACACTGTACCAGCCTAAGTAATACTGCAGTTTTCAATTGAGTGACCAAAGAAATTCGAGATTGCACAGGTTTTGTTTTTCTGCGCTTTTTGATTGGTCCAGAAAACTCACGCCACTCTGTCAAAAATTCAGATCAATCAGATGCAAAACTAAAACCAATCTCGACTTAGTCGCCCGCGTTTTCTCGCGCTTCCGGCTCTTTTTATTTTATTTTATTTTATTTGAGTTCTCATTGGCTCCTAAAGGTATTTTCCTTTCTTCTGATTGGTCCTTGTGATACCTTCGTTTTGTTTTACGTCACTCAATCGAAAAGCGCCCTTAGTATTCAGTAACTCGTTAAACCAACGATGTTTAGAAGTTTTTCAAGGGATCCAACAATATAAATACCAAGAAGATCACATGTAATGGAATGCAAAATTACTGTAGGTAAAACATAGAAAAAATTAAAACCCTCCTACCTCGATGATGCTGATCACGTGACCAGCCAATCGCTTGATAGTATCAAGGAGCTGAGAGCTCAACTCAACAAACGGCTCATTAGTGATTTCAGCGGTGCCCCACATTCGCACATGCTCGACGAGCATTTGTACGGAGATGCTGGCAGAAACACAGCACTGTTGACCTTCTGTTTGGAGACCTGAAGAACGAAAGCGATTAAATGAAGATAACAGAAAGATAATTGTTAAACACAATGAATTAGAAAGGTAGACATATACAAAAACTTTCTGAAAGAGAACCCCGAAAGGCACCTTAAGATCTAATATCGGGTGAAACACGCATTTGTGTTCAGGTGTTCAGTTACTCCTTATGTAAGTCGCCAAAGTTCGCCCAAGCTCGGAATTTTTCTTCTAAATTTATGAAGCTTGGCAAAAATAACGCCATGACAAACTTGAGGCAATTTTGACAATGTTTTGGAGGTCGTATGACTTCAAGTTGAAAGAAGACCTCGTTTGTGTGATGAAACCATCATTACGCAAGAGATATAAACAATGACTACTCTCACAAGACATAAACCACCATGATACCTTAACCCTTTAACTCCCATGAGTGATAAAGAGAGAATTTCTCTTCACAATATTGATACAATATCAAGCAGACGAGTTATGAGAATAAAGGAAAATATTAATTAGGGGATTATATGTTGATCCAATATCAAATTCTCCAAACTAACATCGCAACAACTATATGGCAGACATTAAGGAGAATTACTAATGAGATCTTGGGAGCTAAGGGTTAAATAGGTTTTCCTCACCTCCAACAGACGTTTCTTTATCTTGAAATGCTTTTACGAT